TTCTGAACTGCGTAGAGTCTAGGCTAGATCTCAACCGCTGGTTCAACCGCTCCCGCTGAGTTTTTTTCTCCAAAGTATATATCATTCGAATAATCAAGGGATTGCATTTCCTTATCCTATCACAAGAAATTTGAAAATTCTGTTGTAGTACTCTGGATCTTATTATTGAGTTAAAAAATTGAAGATGATCGATTTCTACAATTGTTTGCTACAATGGTATTTGTCTGGTCCTAAACCAGAAACCATCTTGATGGTAGGAAGCTAATAAACGAGCAACTGTATACAGAGGAAACATCCTCAAAACCACTTCTTCTTCATGGCTTGGCTTCGAGAAGGATAAATATTTAAATTCATTCAAAGTTTTTTAGGAATATTATTCTGTTTTTAGTCACAACAATAAAAATGCATATGTCAGTTTTAGTAATATAAACAACTCAATAACAAATATATATGATTGCTTGAAGACTGTAAAGTTAAAAGAGTAAAGGTTAGGCTTAAAAAAAGAAAAATTCAAAAAAAAAAAAACAGCAAAACCTAAAAAAACCCTTTTAGGTTTTTTTAAAGTGGTTTTTATAGGTTTTTTTTGGGGGTTTTCTGGGCTGGTTTTTTTATGCAAACCCTGGGTTATTTTGTAAATATGATTTTGCAGTATCACAGTTAAAACATTTAACAAAAAAAATTCTAGGGAATTCCAAAATGTGGTCTACAATTTTTCACCGTCAAAATTAACGGAAATATCAGTAAATTTTTCCAGATTCCAGTTAATTTCTTAACAAAACTGTTTAAATGATTAATATCTAAGATACAAAGAAGGTAGACCACATTTTGGAAAGCTCATTAGACATTTAAATTTGTGTTATTGATGCACTTTACATCATTTATCAATTTTCAGAAATGAAAGACGATATTCAAGTCGTCTCTCAATTCCCATGTTTACTGGGACAACCTGTACTTAAAATTCATTCCAATGTGTTACTGTTATTGTATTATGATTTTACCTTGCTCAAGACTTGTAAGATTGTCGTCGTCATATGCATCAGCTTTTGTTTTGCTTATTGTTAGAAACATAAAACTCTTTAGCGAATATCTAAGAATAATAATTACTCTATAAATCTTTTTTATGAGTAAAAATAATTGCTTTTTAGAATTCTTGTTAATCCATCTGAAAAAGTAATGAACGAATTTATTTTCAGCAGAGGAGAGAAACAGTTGAGAGACTTTATCCTTATGCAGGTGGTTGAGGGGTCGGAATTTATGCATCTTCATGGGTGAGGTGGGAGGGGGGCAGGCCCTCTTGAGGGTCCCCTCCACCCCAGAAAAAGACAATGGACTACAGGTGTAAAATTGAAAAAAATGACATTTTTCAATTTTATTTCAATGACAGAGAGGAAATGGTAAAATTGCCATAATTGCTTCCTTATAAGATAAGATTTTAAAATTTAAGTCTACCATATGTAACAACGTACATCGCAGAAATGATAGAATCTACACATTTGTGCAGATCACATATTGATCTGCACAAATGAAATATCTGAAAATTTAAATCTAAATATGTAACATTATGTTGAAATAATAACACAACAGAAACTGTACATGTATAATGATGAAAACCAGTATGTTATAAAAAATGGTGAACCATTTACACAAAATATTGTAAAATAAACATTTGGTTTAAACAAAAATTGAATGAAGTCAATTTGTCCCGCTTTACCTGAAATGCTCTTTGAGATCAAAAATATCTTGAACAGACAGATCTCCATAGATCCCAGTAAATCCAACCATAGAAGCGTTTAAGGTCTAAAATAAAAACAAGAGGTCAGTATTTTTATCGAATTCCAAATACTGGCTTTGGTCCTCAAATTAAAATGGTCCATAAATTATGTCTATACATGTTGTAAATGCAGTTCACTTATAACTTTGTCCCAAATGTTTCAGTCCAGGCACAACCAGTTCGCTATCCAACTCAACCAGGACACAACCCACACGGCTCTAAATGCCACACAAGCTTAGCTATCCACAAACTACAAATCAACCCACCTGGCTGTAAATTAGTATCAAACTATTACTTCGGCTCTAAATGCCACACAAGGTCACAAGCGTAGTTATTAAACAAGCTATTACTTCGGCTCTAAATGTCACCCAGGGACACAAGCATTGGCTATCTATCAAGCCCTTAATCGATCTCTACCCTATAACGAGGTATGATCTCACTCAACCCGAACATTTCACCAGGGGTACAATTATTCTACTCTGTAATCAAAGCAGATTTCTGAATCTAACTGATCTCTGTTTACAAATCTATATGTTACATGTTAAGTTTCAATAAGTATTCACAATATTACACAGGTATATAATATAATCACAATACGTAGCTAGTCTAGTCGCATTACAAGTTTTACGTAGTTATGGATTAACGCAGTTAGATCCTCAGACAATGTACAACGCATTTTATAACGGTATGTTCAAACAGCATTTATTACATACATTCAGATTATACAGATCCATTAAACGGTGGAATAGGAAGACAACTTTTAAACTAAAGTTATAACTTTAACCCTAAAAATTATGCATGGGGGGGGGGGGAATGCATCTACAGGGTGTCCCAAAAAACATGGGAATTCAGTGACGAATAGTATATCGTCTTTGCTATGAATTAGCATTGTAATACCTAATTTCAACAGCCATAATATTATTATGTCTGCTAGAGTTTATTTTATGAAAAGGGTAAAAGACTGTAAAGATGTGTCTATAATGTCTCTGCAAGATGAACAGTGAAGACGGACAAGTTTTCTCTGTTTGTATACGGCAATTTTCTTGTTTTACTAAGTACAACCGTATGCAGTTAAAACATAAACAAACAAAATGTAAACATAGCAGACGAAACTCTTACAGATTAAGGCTTTCTCAGTTGGTATCACTATACTAAATCAAAGAATTTTTTAAAAAGACGATATCGAATTCGTCACTCAATTCCCATGTTTTTTGGGACACCCTGTATGTATAGACTGTGGGGGGGTGGTCTCGCTTCCCCGCCCCCGTTAGAAAGAACCCTTAGGACAAAGGTTTCTACGCCACCTCATCAAAAATAAATAAGTAGGAAGAAGAAAAGAGATCCTGTCTCACACTATATGTGGACTGCACTATGGCCAGATATTTGTGAATACAATCTTATAAAAACTTAAATACCTTTAAATTGGCTCCAAGCAAAGATTTCATATCCTGAAAATTCTAGAGTTATTTTTAAATCCAATTATAAATGATTTGAAAAAGGCAAAAGATGTAACAAATAAGTGTAGTGCACTAAAGTATATCAATTGTGTATACATTGGGCATTCCAAAAGCATTGTTACTTTTTAGCTACAACTTGGTTCGTTTTTCAAAAACTTTTAAGTTTGTTGACCTTTTAACCCTATTCCTGCTGGGGGGGGGGGGGCANTGTATTGAAGTATTTTTGTTTACCTGGAAGTGTACTGTATTGAAGTATTTTTGTTTACCTGGAAGTGTACTGTATTGAAGTATTTTTGTTTACCTGGAAGTGTACTGTATTGAAGTATTTTTGTTTACCTGGAAGTGTACTGTATTGAAGTATTTTTGTTTACCTGGAAGTGTACTGTATTGAAGTATTTTTGTTTACCTGGAAGTGTACTGTATTGAAGTATTTTTGTTTACCTTGAAGTATACTGCATTGAAGTATCTTTGTTTACCTGGAAGTGTACTGCATTAAAATCTCCGACCATTTGTGGAACATCCCCAATATAAACAATGGTAACAAAGGTTGTCTTCTCCTACATTTATATTTTTTTTAATTCTTTTATAAAGATATTTCTTCTTTAAATATAAATATACAAATAGTTCAAGCCTTATGGGCAATATTTCGAGGAATCATGAGGTAGCAAAAAAACTAACTTTTTCCGTTGAGATTGAAGCTACGATGGATTAAAATTAAATTGATTACTCTAATTTTGGTGAAAATGTTTCAAACTTTTAATGCAACTAAATTAAATATATTCCAAGTTTGAAAAGTGAATCGTTTTGTTTTAAAGATATGGGAATTGACTGCAAGTTTTTGGTGAAAAAGAAAAAATATGTTGAATAACCTCAAATCTGGTATCTACTAGATTTCTAATAAATTCGCCTAGATCCGGGATTTGGTCCTGACAAAGAAAAAAAAATTGATTGTATACAAAATTTATATAAAAAATTATACGAAAAATCGTAACCTTTTTTTTAAAATTTATTTTAAAATAAAATTGAACTTTAAAAATGACATATCAAAGCTTTTGACAAAATATGGGTGATGCAATTTTGTTGTTTGCTACTTAATAAACGGAAGCACATTATTCCATTAAATACTTACTCTGTTTACGTTTGCTTGTATTGGAGTAGAATCTATTTTCTCTGAATCCTGACCGGGCGGTTTGACCGGAAAATCACCGGCCTCAAGACCCTAGATATCAAAGTGATCTAAAGGTTGCAAGCACTGATTTAAAGTCCAGCGAGTCTTAAATTTCACACGTAAAAAGTATATTTTTCGTTTTTGTTAGTTTAAATTTTTTGTTGGAGTATATTTATAGTCGAATATATCAATACGATGAGGACAACTTTCTATTTTAATTTTGATTTGTACAAAGCTTTCAATCAGCTCAAATACACATAAACTGGAAACAAAGAGAAGATGCTAATTAACAGAATCTTTTAATGTTTACTTAATTGTAAACTTGTAATTTGAAAAAAGGTTTGTTAGAGATCTAAACCTTAATAGAAAAGTCGTCTTCATTGAATTGATACAAACGCCAACTACTCTAAGTATTTTAAATATTTAAGTATGTACGTTATTTTTGAAGGATTTTGAATAAATATTAAGTCATTCTGATTCAGCCAGAATGCACATTGCAAATCGTTGTATATTTAGTTCTACGAATAGCCTGTCTACTATTATTGCAGAAAACGCGCTGGGTCATCAACATACTGGGTACACTAGATGGGCTGGTCCGAGTAATTACCAGATCTGTATCCTTGTACCGGCTTCGATTAAGCAATGATTGGTCTCATGTGCAAGTTTTCAAACAAAAATCGATAAGAACTTTGCAAATTACTTCTTAAAAACTAAATAAATGATTTCAGTTCTAAACATATTCATGTCTGTCCTAGTGACTTAATGTTGCAAAACCAAAGGCCAAGGCCTTGCGACACTTTAAAGTCGATTTAACCTTAAACAATCATGCAACTTTTCGTAGCTATCTAGTATCATGTGATACGGTTGTCAACGTACCTCGTACATCATGCAGAGATGTTACCAACAGCATTTGAAAATTATTAATATTTTGTTCAAAATTATGAAAAAAAATAAATGTCTGGACAAAAGTTGTTGATTATCAAAACTATGCAAATTATTTTGGCTAAATTTGGATTCTATATGTGGTGCAAGACACACATTAAATGAGATGTTTAATTAATTCAGGGTTTTTTTCAGAAATTTTTCGGGAGGGAGGAGGAACTTGAGATATTCTACACTAGAAAAAAGATTGATTTTGATGTAAAATTATGATTTGAGCTAGGAACTTTTGTGCAGGATACTTATAATCTCAATCGCTTGATCTAGACATCCATTTGGGACACTTTACATTTAAACTTAGAGATTGTTAAAAAAAAAAAAATTTCACTTTTTTACATTTATAATATTTTTAAAATATTTTATTGGATACAAGATGAAATGCCTGGCGTTGCCCGTGAAATAATAAAAAAAATTTAATTTTGAGAAAAGATTGATTTAAAAAAACATATTTTTAAAGGAAAAAATGTCAAATTTTCAGCTTATGTTACACCTAGGGTACCCAATACTCATATGGGTTCCCTTTAAAAATTCAGTTTTCTTTGAAACAATTTTTTAAATCGTCAAAAGGACTTGAATTAACACTGAGAAAAAATCGTATAAATCCCATGACAATGAATCAAACCATAGGCATCTAACCTGGGAACCTATAAAACTCAATCCACTTAACTTAAAAATTTAAAACCAAAATGAGAACATTCCCGTGTATCTCCCGGGTTCCCCAATCAAAATTGGAGGAGAATCGGTCACGGAATCGGACATACCATACACACAGGAAAAGAGATTACTACTTTAAATACATACAAGATAAACCGGTTGTTAGGAAAGATATATATAAGTGTATTAAAAACTATTTGTTTGCCTTTAATCAAACAAATATTCAGAAAACGAACTAATGGGCGGTATTCAGCGGTACACGTCGATTCTTATGATACCCAAAAGTTTTGACTGGTGCAAAAAGGAATTGAAATTTCCGATGACATATATGTTTTGCCCGTATAATTATAAAATATGTTTTCATGAAATGTTCTAATTCTCTCAAAATCATTCCTTACCAGAACTTCTGTTGTTGTTTCATTTCTGATTTCTGTATTATTTTCGATGTCGCGGAAAGTCTGACCGCTTGCGGTTGACCTACTCAGAATAAATAAAACTATGAAAAGCATGGTTTAAACCAAACTGATAATAAGTTCAACCTGTATTTTTATATATACATGTAAAACTAGGGGGAATCAAATTTTCAACAAAAGAAAAACCATAATAAGTAATTATAGCTAACCTTTTATTTAACTACTTCAACTACTGGATGCGCCTATCCGTCTAAAATATCAGGTTGTAAAGATATTGAGATTAGAATAATAGAGTTTGAAGCGAGTAATCAGTCACTTTTACTGTACATAATAAATTTTATATTTTATCAAAAATTTGTTGTCCCCTTAGTTCTGCATCCATGTATCTGATATCAATAATATTAATTATAAAAAGGATATTAATTCCTGTACTTTACATCCTTTCGTAATGTCATGAGGGGAAATTATCAACATGCAAACCAAAATACTTTAAGGTATTGAGTATTGATTTATAATTATCACGATGAAACCCCTTTTGACGAACTGTAGAGATCAACAAGTCCTTTTTTCTTTTCCTTTAATTTTCATAGTAGTAGGCTTTCAATTTTTATCGTTTTAAAGAACTCAGTTTTAAAATCTTTCCTTAAATTTACGCAAAAATATTTTTGAAAAAGAAGTCTGAATTTGTTGATAATTCTCTATTCTTCCTCATGTAAGAAGCTCCATTACCCCCCCCCCCCCCCATTATGCACTTCTCCGTCATTATTTGCTCTATATGTGTCCCACGATAAAAAGAATATGATGGAATGAAAAGAATAAATTATTCTCCTAACTATTAAATGTATGCATCTCTATTTATTATATTTATCATATATTCTCGCACTTCTTTAGAAATGGAACAAAGCAAGGAACTGATCAATAAAGTTAGATAACATAGAAGTTTATATAATTCTTTAACTTGACTTGAGCTTTACTTGGGTCTAAATATACTCTACTACAGGATTTTACTCATGTTTTCTCAGCTCAGATCATTTATAACTAGTTTTAATTTCAAGGATTTGACACTTTAATAATAATGGAAGGACAGGTATTTTGAGGTGGGTCGGGGACCAGAAAATGAAGAGAATGTGGCGCCGCGCGGATAAGAAATTATTGTTTTTTGCCTTCCTAGCTTGGTACCATAAGATATATGTCCATTGTCCATGTCCTTTCTAATCCTGATGTATAGCATTGAATACATAGTTAGGAAATATATGATATTAATTAGGAAATTAGGAAATTAAATCTATACAATTATTCCAATAGTTAATAAATGGATATTAGGAGAGTTGGGAAATAGTCGGAAATCGGATTCTAAGGGACTGTGCCCTGAATTCAATTTGGGCGCAACCAACAAATTTTTGCTTAGTTCAATAATAAAATTTTTTAAATCAATTATTCACTTTAAAAATAAGAAATTACAAAAATTTCTTGAATTTTCTCAAGTACTTCTAGAGTAGGTTTCTTGCCATAGTGTCTCAAGAAAGCATAAGTTTTAAAGTTGCATGACCCGACCAGTTGCACGTATATCTATGATATTGTTGACCCCAAGAGTTTTATGAAACAACATAGGGCGGGCTGGACTATAGTTATCTCAATGAACTAGAGACTAGAGTGCTTAAACTAAAATAAGGCGGGCTGGACTATAGTTATCTCAATAAACATGAGACTAGAGTGACGACTTAAACTAAAATAAGGCGGGCTGAACTATAGTTATCCCAATAAATATGTGACTAGAGTGACAACTTAAACTAAAATAAGGCGGGCTGAACTATAGTTATCTCAATAAACATGAGACTAGAATGACGACTTAAACTAAAATAAGGCGGGCTGAACTATAGTTATCTCAATGAACATGAGACTAGAGTGCAGACGAGACTTAAACTAAAATAAGGCGGGCTGAACTATAGTTATCTCAATAAACATGAGACTAGAGTGACGACTTAAACTAAAATAAGGCGGGCTGAACTATAGTTATCTCAATAAACATGAGACTAGAGTGACGACTTAAACTAAAATAAGGCGAGCTGAACTATAGTTATCCCAATAAACATGAGACTAGAGTACTTAAACTAAAATAAGGCGGGCTGGACTATAGTTATCTCAATGAACATGAAACTAAAGTAACGACTTAAACTAAATTCCCCTAGAGAGGCAAATGGTTCATTTGGTGTACCGTCCCATTATTAAGGCATATCAAAGTTATGTGTGCATGAGTATGTATTAACCAGGGGGGATGGAAGTTTACTGATCAAGGATATGAAGAGATTATGGCCTAACCATACAGTACAAACTTCAAATATGCAGTACGCTTTTGGAGTGCAAGTATATGGGGAGGATTTGTGTTCAAAATTTTACATGGTTTTCTCAGAACCGTATACGAACACTGTAGTATTGCTCTGTAACAGATTGTAATACATATCTAACTGTAATTAGTTTGTTTAAAATGGGTAAGGGTAAAAAAGGTTTATTTTTTGAGGGTGGGGAGGGAGCAAAGTATTTTTGCATAGGCGTAAGATAAGATAAGATAAGAACTTTTTACCGTCCTATACCTACCCTATGCCTATGCATTAAAAAATACTTTAAATTACTATTATTAAAAAGTCAGAAAATTTTAAGGTGATAATGTCGAAAATGAAAGGTTGCAGGCAAAAAAATAAAGGTGTGGTGTCCCAAGTCCTACCCCACGCCCCCTGTTTATTTTAGTAATTAATTTAAATATTAAAGGGTACTGCAAGTGCAACTTTGTAAACTATTCGATCATATACACACTTCCATATTACAAGTGATAATAAATTATTTATGAGTGAACTCATCAGACAAAGGTTTTTAATGAAACTTTTTTAGTTAAGGGCAAAAGTGAGATTATAAAGTATTTATTATATAATGTAATTATACTTCACAGGAATCCATTTCAAGTGACCCTCCATTTATAGATTGGCATGTCCGATGTAACTTTAAAAACCTTCAATTACCATCGTTTCTGAAGCAAGAAATGCATAAGTCACTTTTTTAGAGAAACCACAAATAAAAAAACTAGTTTTCAAAAAGGGAAACAAGGATATTTAATGCAATACTTAATCAGACAAAGCTTTGAAGGGTATTGCTGTGAATCAGAGCTGAAAACTTTAGAATGGTGGATATCGGGATTAAGGCTTAATCCACTCTTTTTCTTAATCTGCAGATTAAATATTGCTTGTTCTCCACTCATTTTTAATCTCCAGATTAATTAACCGATCAGGATTAAGGATATCCCATTCAAAAGTTCCCATCTCTGAATCTATTTTTTTTCTTTTCTTAATCTTTTAGTTTGGGTGATCGAGTGCAATGCAATGCAATGTAGAATGTAGATTACCTGAGGAAAGGAAATGCAAGCAGATATAATATTAAAAGACCCCCCATGGGTGTCCCCGAACGCGTATTGGGGGCCAGGGGGCTCGTCCCCCCTCGTACGCCCTTGGTACTGTTATCAATCTGACATTCCATTCTTATAGATATGTAGAGGACGACTCGCTAATACAGGGTGTTCCACGAAACATGACAGTATGCAGGACGACTTGAATGTCGTCTTGATTTTTGATATAATTTGCTGCGTTTATTTGTCAACCTAATTTTAGAAGTAAATTTCTGGAGATAATAATCACAAAATTTCCCTTGTCCTGCCATTTCCAAAATGTGGTCTGCCTTTTTACTTCCTATTGTCATGTTTCGTGGGACACCCTGTACGTTACACTGAACCTTAAAAAATTATTTCCAGAATTCCCCCCCAAGTACTATAATATACAAATTGACCTTTGGAAGTGGAGCACATGGCCTGTACAATTAGTAAGATATTAGCGTAAACATCATCATTCTATATACTATAATCTTGTTGGTATTAACGGTAAAAGGAAGTTTGTTATTTATTAAATGTATATAATATGTTTTAAAAATGTCCAGAATATGAACTGTTAAGAGGGACAAGTCACAAATGTACTTTTTTCTGAATTTTTCTTATTTTTCAACAATGCAACACCATGAATCGAAACAATAAACAAACACAAGTGAAGAATATAGCAGACAACACATTTTACGTCACTAAATTCAAATGTTCAATAACATGTTTAGTTAAAGATTTTTTGACTGCCATCTAACGGCCTCTTGTGGCACATAATACATATTTAGGGGTTAAGTTGTACTACAACTTTAAAAGAAATACTCCAATTTCTAACATGAAACATAGAATTTAGGATTTTTTTAAAAGTTTATTTTTAAAGACTTGAATATCCCTGAATACAGAGCCCGTTCTCTTTATAGATAGTGGTTGTGTAGTTCCGAAAACAATCTATGGTTTTCACCGCAATTAATAAAAAAAAGATTGAAGTTCTTTAAGCTCGGAATTATTTGCGGCATTCTTCACCGGGAATATCTAAAAATGTGAACATTTTTAAGGACATTAAACTTAAACACTTTAATTTAATTAACAAAAATTCAAAATTTTATCTGGCCCAATTCTTATTTGGAAGGATTAGACACTTAAAAAAAATAATATTGGAAGGACGAGGATTTAGAAGGGACTCGGACGAGAAAACGAGGAGAATGTGGCTCGGACGAGAAATTGTTTTGGCTGCCTTCCTCCCCACGCATAACACATTAAACTAAAGTCAATTGCATGTAAGATTGATTGTATTTTCAATCATAAATCCTTTTATTAAAGAGAGAGGGCGAAAAAAGGTTTTAAACTTCTATTATTAAACCGGATAAAGGAGTTGAGTCTTTGCCACAACCTTCAATTTACTAATCCCTATATCTTTGCAACTTGATGGCTTTAACCTTTAATATTTTAAACTTAGATTATTTGATCTACCAGAATTCAGAGTTTGAAATATTTAAGATCTACAACGTTTGGTTGCAGAGAAATTGGGATTATAAAATCAGAGTTTGTGGCAAGGACTCAATTCCTTTGCTTTCCTTTACCAACACAAGCATAAAGATTATACCATTAGTACAGATTGACCTATAAAAACCTTTATTTTATCATTAATAGAATATTTAACATGTAAACTGTTTAAGAATTCTAATCTTGTTGATAATGTTTACTAAACTTAGAACTCGGATTTCTTTCATAGAGGTATTTAGAGTACTAAAGAGGAACTTTAAAATAGGGTTTCCATTTTTTCCCCGGATCAATTTGGTTCCATACTGACTCTTTCTTGAAGTTATGAAGAATCATTGAAAGCTAGGTACGACATAATGAAAAAAGTAAACTGGACGATTATTTATTTCTTTATTTTGTGAACGGAAATACAATTTAAATAATTGGTACAATTAAACATACAAAATTTGTTCATTTAAAAACGGAACCCTCCCTTCTTCTTCCGCGGGTATTTCTTGAAATATTATACAACTTTTTGCTATACATTTGTCAAAAAAATTCAAATATTTGTTGCATTTATCTGTAATATTTCTCATATTTTTGGCAGCTTAAAAGTCTGATACAGATTTTTGACGCATTTTCTGATGAAAAAATGAATGAAACAAATCAATACCGAACAATCAATCCGTAATAATTGTTCCGTATACTTTAAACCTTCTTAAGAAAGACTTTTATAGATCCAAGTTGACCTGGAAGAAATTGGAAACAATACTTTAAACGTAAAGTAATGTAATTGAAAATGAGGCTGCTAATATACTGATGCTTCCATAAACCATAATTATTTGAAATTCAAATACAGCTTCAAAACAATTGTTGTTTACATGCCGACCACATTCATGAAAACAAATTAAATTATTGGTTTTAGTACATCATTGGTAAACAAATTGTCGTGGATCCCTGGACTGCATTGCATTGTAATTTTTTTTTATTTTGAACGCTAACTTAGAAAGGAATTGAGTTTTTGCCACAAACTCTGAATTTTAAATGCCTATATATTAACAAGCCAATGGTGTAGACCTGAGATATTTCAAACTATGACTTCTGATATATCAAACAATATAAGTTTGAAATATCAAAGGTTTACATCATTTGGTTGTAGATGTATAGGTATTAGAAAATTGAGATTTGTGGCAAAGACTCATTTCCTTTCGGATTGATTTGAGTATTTAGGTATCTATTGGCACTTCTCAGTTATCATAATTTTCAGATTTATTCCTTATTTGCTGAATATTTCTAAATGTTCTAGGCTTTATTCCATACGCCTTTTCCTTTTACCTTTACTGTCACTTTAAGTTGTGGTATTATTTGTTAATTATGCAGATAGTTTGTACACTATATACTGGAAAATTTTTCTAAACAAATTTAAACTACTTCATTAATGCATGTTTATTTCATTTATATCCTTGTGTGCAAATTCATCTTTAAAAAAAAGTTAGGTTTTTATATTTCTTTAGGATTGAATTGAAATTGTACACTCTCTCTACGAGCTCTATGGTTTCTAGTATGAGAATATAGATAAGATAAGAAAACAAATTTTGTATTACATCTTCCAACATTTTCTAACATTAGTTTGTTAAACAATGTTTAAACTTTCTTCTTCCTTTCTTCTTCTTCATCTTCTTCGTCCAAATAAAGGAAAATATAAAGAAACCTTACATAGATCCAGACTGTTATGAAAAGTTGCACATATTTTTAAGAATGGGTCTACTTTCAAGTAACGCAACGCTTTTGCCTTAGATTTAAATTTTCTATCTTTTAGACATGTTCATAATAGAACTTTAAAGCATTTATTTTTAGCGTTAGTTTTAAGAATTAAATTGGGAAAATTCCCCTCGCTTTTTGCGTAAAAGCTTGCAACCATCTTTTGGATCACTGTGACATATTTTGATATCAAGTAACTAAACAGAAAACTTACAACAAATTATAATATTCTATTCCTATATCTTAGCAATTAACCTGAAGTTGTATATACAGGATGTTCCACGAAACATGACAGTAGCAAGACGCTTGAAAGTCGTCTTTGATCTAGGAATTTATTTGTGACATTCAGTTGTCAAACTATTTTAAAATGTATGATTCTCAAAACATTTACCAAAATAATTTCCAAACTGTTTTTGACAAGTGTTCAGTTGCTTTACTTTATTTTTACATTTTATTAAAAAATAAAAAAGGTTTTTTTTATTTTTCAGGATTTGCTGTAAAATCTACAGATATTGGTAAACATATTTCTACAATTTGTCTAAAATGTTGATTTTTTATTATTTTATTTATTCATAACTGCAGAAAGATATAAAGTGTCTTTAACAAAATCTAGCCCACATTTTAAAGATATTCTAAAAGCAAACATCATAGAAAAGAGTTAAGGTAAAAGTTATCAAGTCCCCTTTAAATTCTGCTGACATTTTGGCTTGTATAATTTTTGGCATTCAGCAATGCAAAATCTTTTTATTTCCATTCAACCAGCATCTCGTTAATCTAGAGTAAATTACACGTGTAATATTTAAAGTATAGGTGACTCATGCTAAAAACCTCCCCCAGCCTCACACCTTTATCTCTTTGTTCTTTTAATGAATGCGGAGTAGTTAACCTGAACTGATTCATTAAGATTCAACAGTGCACCCTAGACCTTTGAACCGAACAGACGTATGAGTTAAGCTCCGTTTGTTCAACCAAAGGCTAGGGGACGGGCACTTCATGGACAGCTCTCAGAAGGCTTACAGCATGTGGACTTACATGATTATATCTACATGATCATATCTTCAGNTCTTCCTATATAGGAGTTAGTGGAGACTTGCTTAACGGCTGAGGGACTCTTCATATACACGAGTTAGGGGAGACTTGCTTCACTGCTGAGGGACTCTTCCTCATATAAGAGTTAGTGGAGGCTTGCTTTACCGCTGAGGGACTCCACAAATATATGGAATATGATTTAATGTAAATAGATATTAACAGATATATTTGTACCAATAAAATATGTAATGTTAAACCACCCACTTATTAAAGACCTTGAGAGATAGATATTATACACAAGAAGAGAGGTTTGGGTGAATTATGAACTGGTACTGGGAATGAAAGTGAAGTCTTGTATTAACCCTCAAATGATGGGGGACAACGATTGATCTTGATTTCCCTTGGATTTATGTCTGGGATTGTAACGATATCAAGGGATTAAATGTTACACACGTAAAATTAATTCTTTATTATATCATAACTACTGGTATTGCATTGAGGATGAGTGTCACTTGAAAATAAAGTTTACCGTCCATTTAAGGTATTTTTTTCACTGCTGGATATCAAGTTCGGCTGCTAAACCCTAGCAATATTCAAAAGTTTTGCCCTCTGTACTTATAAACTTTTGTTTGCAAAAAAATGGATTAAAATCTTTAATCTTCTTATATCAGGTTATTTTTGGCATATCACAGATTTCCATCATGACCCATGGTATGGAAGAAAGCTAGGAACAATATTTTTGAAATCTTAAAAGCTCTTTAACGTGCAAACTGCAAATGACAACAAACCATGATTTTTTCCTAATTCGGTTATTTTGACTATGGCGTGCTCATTTTTAAATAATTTTTTTTACTTTCATTCTGACCCAAACACAGTCAAATTTAATATGAATCATTGGCGCGACTTTACAACCTCATATAATTTTAATGTTACACAATTAGCAATTAGCTTGGTTGCAAGGTTTTTTATTTTTTTTTTCTATAATACAGCTCTTTTTTATAAAGTTCATGGTGAGCTATATTGGGAGTTTGGTAAACCCTTGTTCTAATGTCCGGAACAATCCCTTGATTGGTAAACCCATGTTCTAATGTCGGAAATAATCCCTTGAAATTATAAATTTAAACTTTTTACTGAAGCTAACATTTACGTTGAAACTTTTTGTATTACCAATTTTATTTAATTTCCTGATTAGGTATATTTCGGAGGCTAGATTTTAACAACTTGCATGAGATTTCAGATTTGTATTTGATAACTAACACTGAAAAACTGAGCTCAAGTATTGAATACTAAGCTTAGATTAAAAATTCAGCTAAAGAGTGGATTCACTAAACTTTTTGATCACTTCGTGTCCGCTTTTCTAGCAATTTCATGCACTTTCTAATTACCTAAAACTGTAAAACTTTTTCTAAAAAAAAGGTTTTGTTTGGCCAGTCAAAATTGTTTCCTTATGGAAGGTCGTGTGATATATCACAAATCAAACTATAAATTCTAGGGGATCCAATAGTTTGGTATATAATAAAATTTGCACAGAGTGAAAACAAAGAAAGAAAGAAAACAAGAGTGACAAGTGTTCAATTTATAAAGTATAAAATTAGTTTAAAGGGACTGTTGTAAACCTCCATTTTAAGAGAGCATGTCCGATTCTATAGGGTACCCTTTAAAAAATATAGACGTTTATCTAGCTTAAAATTTCCTCTATTATTTCTGCAGCAGAAACCCGCAAGTCAATTTTCTAAAGAACACACAATTGAACATGATTAATTTCTAAAAAATAAAAACACGGGCATCCTATTCATTCTTGACCAGACAAACTTTTTAAAAGTACTTTAATAACGTCCACATCCCCTTTAAAGATCACTGTATTTGTAATCTGTAGATTAAGGTGAATACATGTACATGATACGGCAATGTTTGTTTAGGATTTTACCTATGCAAACAATTGAATTCGGATTTATAATAAGCTTGAAAAATTTGCTCATATTTGTATGCAACATGTGATGTGAAACACTTTGTGGACCATGTATCTACTACTTTTAAAGAAGCTTAAATAAATCCCAGCTTGGAAACACAGCTTTGCTCATGGAAACTGAATAATAATAGTAATATGATAATAATAAAAAAGCTGTAACAATATGTTTCACAATATGTTTTGCGACCAAATCCGGCCGATTAAAATATCCTAGAGTATCAAGCATGTCATAATCTACCATGAGGTCTGATGGAACCAGCACTAAGTCTCAGATCTCTCTTCCTCGAAATAACTCATGTGCTCTGATTAGCGCCAGATGGGTTCAATAAAATTGCCCGATTAATCTTATTTATAACTGTAAAAAATACAAAATGCAGAAAAAGAAATATATACACAAAATCGGTTAGTGGAAATAAAATCTTTTAAATAGCTCGAAAATATGCAATAAACTATAACATGGATAAATTCAGATTTAATTTAAGCAATACAAGGATACAAAGCTCATTTATCAATTAAAAAGAATGCAGTAATGCCTAATTAATACCTTAATGTGATGCTGTAAACAGATCAAAACATTATTATCGGCAATACTAATTGTATCAAGTTTAACTGACGATAAATGGCGGATACAGTATATAACGTAAGCTAAAGTTTACAAATCAAAACTGGTCGCTGCAGTTCAGACTTCCACCCCTGGACTTCAGGGATTTCACATCTTTTGCGTGAAGAACTCAGGGACGAGGGAATTCAAAGAGTGACGATTTCGTCGCGTAACAGTTTAATTCGTGATATTCAAGCCACATCAAATTTGAGTAATTTTCATTCTGGATTTAAAGCTTACAGGTTTTCAAACATAACTCCTTTTTTGAATAGCTGTTGAGACGAACAAAAATGTTTTTATATTTCTAATATTTATCTAAATCAAGGATGTATTGCAAGGAAAGTTATTCAAAGAAGTGTACACATCTTTTGTACTGCAGTGTACTGTCTCTGGGTGCTAATGTAAACACAAGAGGGATGTCGAAGCCTGACATGGGATCCATCTTTCACATAAAAAATCAATGAAATATTCTGGTCATAGGAAACTAATATGTCAATTATCAAAATTATCAAAAATTAATGCTTTTAACCTCCTCGGATACTAAACGAACAGTGATGCATCTATTCTTGTTTACAAATTCCGCCCAGAGAGAACTGGCTTCAATATGTACGCAGATTATACGCGACCGCAATTAACTTTCCTTGCATTATAAGCTTGATCTAAATGTAGTTTTGTGAAAACTAGATGAGTTACAAGGTCACAAAGTCGTAATATCACAAAGATCGGACCTTTTCCGCCTGAAGCATGAAACGTGTTAATAACACGCAATGAAAGTCGTTATTAATTGTAATTGTAATTGTAATTTTTAATTGTAATTTCTAGAGGTGTAACATTAGCAGGTACTCATTACAAAGAAAGACGATTTACATTTCGCTTTTTACTGGTAAAAGATGATGTTTCGGTAATTAAAAAAAAATCAGAATTTGTAAAAAAATATTGGTTTCCAAGATGAAAAAGATTACTATCTGGGTGAATATGACCAGGTATTATTTTTCTCCTTTACGCTTTTTTTCTGTAAATATTTAATCTATTTTAAGTAATTTAATCTTTAAGAGGAGAGATTGTTACAATTATTTTATCTAGAACATTCAGAAATTCAAGACAGATTAAAAAATGCCATAAACACAACAAATCAAAATTAAAATTAAAAAAATTATATCTATCTTTTGTATATCTTTCTATGTATCTTTATTTCTATCTTATATTTATCTATCTATTTATATAATTATTTATAATTCTATCTTTCTAATTTTCAATCTTTCTATTTATCCATATGGTCTTTAAATTATTTCTGTATTTTTCAATCAAATGTTAAATCATTGTTTTGACATAATAATTTGTAAAGTTCAGGTAGCTATACTAAAAGATTTATTCTTTACATTAAAAAATTATATTTCGTAAAGCTCAACAAATGTGAAAATGATATAAATCAGTCATAAACAAAGCCAACGTCAATTTGAATATTGGAAAATAATTAGATAATGTTCAGACGGTCTGGAGTATAAATATGTCTGTTTTTCTAATTAAACAATCTAAACATATATAGATATAGATATAGATCGAGGCAAGGCGCTTCGCATCTCTCTCAAACAGACTATGGGTGTAATTTTTTGCGACCCGTCAAAACGGCAACTTTAAAAACTTTGTTTGATTTATAATATTGAAGGTATCCTAGTTTCCTGGATTGAAAACTGTTTAATTCTCACATTTTCTTCATTTATTTCTGTAACAAAATATTCTGCAAGTCACTTTAATAAAGAAACCGCTATTTCTGTTAACCAATTTTTAATAAGAAACCATGGATATCTTATTCACTCTTAATCCGGCAAAGCTTTTCTGGGTATTGTTTTGAATCGAACGTGTCACTCTATGAATAGAACTCGGAAACTCTGAATTTACTTCTACATTCCCTTGCAGCAATACTTGTTATTTATTGTTATTTATTGTTATTTATTGTTATTTATTGTTATTTATTGTTATTTATTGTTACTTATTGTTATTTATTGTTACTTATTGTTATTTATTGTTATTTATTGTTATTTATTGTTATTTATTGTTACTTGATTTGGTATTTGCCACTCAGTCATAAATAAGACGAAGAATACGAATTACTTCATCGGAGGGATTGTACCTAACAAAAAGGATAATGATCACTCCAGAAGTGGGATAGTAATTAGTGTCCTCAGTGTTCATTAACATCCCTCCGGTGAGGTAATTAGAATCATGAGTGTTAAATACCATCCTTCTTGTAAAGTTTGCAGCAAATTCCTCCAGTGGAAATTAATTTCCCTCCTGTGGCCTCCAGCCCTCCGGAGGAAATGCTAAATGCTACTATTTTCTTCCAGAACTCTTCAAACTCTTCATTTAATTTGCATGTACCCTAAGCACTAAACAGTTATTTATACTGTACACAAAGCCGGAAATTGAGAGAGCATATCTTTAAAGGAAACTCCTGAATTCCTCTTTTGGGTTTGAACATTTGTATAAATTTTAATCTAAGAGAGAAAATATAAAACAACACTGGTCTTTTATGTAGTTTACTGCATTGTATACTGTAATGTACTGCACTATACTGTATTGCATTGTATACTGTACTGTACTTCACTGCATTGTATACTGTAGTGTACTGCATTTTATACTCTTCTGTACTTCACTGTAACTGTACTGCACTGTAAATACACTGTACTGTATTGTACTTTACTGTACTATACAGTACAGTAAAATAGAGTACAGTACAGTTAGAGTACAATGCAGTACAGTACAGTACAGTACAGTGCAGCATAGTACAGTACAGTACAGTACAGTACAGTGCAGTACAGTACAGTACAGTACTGTAGATTACAGTACAGTAGAGTACAGTACGGTACAGTACCGTAGAGTACAGTACAGTAGATTACAGTACAGTAAAGTACAGTACAGTACAGTACAGTACAGTACAGTACAGTACAGTACAGTACAGTACAGTACAGTACAGTACAGTACAGTACAGTACAGTACAGTGCAGCATAGTACAGTACAGTACAGTACAGTACAGTGCAGTACAGTACAGTACAGTACAGTACAGTACAGTACAGTACAGTACAGTACAGTACAGTACAGTAAAGTACAGTACAGTGCAGTACAGTACTGTACAGTACAGTACAGTACAGTACAGTACAGTACAGTACAGTACAGTACAGTTCAGTGCAGTACAGTTTATGTTTAAAATTGAAGACAATGTAATATTTCAGACGCTAGTTGGCCCTGTTTCGTGTAGAAACTGTAAATTCAATTTAAAATTGCAGTTTTAAATCTTTCCAGAAAAACCATTTTCTTCATAGTTTAAACTAAATTGGAAAAATGTTATGTGAGTTGAAAATTCCAACTTTGATTTTCTTAAATATTTTTACAAAAAAGACATTTTTTTATTTACAAATAATTAGAGTTTCAATGAGATAATTGCAATTATCTATTATTATTGCTATCATCAATCATTGTAACTATCTATTATTGCAATTTTCTAAAATTATGTATTATTGCATTTATATAATATTGCAATTATGTTTTATTGCAATTATGTATTATGGCAATTATCAACTATTGCAAATTGCAATTATCTCTCATGGCAATTAACTTTTCCTGCAATTATACTATTGTAATATTGCACATGCAATTATTCCAGGGATGTTGGACCGAGAAAAGAGGAACTTTTGGAGATTATAATTGTGATGCACCAGATACACTCATAAAGGTACAAAGAATATAAAAAACCAAAAATATTAAATGTATCATCGTATAAATGACAAAGAAACTGATTTTTGTCCTCAAGCTCTCTCTTTGACTTGATATTTTAGACCTTGAATATAATTCAGAATATTATTTTTGCTGTTCATGTCAAAGTTTTAATATCAAAGGTTATCACAATTAGGTTGCACAGAATTAGGGATTTGGAATTTTTGCGATAACGATAACTTTATCTGCAATAAATGGAAAAAGAGAAATTATGTTCTCTGCACGCCAAAGTTTGTTTTCAAAAAGTATATTTTTACGAAATCGAAAACGTATCTTATTTAGTATAACGCTAAAAAAATTAAAAAAGACCAATAATAAGATGTTTCATTTTTATTTCACAACTTAATTTTTATATTTTGTGATGTTTCTACGTAATTATGAAACTAAAAGTTTAATTAGCTATTCTCCCATCTCGGATTAAACACTGATTGGATTTCTGAGAAATTTCTGTGAAGAAAATGTATGCGAAAATACTTTTAAAAGTTTTATAACATTAAAATCACGAAAAGTACATATGTATAATTTACATTTTATATACAAAAATCAAGAAAAGCTATCGAAAGTACATTCGAAAAATTTATTATCTTTTAAGAATTTTTTTTCTTAACTTTTAAACTTTTTTGTTAAATTTCTTAGTCAGCTGTGGAGTTTATCACAGGGTTTAATGAAACCAAGTACGTTTAACCTAGAAGATAATCCGAGTTTCATTTTTTTCATTATCTTTTTAAGAAATTTTTTTTCTTCACTTTAAAACTTTTTTGTTAAATTTCTTAGTCAGCTGTGGAGTTTATCACAGATTTTAATGAAACCAAGTTCAACCTAGAAGATAATTCAAGTTTCATCTTTTGGACCGGGTAAACAATTATTAGATAAAACATGTCTGGATAAGATGAAAAAAACACATTGGAGAAGAGGGTTGGGAAAAGTCTACATAAAGCTGTCAGACTTATTCTTTTTAATTCATTAATATCCATTAATTTACTAAACGGAATGAAATCAATTGAGAAAAGTAATATAACGTGGTAATGATCCAAACCCTTGATAGTTCAAAGTATAAAATATGCTGGATCAAATAGTCAAAGTTTGAAATATCACCATAAAGATGAAAAGATTTTAAAATTTAAAAGAAATAAAAATGAATTTCACTCTTAAATTATTTTCCTCTGAAAAATATATCGTTGTCAATTAATGTTGCGAAGAAAACGGGTTTCTATAAACACAAAACTGAAAGTTCTGAAGAATTTTGCAATTCATTGTATTTAAATTAATAAAAATCAATGAAATTGCCATTGTTTAATTTTTACTTAAATACACTGCATGTTAAAATAACTAACAATCAATAAAAATAGTATGAGAAACATAATTGTATGGTATTTTTAATTTTGAAAAATACTTCATACACAAAAAGTTCAGTAATATTTAACAATTGCAGGGATAACACTGCTCATGCTGAAAATTCATTTTTTAATGAAACATTGGTTCTTGATTCAATAGATTTCATTGTAAAACAGGTTAATATTGTATTTCATCGTATTGTGTTGTTGTATTGTATTTAATTTGAACGCTTTTTCTTCTTTTACTAATATATGCCATTTAAAAGATAACAGTATAGGAATTTTTTTTCTGTTTTCAATAAATGATTTTTAGAAATTTAAGAAATCTAAAGTTTTTAAATAAATATATATGACTTTTACATCGCAAACACAAACAATCAGAAAAGCTAAAAGTAAGTAAATAGATTATATTATGATGACATTTTAAATTCAATTGTGTTTATGTGTTTAATGACTTTTTCAGTTGGTCTCAACAGGAAAAATTGTATTTCCCGTTCTGGGAAATCATGATGTTCATGAAAAAAATCAGGTTTTTCTTTAATCATTTTTTTTTTCATTCAAAACAGTTAATCAAATATTGTTCTTGAAATTATTTTTATATTACATTTAGTTATTTTATTTCAATAATTCATTCATGTTTAAGTCAATTAAATAAAGCGCTGATGATAAACTGACTCTGTAAAAGAGAAAAATATGATTATAACAGTACTCTTATCTGATCAATAATGTGAAAAATATTATCGTTGTTTTTGCAGCAAAATTCCAAAAGTCTCTTTTAAAAGAAACCACAAAAAAACATTTAATTTGTTGTGAATCTATAAATGGTTGATTAATTGGAAATACGTGCACAGTCCCATTAATACGTATTTTTACGATTATAAGAAAATATTTTGTATTAAGATGCCGGAAGGAGAAGATTACTATACTAAGTATAAAGATATTCTAGAACAGTTCCCGCGTCTCAACCAGTCCTCAATACTTCAAGATATTCAACAAAAAGGTCCTATTTATAGAGCCTAGGGACAGTGTTGTTAATAGTCTTGGATTTGAAAACTTTTAATAAAACTTCTAAAATATCAAAACTGGCATAAGCTAAGGTTTGTTTTTATTTTACTATAAGCAATATTTTTATCTAAACAAATAAAAACGATCCAAACACGATCGTTTTTTAAAAAATTCGTTTTTAGGTTTTTGTAGTTCGTTTTTCTGTCTTTATTTTCTGTCATGGCCAAGATTGGGCATAATGTTAGAACAGCAAATGTTTAGAAGTTACCATTTTTTTTAAACAATTGCTTTTCTACACTATAATGACCAATTTGGAAATTGAAAAATAATAAAGGTAAAAAAAGTTACTATAAGAAACCAACAGAAAACATCACTATCTAAGGATGGACAAATCCGTTTTTCTTCTTCTTTAGAAATCCTGCTAAACTACTTGGCAACGAACCTTCCAAAAATAATAAGTAGGATAAAATAGAAAAAAAATATAAAATTTTTTTTTGAAGGATAGTTTTCGTTTTCAACCCGAATCAACGCATTTCTCGATTGGATTTTGATTTTAAATTTTATCTAAATAGAATTTTAAAAAATATTTATTTTAGTACAGAAATATGTAACTTTTTCAGGAGGATATTTCTCTGTCGGCCCAGATACAAATATTATTGATTTTAAGCTTAGGAAAACTCTTTTATTCTATATAATGAAGATTTAGTTAAAAAGAAATTTGTTTCCAAAATCGTGGATTCATGTTGGGTGAAAAATTCTAAGGTTGAAATATCAAAGGGTTAAACCATCAGGTTGCAGAGCTATTATTTATTCAAAATTTGTAAATATTTACGAAAAAACTGATATTTTCAAAAATCATTTCGAAATGTTAGTGTAAACATTGGACTTTGATATGAATACAAATGTTGATCTGCAGAATAATTGGATTAAACTCTAATCTCTGGTATCAAAGCAATCATCTTGTTTCTGATAAACCAGATCCTGCTGATCAATTCAGGTGAGTGTTGTCTATATTCCTGATCCCGCTGATCAATTCAGGTGAGTTATGTCTTATATTCCAGATCCCGCTGATCAATTTAGGTGAGTAGATTCTTATATGCCAGATCCTGTTGATCAGGTTGTGTGACAGGTCTCTTATGTATCAGATCGTGTTGTCAATTTAGGTGAGTGGATTATGATATACCGGATCCTGTTGATCAATTCAAGTTAGTGTTTTCAAATATACCAGATCCTGCTGATCATTTCATATGATTGGAAATGAAAGACGACTTTTCTACTCAAGCTATGATTTTAAAAATTCCGATGATATATATTGGCTGTTTTCGCAAACCATTTCACTTAACTATTGATTTATTTAATTACAATAGCAAAATTATTTGCATGGTAACAACATCGAAAACACTTAATATTGTCTAAATCTTGTATTTCTATTTTACAGTTATATGATTCTCACAGATAGCAAAAAATTATCTTTCTTGCTTAGAAATTTTGAAGAAGAATTAAAATCTGCTCGAGAGAATAAAGAAAGAGTACTTATATTCTCTCATATCCCACCTGGGAAATTTGAAAGGTAAATCAACAATTAAAATTTTCTTAAAGAAAAAAAATTATTTATAAAAAAGTTGTTTTTCTTCGTATGATTCAACTGTTCTTTAAATTTTCTATGTCATTTGAAATAACAAGATTTCGAAATTAACATAATTTTTAAAGTCACATTTATAGCTTCCTGCAAACTTATAACTACAACTCAAACAAAGTTATAATTTTATTTCTAAAATTGTGTTTTTTTTTACAAATTTTCCCTAAGATCGTTTCTTTCTGCACGAAAAAAATATTCCAGTTATGAATCTTATGTCACTTTTTGCAAATGTTATTAACAATAACATACCATGTGCACTGAAAACTATAAAAAATGAGAAAGTCAAATTTATGCGACATNCTTTTAGGCACACAAAGCATTAGTCTCCGGAAAATCAAAACAGTGTTTAAACATCATTTATCATTGTCGGAGGAGGCTGATCTGTTGCATGTGAACTCAAAAATATGTATTGTAACTTGAAAATTCAGTTTCAAAAATATCCGTGCAAAAGCGCCCGCGCTGTTTTTGATTTTTGGTAAAAAAAACCCTACTTTATTCACGTTTTTCAATTTTTATTTGAACTTCAAGACATGTAATCTCTGAATAATTTTGCAAAAAACAACAGGTAATTTTGAAAAAAGAATTCATTTCTGAGGTTAAAATAGACATTAGAGGGTTCTGACCGACGCACGAATAACCAGATGTTTTATTATGGGTCATCTTACCAAAAAATTACATGTCATCTGTCGATTCTGGGTAATTGGGCACAGGGATTCTATTTCTTGGGTAAAAATGTCTTTTGAGCACTCTGATCAGCGCGCTATTAGTCAGCTGTTACATTTTGGGTTGACCCAATTTGTCCATTTGTCCATATCCTTGGTTAGAAAATCGTGAGAACACTTTGATAGGCGCACTGGAGTTACCAAGCAGGTCATCCTACCGTAAATGCGCTCGTGTTTTTCACATTTTTGCATTTTTATGTTAGTTTTAGCAACAGAATCAATTAAAATGTCAAACTATGATAAGTTGACCTTCTAGCTAGCAGCTAGCAATCAGTGCAATTTATCCTCAAGAAATAGAATACTTAGGTCTAGGTACCTAAGATCGGCGTAAACATGTAAGATGCAAGATGACAAGGTAACTGCTGATTGCTAGCGCATTGATAAGAGTGCCTTTATATTTTTTTAATCTAAGAATTGGACTCAGCATGCTCAATTTTCCTTAAATCGACAGCTGGCTACTAGCGTGCCGATCAGAGTGAAAAAAAACATTTTTATCCAAAATTTGTGGTAGGAGACCCATAATGTGACAATATTTATTTTTACCTCAGAAATTAATTCTCTCTTCTCAATTTACCTGTAGTTTGATGTTACGAATACTACTTAAGTACAGAATTAGGTCATAATTGAAAAAAAACATAAAACTCACATATTTTCTAAAATGCACGCGCAAAACTTTTCAAGCATTACATAATACAGTGTCTAGAAACATATTCAAGTTCATTTAATGGTGTCAAGATTTCATAAATATAAAACGCGCACATATGGAAGGATGATAGAAGGCAAGCTGCTAGTGCGCCTATCAGAGTGTTCTGACGATTTAATGGCCAAGGAAATGGCCTATTACCTTTAAATTGACGCACAAAATGTAAAATCTGTGGTATGATGGACCATAAGTTCTGTCTACAAGCACGCCGGTTACACTGCTCCAGTTATTTGTCTTCCAATATTCTTACCTCGTGCAATGAATTCCTCGTGCCCAATTTCATTTAAATCAACAAACAATATGTAAACCCTTGTGCTAAAACGACCCATAATTTTGTTAACAACTGCATACTAGCGCGCCTGTCAGAATTCCCCAATACTAATTTTGTTCTCGGGAATGAATTCCTAGTTCCTAAATACCTTTAAATCGACATAGAACCCAACAAATCTGTGCTATGTTGACCTATAACATTACAACTAGCTGCTAGCGCGCCGGTCAGAACGCTCCAATATTTATTTTGACCTCCGAAATGAATTCATCGTTCTCAAAACCTGTCAATCGACATACAACAAGAAAAATATATTGTAATATGACCCCAAACGTACCAGCTGGCAAAAGCGCGCCGATCAGAGTGCTCAAACGACATATTTACCCAAGAAATAGAATTCTCGTACCCAATTGCCTAGAAATTGACATACGACGTGTAAAATTTGTGGTAAGATGACCCATTTCCTAAATTTAAGTTTAGATTGATATAATATATTGCATACTACTTCTGTACGGAATGATGTCAAAATTGAAAGAACATACAATCTCAAATATTTTCAAAAATGTGCGCGCTCACTAAGATTTAAGGCTCTTTGCGCATAAATTTTCAGGGATTTCATGTCAAAAAGAGCCTTGAAAGTGAAAGAAATGTAAAAAAAGCACTTGTTTTTGCTCGTATCTTTTTGAAACTGAATTTTGCAGTTACAATACGTGTTCACCCGCAAAAAATCAGCATTCTTCGATAATGCTAAGTTATGTTTAAACACCGCTTAAATTTTCCGGAGAGTAATACGTTTTTAATTTAGCCGGTTATTTAAAACATTTTTGTTCTTCCTAATACCTCGATCTTTAAAAAAAGAAGTTATGATTGAAAACATAAAATATTTCAATTCAATTTACTTTAGTTTGACAAGATTGATTTAATATTCAGAATAACTAGTGGAGTATTTAGATTTTAATATTTTTAGATTTTACCAGAAAATGACCGAAGTTGATTATTCTGGGTACCACTGGATGTATGAGAGGTTTAACAAGAGGTATTTAAAAAGAAAATGAATCTGATTTTTATTTTCTTATATAGTTGTAAATAAAGGAAAAATCTGTGGTGCTCGGCCCCCAAGCCTGTCTAGCCCGTGACAGTTTTCCCCATAATTGTCTGCCCTAACAGTGTCATTCTGCCCTCTACTCAGTTTAAACCGCAGTGCTCGGGCCCTAGTGTAAGCCACGGCGCTCGGCTCTTAACCTTTTGTAGCTATCGTCGCTCGGCAAAAATCCGGCTTCTATAATAGGTCAATAAACTTTTATCTCCTAACCTAAAAAGAAAAACTACCAACGCTATATATAGATGAACCGAAAGGTAGTTCAGCGACCCCGCAAATTCATTAAATCTGGTCTCCAATCACACAATTTATCATCTTTTTTGTTAAGGTATCTGAACATAATAGAAGAATTTTGGGACATCATTGAACTGCAGCTGTTTGCCCATCATCATACTGACAGTTTCAAAGTAAAGACAATTGCTTTTGAAATCATGGTCATTTTCTCATAAAAGAACGGGGTTTTTGATTTCTTTTTCTTCATAATTAAAACAAAGCTGATGTTCATTACATAGATGTACCTTTCAAGTGAAAAAGAACAATTAAAACTTGTACTTTTTATCTATTTTTACTTAATATTTATATTTCTTGTTTGTAAAGTTTATTAGTTGCCTTTTGATCTATTTAAAAAATTGTATTAATAGATTATTTATTGTTGATTATTATTATTATCAATCATCTAACAGACGGTAGATTAATCAAAATAGTGTCATGTTCAATTCACAACAGTATAGTACCCTTTAACCCTTTATTTAAGTACAATGAGAAAGATATCACCATTTGTCTGCCTTGAAAAGTGGTAATTCTTTATATTTCCTAATCAATCCGGAATTCACCATTTTATAATAATAATTAAAAGCATTCATTTCATCTTTAAGCTCCTTTTAGTTCAGTCCCTTTTAATATTTAGGTATTTCGAGGACTAAATGGAACCCCTATCAGTGTAGGTCTTGTTGCCCCTGGATTGACTCCCTGGAACTCTACACTAGCCCCTGAAACAGGGGCGAATAATCCAGGACTCAGGGGCAAAATAAATACATCCAATCTATATTGTAAAAGTTCTAAAATTCTAGTAAAGTACATTTCAACCTTCGCCTAAAAGAATAAGTTATCAAAAACACAAACCTAACTTAATTATCGCCTCAATTTTATGCTATGAAAACTAACACTAAAATTCAGGAGATTGGTTTAAATTGAACCCGTTTTATCTTTCCTGAACAGTGATGGATAAATATTACATATGAAATATTATAACTTACATAAAACGTCTTTAAAAACGTTTCTGTCAGTTTTTAGATTTTTCTAATTTCAAGTGGTCTTCAAATTTGTACTTGCTATTAGCTTAAACTTTATATTTTAATTAGGAATTTCTAGAATTTGCTGAATATTGAAAAATGATATGACGTCATTGTTTTTAAGATACATTGGATACCTATTATATTGGATTATTGTGTTTACAATGTCAGTAAACATTCCAAAAAAATCATTAAACGTTAAAAAATACGAAAATGAAAGAGAAAGTTTTGGGGAGTCTATGTGACCTAGTTTCTCCATTGCAAGAAATGCGCAAGTCACCTCTTCAGAAAAATTCCTTTTTTTGCAGATCAGCCAACAATTTGAAGGGTACCATTGCAAATTGAACATGCCACTCATGTCAATGGAGTGTCACTTGAAATTATCTATCACTTTTATAAAAGGTTATAAAGCTGGTTTTTAAGTTTCGGATTTTTCAATAGAAAAAACTGAAAAATGTAAGAATAAATTTATAGTTTTTGACCAAAAAATATACGACACTTTCCGTGTAGATTTTAAAGGGCTTTTCAAAAATTAAAGTTTTAAAAAATTTGGGCTTATTTATTATTTTGCCTTTTAAAGGTTGTTTAAATACAGCAAAAACGATGGAAGGGTGAGTTTACTTTTAAATAAGAAATTTTTCAAACATTCCCCTTACTCACCTTTTTTGATTACTTCTCAAGTTTTCAGAAAGGACTGAATCAGTTTTGAAAGAAGTTTAAGAAATTTCTTTGATCAGTCAAATAATTTTATTAATTTTAGTTTTGTTTTATTTTTTTTTATTCATTTTTATTAAACATCTTACTAACTAAAAGTAAGTTTTAAAAGTGTGAAAACCCTAAAGAACATAAATTATTATAATTTTTAATGGTTTTAATGGACAAAAGAAGCAAAAATAATTGCCTTTAACTCTTATTTTCCAATAACTATATCTTGGCAGCCTACTGGTAAAACCCTTGATATTTCAAATTTTTGCAATTGGATCTTGCTGAAAGCATACTATAAGTGTTTTAGACAAATTTGAATTCTAAAAGTGATGTGAAGTTTTTATTTTTGATTTTGCATTCTTTACTACCCGATGTTGTAGACATGTTTAACTTTAAAAAATAATTTATTTTAATTAAGGGTTGTGGGCAAAAGCTCACGCATACAAAACAAAACGATATTAATGCAGTAAGCTTGTTTCCAGTTTGTTATCAAAGTCTTTCTAGTTAAAGTTTAGTTGTAGACATTTAATATTTAAATCTATGAGTTTTTTTAGTTAAATTATTTTAAGTTTGAAATATTAAAGGTTCTAAAGATACAAAGATTAGAAATTAGAGTTTGTGATGAGCGTTCAGTTTTTCTACAAAGGAACTGAGTTCTCTCCACAACTCCGATTTTTGTACCCTACATACCAGCAACCAGATATTGCAGGCCTTTAATCTTTCAAAATTTTAATTCGGATCAGAAAATTTGAGTTTGATGGCAAAACTCAGAGTCTTTTTTAATTTTAAGAGTGAAGTCTTGATAGATTTTGTACTTCCTACTTCCTACAACTTTTGCTACCTAACGTATTATACCTTTGACCCTATTCCTGCTGAGGGGTGGGGGCAATTTGACCCCCCCTTCCTGTAGTTTTTTTTACATAACTCAAAAAGCATTGGTCTGAGGCTGTTGAAATTTTCTGACTTTTCCTACATACCCAAAGCCCTCCCTTTAGGGCTAAAACCAGGCTTTAATACTAACTGCCTGAGTCCTCAGGCACACTGTCTAAATCACTGCTTTTTCCTGTAACAAACTAAATCTTTGTTTTGACCCACTTCCACTTGTCAGATTTTGATAAAATTTAGCTTTTTGGAAATCCTTTGACATAAGGAAACAAATTGCACAAGTTTTGCGAAAAAAACATGTCTAAGGAAATTTGCACATTTTCAAAATTGTATAATTTTTCATTTTTTGGAAAATTTTTTTTTGCAAACATATTATATAACTGGATTTTGCGATAAAAAATTCAATTCTAAAAGTAGAGCACAAGGGCTTTCCAGTGATGTATCATTTGTCATATTTGGACATCAAACATGGGATTTAGAGGGGGGGGGGGGGTCAATTTCAATTTCAAGTACCCCAGCAGAGATAGGGTTAATTTCAAAAATTTTTGAAAGTTGTTAGATTAATTACTCTAAATTTGAAATATCTAAGATACAGCGGTTAGAAAATTAGAGTTTGTGGCGAGCACTCATTTTTTTACGTAGGAACTGTGTTCTAAACACAAAATTCGATTTACTAATCCCTATAATTTTGTCTTAGTGAATAAATACTAAAGTGGAAGAGACAAAATAAAAACGACTTAATTTAATGTTTTATGGCTCCAACTCAGTTCTTTTTTTTAATTCTAAGAGTGAAATTATTTTAATTCAGGTTCTGGACTTCTCTCAGTTTTATCTGAACCTCACCCAGGAATGTTTAATCTAAAAAATTATTAAATTCTTCTTGAAGAAAAACATCCGTTAGACGTGCAACATAGAAGAAAAGTAAAAATAAAAATTAGCCTTGAAAGAAAGTTGAAATTTACATGTTAAAAAATAAAGAACTCCAAGTAAAATTTTAGATTCACAATGGTAGTATTTAAATTTTTATTAGGGCAACAATGAGGAAGATTTTTAATCAAATCTGAAAATAATCTTGCAAGTTTTCTAAGGTCTTGAATATTATCTATTCAGTGTTTTGTGAAATCCAATATCTTTATATTACACAGCTTCAATCTTTCTAAGTTATTATGATTGAAACAACTTTTAAGTTTTAACTCGTTTATTTAGTAAAAAGACATAATCAGGAGTTTTTCTATAGCTTTTTCTATTTTTTTCCCAGCATTTTTACCGACAAGGTTTTAACATTTATAAAGGATGTTGACAAATTCTGGAATTACAAAATTAAATTTTGTTTGAAACCTTTAGCATTAATTAGAAATTCTGGAAAAAGCAACTTAGGAATTTTCCTTTTAACATTTTTACGACAAACTTTTTTTAATTTTTGGAATTTTTAAGTACTAGCCAAATTCGATGCATTTTTTGTACACTTTTATACCGGATGATCAGCTAATTTATTAAACCTATTCATTTAATTTAAAGTTACAGAATCGGTTGAACCCTGGCCGGGCCTGCATCTAGGTGTAAACTGGACTGGGTCGTCTCAAGGGTGTTAGATACTTTACCAAAGGCATTTTTCCAGGGGCGACTTCCCAAGTGACAATTTCCCAATTATTTAGGTCCAGCACATTCAAAAATAAGCTAGACTTACAAATTCAGAGAACTATTTTGTACACTTTCATCCAAATTAATAACATGCAAATTTGTTAAACCTTCCCTTTCAATTTAAAGATATATAATTTGTTTTAATGAGCTGGCCTTCGAAATTTGAACTGTGACATCCATACTTCGTCGATAATTAATTGCAAATATAATTAAACAATTGACAAAGGCAAATGAGATTGGAAAAGCTCACTGGGAGCTTGAGTATTCATTCCTGGACTTCTACAATATCAGGTTTAAAGGAACTGTCAACGATAATTAAAGTGACCCCCAATTTAAAGAGATGCATGCCAGATTTACAACGGTACCATTTAAACCAATTCATATGAACAATCTTTAAAAAGATCGGTGTTGTTTTTTCTCTGAAAAAGTGTTACACAATTTCTTTGCTGCAATTTCGCAGATCACTTTTTTTCTTTTTATTTTAAGATTAAAAATAAGAATATCATCATCATTTTTGCTAAAGTTCAGCCATGGGAATCGGCCATATCCCTTTCTAAATAAAAGGGTCATTTAAAATTGTATCGACTGTTTCTTCATGGAATGGGTTTTGGGAAATGACACAAATAAAGCTCTAATCAATTTTATAATGATTGATATATCCTTTCATATATCGTTCTAATCCTTTTACAATTTGATTGAACGTTGTCCAACAGCCATTTTTTCCAGACCCCTGCGCTATTTCTTCAAATTTATGTATAGATCTATTACTTTTTCTAAACTGCAACAATTATAAAAGGATATAAAAATAATTATTTCCGAGTCCCTTATCCTCCAGAGTTGTCTTAAACTTTTTGCATATACTTTATAAAAATAGACAAAGTGAAAATTGAAAAAGTTTCCTAACCTGAATACTAAATATAGATTCACGGTCCTTGCATGGGGGTTAGGGGAGTTTGCAAAATATGGATCGTGTTTGCACAATTCACGTATAATAAAAGTGCTGAAAAACAAGCAACATCTATTTAGTCTTTATACATACTTTGATTGTCTGTCCCAGTGATCCAAAGTTGTATGCTATTAAGCAATCGATGAGAAGTTTGCCAATTTCTACTTGAAAATAGGTATTTCATAGTTGATAGGCGGCTTATGGGGGAGGAGAGGGGACATCACCCCCCCCCCCATCCTCCTGCAAAATTTGGGGGGAAATACCCTCTCTAAAAAATTGGTGGAATGCCCCCCAACCCCCTGGTAAAATTAGGCGCGCAAGAAGAGAGAGAAGGCCTTTAATTTTGAATTTAAATAGGAGATTGCCTGCAGTTAGCTCAAAATTTAGATTTTTTATAAAAATCCAAACTTTACCAAAGCATTTTCCACCTTCCACCTCCCCCTTCCCCAGCTGGTCTTGATTTCGACATTAAATTGATCCAATTCCCTGTACAACATTCCATGGGGTTGGGGGATTTTTTGCCAGGGGGGGAATCCGGCGCACTTGGAGCACAATTTATTTCAATTACCCCCCTCCCCCCCCCCCACAGGAAAATATCATAAGCCTTTCCTGAGTATGGATCTATGTGGAATTGTTTGAACAACTCACCCTGAACGTCTGAGGGCTTTTTGATTGTCTGTTGTTTTGTATGTTAAATTTAAATAAACGTCGAATGGGTTTAACCAAATAAAGTGACCTCAAATGATGATGAACCCAAAAAAGATTAGTTGTCTGTCAATATTTAAAAAATTCCTTAAAAATGTAGATTTTTCAAAAACGTTTCAACGATATGAATACCTATCCTTGTACGTATACAGAGATTTCTAAAAAATTGTATGAGAAAATTATAAATGAAATAGAGGTTAAAATAAGTAAATCTGGGGGAAACAAACAATAGAGATTAATTCATTTCTCGCGTTTCATTAAATATGGTGGTTTTTTTTCTGTATTAACTGTTTCCAATTCATAAGATTAAAAAATCAAAAACATTAAATTGCTTAAAAAATTATGTTTTTTTTTTCATGATAAAAATATAAATATGCATTTAAAGCAAACTTCTAAAAGTTGCAAATAATGATGATGACAGTAATAGCATGTTAATGTAAATTAAAATAATCAAAATTTGCTTGATTTTAATTAATAATATAAATATTTACCAGTGATTTATCTGCCCTCAGTGTTGCTTCTTTACTTGAAAGGGTGAGTTGTGAATACTTTTATTTAAAAATGACCTACCCTTAAAAATTTGTTCTATAAACAAGCATATTAAAGTTGATTTTTTATCGTAACCCTATAAAGGCAAATTTTCAAGGCTAGCTCAAAGAAAAAAAATTAGCCGAAAACTTCAATAGTCTGGGTTCTATGAAGGGTTAAAAAAAATGCCTAAAAAATATTTTTTTGATTTAAACAAGTATCAAAGTGTGACACATGCATTTTTCAAGGGCTTTTAAAAAATATAGTGTTTCGATCTGTAAATTTAGTCACAAAAAAGTTAACTATTTTAGATTTTTTTATCAAAGACCGGACTTTTTTTCTGCCCTATGAATTTAAAATAAATATTTTCTTAACAAAAAATCCTTTAAATTACTATTCATTAAAAGTCACAAAATTTCTCGGAGTGTCAAAAATGAGAGTGCTAGGACAAAAAAAATACAAGGTTGGGGGGGGGGGGGGTTTGCTGTTTGGCGTTTAGGGTTAAAATATTTTTTTTTTAAATAACTCTGACTGGAAAGAAAGAAAGCAAATGTGAAAATCTCATTAATGGAATTTCATCTGAGTAATTAAAGAATTACGAAAACTATGTTAATCAAAATTGAAAAAACCTTGCCAAGCTTTATAAACCAGCTGACAACGTTTAGATGAAAACTGATGACAAGCTGTTTAACCAATACTATTCCCTCAATACTGTCATGTTTGAATCAGAAAAGGTAAAAACTTTTGATTTTAAATTTTTTTTTTATTTTGTAATTTATCTTCATTGGGACCCATTTAACTGTGGAATATGAAGAACACATTTAAGTATTCTTTGAACTTTTTATAGGTAATGTTTTTACCAGTAGCCTGTAATTTCTGGTCCATGTTTTATTGGTCCCTCTGGATATAATTTAAGAATTATTTTTTACCTCTCAGACTTTCGAATGTTTCAATTGGTTTATTTTATCTCTTGAACTTTCCTGTGTGTCACACAGTCCCTTCTTACCTCTTAAAACTTTTAAAAATGTGACAAATCGTCCTTTTCCTTTCAAAAAAATGAATATTTTCCTATTATATCAAACAATTTAGCTTACCTCTCAAACTATTTAAATTGTGCCAAACATTTCCCTCATAAAATCAAATTAAATCAAAAAAAAAATATCAACCTTTTTCTTACTAAAACGATATTAAAATAATTGTTTTTTTAATACATACCTTGGTAATTTTTTAATGTGTATTGTCAAGCAGTTTCATTTTTCTTTGCAGATTTAAAAGTACCCGCTAACTTAAAACTCTACTTAGCATTTTTCTAACGCATTTTTCTAACAAACATTATCAATTACTGGTTTCCTAGGATGCAGAGGAAAACTGTGATGCAACCTGCAGACGGTAATGTTTAAGTTTTATTGCACTTTTATTCTTTTTGGTACCTTAACATAATTGAGTTAAAGTTATGATTTGTGATACAAATCAATAACATTTAATACATTTTAGGAAAGTCAGTAGACTCTACTTCAATAATCTGATTTTAAAAAAATTTGCAAAAATCAAAAAATTTACTGCAAAATCCAGTTTTTAGAAAAAATTGGGCAACATTTTCAATTGCTAAACTGTCTGCTTTCTTTTCTTTAAGGCTTTTCAAAGAACTATAACATGCTAAATTTCATTGACTGGAAGTGAGGAACATGATTAAAAAAAAAATTTAAAATTGAACAGACTCTTCTTGAAATATAAAAATGTGTTTAGATACCATTACTGTGCACAAAGTGAGCTTGATTATTCAAGGTGAAATACATAAAAAATATATTTTAAATTATAAAAAAGCGGTATTTGTCCGATTCAAAACTGTACCACTTAAGGCTCTGTCTAAAAAAATTGAAAGTTTTCAACTGTGATTTCTCCATGAAGTTATTGAGTCTTTGCCACAAACTCTGATTTTCTAATCACATTATCTTTGGAACCAAATGTTGCAGACCTTAGATATTTTAAACTGTGAATTCTGTTAGATCAAATAATCTGAGTTTGAAATATCAAAGGTTTACAACATGGAGTTCTTAAGATATTGAGGTTTAAATATTTGATTTTGTTCCAAAGACTCAATTCCTTTCTGGCCCAGAAATGATATAGTACAAACAAGCTGAGAAACAACCTAATTTTTTAAAATATTGATTAGAAAAAGGTTTACAGATTTTCGTTATGTCTTAGACTTTTTTCAAATACACATTCCCTTTAAACCATTGCTTAATTTTAGTTTTGAAACTTGTATCAGTTCTACATCAAAGGGGGATTCTCCTTCTATCTCAATAGAATTGATCAGTGCTTTTGTCCTTAATGTGTTTTTAGTATTTAATAGTTATTCCAAAATATTTTTGTAAGTATTTAACTGAAATTAAATACACTATAAAATGTAGCAAAGCCTACAGAATTACCAGTAAACATGGAAATTTAATGATAACCGTAAAGCGTCTTTGATCTTTAATACCTAATAAAGGATACAAGTATATATCTTTTTTTTTGATCAACTTAAAGACAGATTCTATAAATGATGAAATTCCACACTGAATACACTATAACTTCAACATAAGCGAGATCTTCATTTTATGTGGCATCACTTGTGCGCCTTTGAAACCTTGTAATTCCTCATCTTTTATGTTCTTTTACGCAAAGAGTAAATAGATCAAATTATTTTGGTTGTATTTAAATTTATATTATTTCATCAAAACTTCTTTAGTAAAATGAGTTGAATTAAAAAAGAGGAGATTTCAAACTAAAATTAATGTGAATAGTACACGGTAGACTAAGCCAGTGGGGTCGGTCAAATAGGCCTATGATTAGGCCGGGTACTGTTAAAAGTCTGAACGCGCCATGGGAGTTGTCATAGTTAGCCCTCGCACGGGACTATGCCAAGAAAATTGACCCCTGTCGTATGTTAGTCTGGTTAGGGAGACATACTGTACAGAATATACAGGGTGTCCCACGAAACATGACAATAGAAAGTCGTCTTTGGTATTTGAATTTATTTGTGACATTTAGTCTTCTATCTACTTTAACATGTATGATTCTTGAAACAATTATCACATAATTCTCCTAGCCCTGGCATTTCCAAAAAGAGGTCTGCGTTTTTTGTGCTTTCAATGTTACCGGAGATATAAAGAGTTTGGTTCAGATTTCAATTTTGTTAAATAAAAGCAAAATTGTCGACATCTAAACGAAATTCTTCATATCTCGGGCAATATTGAAAGCACAAGAAAACAGACCACATTTTGGAAATGGCAGGACTAGGGAAATTTTGTGATTATTATCTCTAGAAATTTACTTCTAAAATTAGATTGACAAATAAACGCAGCAAATTATATCAAAAATCAAGACGACATTCAAGTCGTCCTGCATTCTGTCATGTCTCGTGGGACACCCTGTACCATAGGATCGGGTCAGTACACGCTGTTATCAGCCAGGCCGGTACAAACTGGGCAGGTCCTGTTCGAATTCAAATTTACTACGGGGATAGAGTGAGTAGGACTAATATGAAAATTACTTTGATAAAGAAAAATGTCCTGCTTGTTGGGAAGCTATAATGTAAAATCCCGACTTAGGACTGAAGGAAAGGTCATGAATTTAAAACTTTAAAAATGGCAACGGCTTCAAACAAAAACTGCTTGCGTTCAAAAATTTATTTTTGCGTTTTCTGAGAAAGTTTTTCCTTCGAAAAATAAAAACAGAAATTTAACAAACTTGAAAAACCTGAAACTTTCAGTATTTCTATTTTTATTGTTTTTTACCTCAACTTCAGGGGCTGATGTTTGCACAGGGGGGGGGGGGGGGGGGATGACTGCAAGTAAAGAGATAAAGATTCTATCTAATTTGGTTATGTAAACCTCTCCGGAGTTTTTTTTTAAGAGCATCATAAACCATCGTAGACTTCCCTTCACACAATTAGATAAATGTTGTTTTCACATTTATCTTTGCACCAGGGCATGTTTAATAAAATAAAAACTGGTAATTCTGCAGTACATTTGTTTGCATTTGTCAAGAGATTGTTTGTTTATTTTTAATTATGTTTGTTTGTTTTAATCTTCTTCAAGCCTCCTGAGAGTCTTTTGAGAAATCTCTTGATTGATAAACCTTTTTCTTTTTTCATCTGTTTTAAAATTTTTCGATTATGTTACAGTATGACCAAATGTATGAGCGAAAAAAGCTTGTACCTAGGTCAGCCAAAAAGTTCAAATTGTCGATGGAAAAGAGGATCACGCTTTATCTTATCATCCAAATTTTTATCTCTGTCTCTATTCCACGGTTGTATTTATCTATCTATCAAGATCTGAGTTGGAGAATAAAGTTTAGTCTGTTGCGAGATATCTCAGAGAAAAGATCCATCTATCAGAGAGGGAGAAGGATATAGGACATGGCAAAGTTCCCTTAATCCTTTGCTGCTGTCACCCCCCCCCCCTAAATCTATATTGATCTTCAATAAATATATTTTTCTTATCTGTTTTTTTTGTATCCAATAAACGCCAAAACTGCTAAACCGAGCGGGCCCGCATTTTATTGTGGGACCTTACGTGACCTTAGGGAAGGTTTGTGGATGATCAAAATTTTAAAAATTAGCCTCAAACAAAATTCGATTTCAATTAATTTTTGATTAAAATTCGCAAACTTTTTTGTGTTCGTTATACAATGTATACAACAAGAAAAAGATTTTCAACAAGCGTAATCAAAAACATATAAGAATTCAGTTTTACGTGGAAGGTACTTTAGTTTGACGTAAGGTAAAGGACGGCACAATTTAAGAGCGATACTGTGTGAAGTGAAAAAAAATCTTTTTGATGTTTTGGCAATTAAAACGGTATGATGTGATTTGAATTTCAATTTTTATTTAATCTTTTGATAGTCTGTAATTCAACTATCTTTATCTTGCAGTATTTTCATTTTCAATTTTTTCGTTCAAAGCATATTCTCTGACAAAAAGCTATGAAAGAAACAAACCAAAAATGTATGTTTGAATGGTTAAATTGGGATCAAATGTGACGGCTTTCTGGGGCAAGGACCAAATCAGCGTATATTGATAACACATTTATAAGGAAATGAGATGTTTCCATTTTTCGAGTCCCTAAATCTTTGCAATCTGATATTTAGTATTTTAAAATTATAGTATTTGATATAACAGAATTCATAGATGGCAAAGATGGCAGCAATGCCCGATTAACAACGGTACCCTTAAAAGCTTCGTATGAGTTAGATATCAAAGTTTAAAATTTTAAAAACAGATTTTTTTTTAAATTGTGGTTCTCTACAAGTGACTTGCGCATTTCTACTGCAGGAAAAAATATAGAAATGATTAGAATTTAACCCCTTTAAGCCTGGAAATCGACTTTATCTTCCACTTTTTAGATGAGATAAAGGTTTCATTGTAAATCGGGAATTTGCATGAAGGATCATTTGAAATTTGGCATGGAGCCCCTTTAAAGGGAGTGACCGGCTATGTAAGGTAATTGAACTGAGTATGCAGTGTTGTCGAAAACTTCTTTAGGATTCATTTGTGACATATTTCACTTTTTAAAGATCTGTAAATCCTGAGTTTGAGCGCAAATTCGACGTTCAAAACAACTGATTTGGGGGTGGATACGCTTTCAGAATTAGTTTTTTTTAAATTCTTAAATAACGACAACGAAAAATAAAGTAAAGCTTATACAGTAATCTAATAAGATGGCTAGGAACATATTTCACAAAAGAAATTTGTCAATAAATCCATTCTAAAATTGATTATTTCGTTTTCATTATTATATTGAATTTCTAATTTTCTTTGAATTTATTCGCAGATTTCTTCAAATTCTTTAAATGTCGTCTTTTCAATAATAATTATAGAAATCTGCGAACATCTTTGTGAAAAACGAGAAACCAGAATAATGAGATAATATAGACTAATAATTGAACAAGATTTCTTATTTTCGATGATAAGATTAATTTTTATTTTCTCAAAATGTTCCTAAACATGACGTCTGTAGTTTATTGTAGAATATTTTTACATTTTATGACGTCGTGAATTAATAATTTTAAAAAAACTAATTCTGAAAGCGTATCCACCCCCAAATCATGAGTTTTGAACGTCGAATTTGCGCTCAAACTCAGGATTTACAGATCTTTAAAAAGTAAAATATGTCTCAAATGAATCCTAAAGAAGTTTTCCACAACACTGCGTCCTCAGTTCAACTGCCTTACATAGCCGGTCACTCCCTTTAATGTATTATTATTGATGAAAAGAAATAGTATAGATATGGATTTATAGAAAATTGATAATCTTCTTCATGGAAAAGGCAAGTAATTACTGCTTTTGTTCGATAATTATTAAAAAACAAAAACAAAAACAGATTTAATGATTTTTATCATTACTTTTTGATTAAGCTAAATGAAGAAAATAAAATCTTTTTTCTCTGATTTTCTGTATACAATATACACGTTGTACAGTAAACTCTAACATTTTGATCAAAATATCGAAATTATTAGAAGCGTTCGAACTTTTATATTAAGTCAATTTTGATAAAATTACGATAATATTGTTCCACACTATAAACATATGTTAAAAGTTTATAAAACGCTCTGTTCATAATATCCTGTACCAGTACCTTCAAATGCTTTTGATATTATAGGAACAAAATTTTAGTTCCTATAATATCTTCTGACAGTTTAGCGTGAGAATTATTTAAAATTTTCCTGATATTGAACAGGGATCCAACTTTTTACTTACCTACAGTATAGGCCTGTAAAGAATTTTAAGATTTCTTTTGATTAAAACTAAAGTTGTTAGATTTTAAAGGTTGAACTATGTGTTTTTAAAAAATATTCTCAGATTACCTATACATTTTAAGAAATAATTACAAATTTGTTTTTTATAAAATCCAGAAATGTGTAGACCGAAAAAGGGTTAGAGTCTTTTATAGACCCTATGAAATTTGCAACAATTTTCAAAAATGAATCGACATAAAAGTGTCGCAACGACTTAACCTTTACTTTTACCTCGCTAGATCATTTAAATGTTTTTGTATTACTAAATTAAAAAGAATGGAGCTCTTGCTTTTATTTTTCAGTTTTAAAGGAACCGTAAAGGAAAAATGAAAGGGGGTATAGGCTGAAAGCTAATTACTTTAGCTCTCGATCGCGACCCATGAAAGTTATATCTGATGTTCCTTTCATTTTTAAGTAAGAGCTAAAATTACTGTCCGTCTATCGCATGTCAAAGTCTGTCTAGAATTGCAAGGCATATTTAATTAGGAAAATTTTGTAACTCAAACTATCTTTACTCAGGCACCAGCTTGCAGAGAGTTTTCAAATATAAGTTTTTAAAATGCAGTTATTTTTTTAAAGCTTTTAAAAAAATGCTCATTTAACCTTCATCCCCTTCCAGCATAAAAAAAACAAATGTTTTAGTTAATAGAAGTGAATGGTTAGGTATGGTAGCTGAACTCATAGGGCAGTATGCAGAAAAAAATATCAGGCTTCATTTGATATTTTCTCAACCTGTTTATAACCAACAAAAGAATTAGTCTTTGCCACAAAGATATAGGGGTTAGATATTTGAACTTGTATTCAAGACTCAATTCTTTAGCTAAAAGTAAAGTATTATTAAGCTTTTTGTCCTGGTTATCAAATAATCTTAAAAAAATGGAATCTTGAGAAAAAGCCTCTTTGTGAAAATGTTCGGTCTTTTATAGAACAAAAAATGTAGGTATCAATTGAATCAGACAAGGTTTAACAGTTACAATTGTGAATCGGATACGCCCCTCTACAATGGAGGTTCATTTGAACTTGAACAGATCCGTTAATAAACATTTACTTAGTTACTTACAGTAAGCTTGCTGTAACCCCCTTTCTCAATTATAAATCATATAAATTGTAAGATTGTTAATTAATAATTTTATTTGAATTAAAAACTGTCGGTTTTGACAGAAAATGCCAGAAAAGAATTAAATAAAATCATAAAACATTTGAAATTTGTTGAAATACTGATATGGCTACAAATAAATTCTCTAGTGGAATCGTATGTTGTTTTTTAAAGGTTACATAATTTTTCAATCGTAAGAAATGTATAAAGAAATATTTTTAAAATTTTTTACAAACATCAACTATTGAGAAATGTACATTGCACGTATTGCTTAGTTAAAAGTAAAATAGAAATTATAATGTTTGCCTCAAACTCAACATCAGAACAGAGCTATAGTGAAACTTTGAAGTGAACTTGAAACTGAGTTTGAGTTTACAATTAAATACTACTTCCAAACCTCAACATACAGAATACAACAATGGTTAATTTAAATTTCAATTAATAAAAAGTGCAAAGGTATTTTCATTCAGCAAGATGTATCTTTAGACACCAATTCTGACAAGTACTTCCAATATAAGTTTAACTAAAATCTTAGATCCTAGATCGTGAAGCTAATGAGAACAAAGTTTAAGTTTCTTATATGCAACCTGAGCTGAAAACTTTCAAATGGTGGATATCGAGATCAATGCTTTAGACTCTCTCTTTTTGCTAATCTCAAGACTAATTTAGTCTTTAGATTAATTTCTATAGATTAACTGGTCTTTAATTTCCCCTATTTGTAGTGTCATATCAATTATGATCCAATTGAAAGAACGTTAGTTTTAGATTAATGTTTATTCGGACTAATGTTCAAAATTACTATAATCCTGTAATGTGATAAGTATGTTTTTTAATAAGTTCATATTAACATGAGTTAATTTATATTTGTTTAATTGCTCTAAAAGCAGACTTGTGAACAGCTAACTTTAGTTCAATCGGGATCAAATTGATATATCATCGTATTCATGTATTTGTAAGCTAACGTATCTTTATTACATGCAAGGTAAGGTAATTTCATAAGAAAATTTTGTACTCAGATTACACCAAATGTGTTAAATCACAACGAACTCAGTTTCGGTGGCTGTACTAGAGTATGCTGGTTGCTTGTCGACAAAGGCAACTGAAACTGGATTTGAACCGAAAAATGAAATTGAACCCAGTATTTTAAGATAGGGAATAAAAGCATAAACAAACAGACAGACAAGGGAAATATAGTGAAATGATCTACGTTAAAAAGAATTAAGCCCCCTCCCTCTAACATGCTTCTTTGCATGGTCTGTTCTCCCCACAATGTTTATGTCTAAACTTTAGATATTGTTTCAACATTAGCCTACTTAGATTGTTTGTAAACAGACTGCTAAGCCAGTTTTAAGCCACCGAAACCAAGTTCATTGTGTATTCCAGATTTTTTTTTACATTAGATAAATTATCTTAAGGCCCATACTTGATTACATGTACACTGCTAGAAACTCATTGCGGAAATTCACACAGAAAGTGCGATCTATCGCATTGTCCCCATACCGTTGCGATCTATCGCACATAATGTTATTTAATCTCATGTGAGATGGAAAGTAAATTCTGTGCGAAGTATCTCACATCTTGATTGTAAATCTCACACACAGTCCAGCCCGTGTGCGCTACATCGCACACACAGTGAGGGGGCTGTGTAATTTTGTGCGGTTGTTCTCACCTCCAGGACTGCATGTGAGTTATACCGCACAGGGGCCCTGCTCCTGTGCGTTGGCACGCACAGGGGCCTGGCTCCTGTGAATGATAGCTCACAAGGGCAGGGCTCAAATAACATACAGTAAATCTAAAAATTCATTGAAATACTCCATACTTAATAACATGAAATACCATGCATTTGATATTTAATTTAAAATATAAGTATAATTAAATTGTGATTTGAAACTCAAATAAATAATATAAAATGAGATGCAGTGGTAGGCGATAATATCAGCACAGGATGTGATGAATGTTAAACCTCAGGCACAAAGTGTTAATTACTAGAAATATATTTCGCACAGGATGTTAGGGCTACCTTGCAAACATACCTGTGCGAAATAACTCACATGATTATAGTCCGAGTTAAGATCATGTTACCCTAGGCTCACAGGACACTTAGAACAAAAGAGTGTGAGCAGTTTCTCACAAAAAATGCGATAGATTGCACATCATGTTAATTGCACGGCTGAAATCAATATGCACTTTTTGCAGCTAGTGAGAAATGTGATATCCAACAAGAGCGGAATAATAATTAAAATTTATAGTTTCCACAGTGGATATTCAGATTAACCGATCAGGATTAAGGGTATCCAATTCTTAAGTTCTCAGCTCTTATGGTTTAACTCTTTAATATTCGTTACATTTCCAGCCAACCCTTAATAAACAATTTTACAAAAATCATAATCCAGTTTTTTGATGAAAAATGCCAAATTTCAAAATTATTTCGGAAAAAGCCTTTTAATTAGAAATATCTAAGTATGGGATTTAAGCTGAAAATTTCTGTCTTTTAAAGTAAGCTGGCATTCTTTAAAAGTAGAATGTCCAGTGTCCACAATATATTACAATTGAAATGAAAATTCATTCAAATATTAGATTTAAGTTCCATTGAACTTTGAAATAAAGTTAACATAGAATCAAGTAAAATGGTCTGAACAGTGAACATTCTAGCGAAAATCCTTATCTTTTTCAGATGAAATAATAAAGATCAATCATATCTTGATCCCAAAATATTGGTCTTGATCTTATACTCTTAATCTTAATCTTAATCTTAATACTAATCATAAGCTAAATATTAATCTTAATCGTAATAACAAACTTAATCTTATTCTTGATCCTATTTTAAAATTGATCTTAGCTTAATTTAAACTTAATCTTGATATAAATTTAACCTTTATGTTGACCTTAAGATTAATCTTGATCTAAATCATAATCTTAATCTTGATCTTGATCTGAATATCCTAAGGATCAAGGTTAATATATTATGAATCAACAATTGTTAGACTGTGTGCCAACTAAAGAGTTTTGGAAAGGTCTCAGATTTAGCTTTCAGAATATAAATCATCCTGGCATACACAGAAGGTAGAAATACAGGGAGTTGACATACAGGGAGTAAAAATACAGAATGCTGAAATACAAGGAGTAAAAAACAGTGAGAAGAAATATAGAAAGTAGAAATACAGGGAGGTGAAATACAGGGAGTAGAAATACATGGATTATAAATACTTGGAGTAGAAATACAGGGAGTAGAAACACTGGGAGTATAAATACACTAAGTATAAATACAGGGAGTAGAAATATAGGGATTCTAAATACAGGGAGTAGAAAAAAGGGAGTAGAAATACAGGAGTAATATACGGAGAGTAGAAATACAGGGAGTAGAAATACAGCAAGTAGACATACAGGGAGTAGAAATACGGGGAGTAGACAGGGAGTATAGTTAAAATACATATAGCTGATAAAGAAATAATGACAAGGTTTTGATCATCTTTTCCAAATGTATAAATTCAACAAATTCTTCATCGTGAGGAAATTTCAAATTTTTTGACAAGAAAATTTATGTCAACATTTATTTTATGCTCTTCGCTCACTATACACATATATATATATATATATATACTAGCCCTAGAGGGCGCTTCGCACCCATCTTCTAAATTAATTGTGAACATGTTCTCTTTGTGTACATCGTAAAACAAAACAAAAATAATTTTCGGACTTTCACAAAAAATTTCGTGGATTTTCAAAATTTTCAAAGATTTAATGAAGATCGAATTTTGATGGAGACAAATATTTGAAATTTTGATCATTCACAAACCTTCCCTGGGGTCCCTAGATGTCCCACAAAAAAATGGGCCAAATCGGTTCAGCCGTTTCGACGTTTATTGGATACAAACAAACAAACGAACAAACAGACAGACAAGCCAAATTTATATATAGATATAAATATATATAATATGGAACCTATAGACAAGCAAGCGTGGGTAAACGGTGGGAGTAACTATGACTATTAATTATTATTTATCAATCCCGGGCACTCTTAGTTTAAATCATAAAATAGCTATACCATAACCTCAATAACCAAGTATTCAAATTTGAGAAAAACCTCAAAAAAGTAAACGCTTAGCAGCTAGGGCTGCAAGCTTTTAAAAAACATACGTCTTTCATATTTCTTCATTCGTCCTTTTTCTTCCTTCCTTCCTCACCCATTCTTCCTTTTTCCTTTTTACCGCTTTCATTTGTCTTTTTTCCTAATTATCACTTCGTTGTTTCCATTTTCATTCTTCCTTGTTTCCTACTTTTTCCCTTTTTCCTTTTTCGTTCTTTCTTCTTTCCTCCTTCTTTTTTCATTCTTTCTCCTTCCTCCTTTTTTCCTTTTTCATTCTTCCTTCTTCCCTCTTTCTTCCTTCTTTCTTTTTTCTTACCTCATCATTCTTTACTCTTTCTTCCTTCTTTCCTCTTTCTTCCTTCTTTCTTTCTTCTTTCCTCTTCCTTCTTTACTCTTTCTTCCCTCTTTCCTCTTTCTTCCTCCTTCTTTACTCTTTCTTGCTCAATATTTCTTCTTTCCTCTTCCATTATACCTTCTTTGATTTTTCTTCCATCTTTACTCTTTCTTCCTCCTTCTTTACTCTTTCTTCCTTCATCATTACACGTTTTTTTCTACTTTTCTCTTTCCTCATCCTTTTTTACTCTTTCTTCCTCCTTCTTTACTCGTTTGTTTCTACTTTTACTCTTTCTTTCTCATTCTTTACTCGTTTTTTCTACTTTACTCTTTCTTTATCCTACTTTACTCTAACATCCTCCTTCTTTACTCGTTTCTTTTTACTCTTTACTCTTTCTTCCTCCTTCTTTACTCTTTCTTCCTCATTCTTTGCTCGTTTTTTTTTACTTTGTTCTTTCTTCCTCCTATTTTACTTTCCACTTTTGATTACTTGGTTTTTGAGGTTATGGTAATTCTCTTCTCATAAAAAATCATAAATAAGTTTCTATCAATGCTGAATTTTTTAATGACTACTTTCAACTTTGCAGGTAAAATGTCAGATATGAAACTGGAAAGAAGACTTCTTCGGAAACAGCAAACCCTTGACTCAGCATTAGGCAAAAATATAGTAAATTTTAAATTTGATCTAAAAATTAATTATTTCGCTGAAAATATTAAATATTATCAATAATGTTGGCATAAATTATGAATTACAGTTTAATTATTTTACAACAAACTGAGTTGAATCCTTGTTCAATGTTCATTGAGTTTGGAGAAAACGGAGCAAAAAGTGTTGGCTCAATTAACAAAAAAGCATGGGAATTCAGTGACGATTTCGATATCGTCTTTTTTATGAATTAGCATTGTAATACCTAATTTCAAAAGCCATAATATTATTATGTCTGCTAGAGTTTATTTTATGAAAAGGGTAAAAGACTGTGAATATGTGTCTATAATGTCTCCACGAAATGAACAGTGAAGAAGGACAAGTTTACTCTGTTTGTATACTGCAATTTTCTGTTTTTACTAAGTACAACCGTATGCAGTCAGAACATAAACAAACAATATGTGAACTTAGCAGACGAAACACTTACAGATTACAGCTTTCTCAGGAGGTATCACTTTACTAAATCAAAAAATTATTTGAAAAGATGACATCGAATTCGTCACTGAATTCCCATGTTTATTGGGACATCCTGTGCATGGTGTAAAGGTACGGTTGTAAATCGGACATGGCACTTTTAATATCTAGACACCAGGGGTCAATATAATTCCCAAAAAAGCTTAATTTCTCGATCCCAAAATAATTTTTTGCCCCCATTTAAAAAAAAATGCCCCCAATTTTTTTAAAAATTATCATTTAAAAAAATTTGCCCCCATTTCTTTCAAATTTGTCAATCCCAAATGGGATTGAAAAAGGAATTATATTGACCCCCCTGCTAGACATACATTATTTTACACGACAGTCTTTTAAGTATAAATTAAGATTTTTCTGATATACAGAAAAACGTTTGTATGGGGAAAAATGGGTTCTTAACTTTTTCAAAAAAGTTGTAATCAGTTAATCCTTCAATTATAGTTCTCTGAAAGTGTATAAAATGTTAATGGATCTTAAAGTTGTCTGAAATTGAAAAAAATCACAAAAATGTATGAATTATACTTTAACTAGTCTTCCTCCATTAGAATTTGTTTTATTGTAATTAGGGTTGGTAATCGTTTTTGAAAACGATCGTTTAACGATCGTTTTTTGCTTCGTTAAACGATCATTTTTAAAAACGATACGTTTTTTATAACGATCGTTTAAAAAACGACAGTTTTTAAAAAACGAACTTTTTAAAAAAACGATCGTTTTTAAAAACGATCGTTTCGTTTTTCGATTTTCCTCGACGTTTTCTTAACGAAACGATCGTTTTTTTCAAAAATCAAAACGTTACCAACCCTAATTGTAATCAATAATTATCCAGCTACATCAAAATTATAACTGGTAGATATAAGAGCATAAAAATGTATAAATCATAAAGCTTAGTAGGAGGGGTGGGAGAGTTATCCCCCTCCTGAGCCCTTTCTCCCCCTTATGAAGGTTTTTGTCAACTTTTAAAAAGTTTTCTCTTTTATCTAATCAGCAGAGAGGGTGTACTCTACACTTTATTACACAACTTTGGAAATAGAATAAATGTTTGGACAAGAGATAACGCGGCGCGTACGTACATTTGTCAGAAAGTTCTTCTTTTATGGATCAGTCAACCCGTTAAAGGGACTGTTAAGGAAAAATGAGAGGGGATATAGACTGAAACCTAACAATTTTAAGTATTGATCGAGACCTACACGATCATGCTTTCTGATGTTTCTGTCGCGAGAAATTGATATAAAACTGTTTTAAAGTTTTACCAAAACTTAAATATATGAGAGTTGGTATAAGAAACAAATCAGATTCAGCAAAAACACAACCTTATACCCTTTTTCATTTGCCTTAACAGTCTCTTTAATGAGATTTCTAAGTCGTTTGTTTGGACGAAACCTGAACAAAAAAAACAATCGTTTTTTACTGAACGAACGATTTTTTTAAACGAACTTCTGAAAAAAAATTTGGTTTTTTACAAAACCAATGATTTTATTAAACAAACGATTTTACTGCATGAACAATCTCACTGGACAGACGATCTAATAAAACGATCTTTCAGTTAGAAAACTAACAAAATGGATGGAGAATAAACGGTATTACTGAAAATTAATAATCTAATTTTTCTGAAGGACTGAATAAAAAAGTAGTTAACAAATGATGAACGAACGAATAAAAAAACGAACGCGCTCATGTCTACTATTATTTTCATTTAACAACATAAAATGAAACAGTTGAACTACTACAGACTAGGGTGCACTGTGATTTTGCCAGGCTACATTTGTTGCATAATACGTGTTGGGTCGAATCTTCAGTTGGGTAGTCCAAACTGAACAATATAACTGAATGCAAGTACAGTACATGTTGTACGACGGAGGGAACCCCCGGACGCCATAAGCCTCTGCTATAAAGACACAAGCCTCCCAGATTTGCTAGGCAGACCGAGCCTCCACTATGCAGACCAAGCCTCAACGCTATGCAGACTGTGCCTCCGTTATTAGGGAGGGAACCCCTGGACGCCATGAGCCTCTGCTATGCAGACATCGAGCCTCCCAGTTTTGCTAGGCAGACCGAGTCTCCACTATGCAGACAAACCCTACGCTATGCAGACCATGCCTCTGCTATGCAGTAAACGAGCCTCCATCATACAGCACAGCCTTTTTTAAATCTTGGTTTTTATGAGTGATGAAAACTTTTAACAATTTTTTTTGACGTAGTGGCATAAGAATTTTACTAAAGATTAGAGTTGTTCATTGGTTGTCATGATTAGAAACATATATGGACTCATAAAGCGGTTTATAAGATTGATATTAAAACTTTAAACATTTCTTTCGCAGAAAGGAAGCTATTTGGAGAAATATTTCTGGAGTAAACTTGGTTCGTTTTGTTGTAATCTTTGATTTAAACAATACCTTTTGTTGAAAAATGTTGAAATTTAAATAATAAATACAAATTTTTTAAATTCAATTTGAACTTCAAAAAAAGAATTGCTTAAATCAAAGATTATAAAAGATAAAATAAAAGTTATTTGTTTAGATTTACCAATAATGTTAAATGTACAAGCTAAATCAAATGTCGTCAGTTATACTTATCAAAACTATATGATCGCCACAGGCTATTTGGACTAAATTGCGATTTTTCCCCCTGAAAATATCTGAAAAAATTCAGTAAAAAAGGAGAAACAGAGCCTTTATTTCCATTTCTGGTTTTAAAGTACCCTTTTTAAGGACTTTTCATAAAAGGTCGAAAAAATTCCACCTTTTACTCCAAAACCCTGGGAGCAACTTCAAAATCCTGGGAGCCCTTCAAAACCCTGGGAGCAATTAAAAAACCCTGAGTCGGTGAACCACTTGAACCAATTTACAACAGAAGTGGTTCAACTCATCTGCGAAATTCAACTACTTCGTGCAATTCATTAAATCAGGTTTCTGAGTAATTTAAACATATTACATATACTGTTTACTATTAATAAATATATTATTCTAATTCTTGATTATTATTTTGATATGAATAGCTAAATATCATCTGTACATAACAGATGAGGAATTCATGGATAGGGGCATTATGGTTTCTATTATTTTGTTAGCAATTCATAATTTATCAATTGATAAATATTTAGAATATGCTAAATATAGGTTGTCAGACGAAGAATAGTAGTTTTTAGACGATTTAACGTTGACAATAAATTTGTATCATTCCTTTAAACAGCAAGAACAATTTTTAGAAACCTTTTTATTACGTTATGACGCTTTGTCAATGAAAAAGAAAATGTTAAAGAAAAAAGACATCTTTTTAAAAGGTATTTTATTTTTTTTTAGTCTTAATTTTACATCTGTGTACCTTAATACATCTTTGACTATTTAAACCAGTAAAATTTATAGTTTCAAATTTCAAAGGTTGCTTAGGTATCTTAATAAGAAAATTTGTAATATGTTAATTTATAATAACTTTATAATACTTTATAACATATAACAAATACCCTGAAATCATAACTTTTGTGTTGTAAACATAGATAAATAAATAAACATAGATAGCATATGTGCGCAAAATCACCAAGAATTGTACAGTCCGCGAACTCATACTTCTAGGGGTCAAAGTGTACTTCAATGATAAGCGGGGTGGTTTGGTATTTTAATGAATTTCATAAAAGAGTGTAAAATAACTCTGGGAATGGAACTATTTGAACAACAATATTTCACTGAGCAATATATCATATTGACGAGATCTGAAGAGGGACATGAGAAGGACTAAACTAACTTAAATTTCTCTCTACAGAACTCATGTACACCACAAGTACTCAATGACATAAGTACTGCCAATGTTCACAACTGACCTAGGTAATTTATATAATAGGAATATCTTTAAAAATCTCTGTACATTTATATCTTTCAAGATGAAAAATGTCGTCTTATGCGCAATCTATCTTTATGGTTGTAAATCTTGCGATAAAGGATTGATCTATGAATTAATCTAATTCCTCCTTGATATCCCGTGACAACATTGAATATCAAAATTAAGCCTTCAAGATAAACAAAATCCACCCAAAAGTTCCGTACTCTGTACAATTTAAGATTTTGATCTAATAATGAAAATATTAAAATTTTTACAACTTATGATATTTTTTGAAGACGATACTTTGAGTAGAAAAAAATCAAGAGCCATTTCAGAAACAGGTAAAACGACTAATATAGTTTTTCTTAGAAATTAATAACATTTTATTATAACTTCATAACAAAATGTTAGTTACAAAAAAATGTTAATATCAGCTAATTATTATTCAGTTCATAACTTTCATAAAATGTTAGTGCACTCAAATGTTTTTATTAGTTTGATATAACAAACATAAGTTAAGTTTTTTGTAATATTCAGACTGCAAATTTATGTTTTTTGGGGGCTTTTTAAAAAATTTGCTGACATTTTTGGGAGGGAACTTATGTATGGTAGTTGGGTTGAGCTGAGAAGGCCAGCCTCTGGGGCAGGGAGGTCATCTTCAATAACTTGTGGGAGTTACAGAGGCTATTTTTTTGTTGTAAAATTTCACAGGCAATAATATTAATAGAAACTTTAAAACACCAGGTAATCCAGCTATTTTATATATACTTAAAAAAGGAATAGATGTGTCAAAACAGAACCTTAAAAATAACAAACAGTTTTTTTTCCAGGCCAGATCTAATTTAGCAAAATATCTGTAAAATTTGCATTTCTGGATATCTTTTGATCACTTGCAAATTGCAAGTAGTGGAGTGCAGTTTTAATATTGAACAGTAAAGGTTGAAACCCGGGGAAATTTCTTAGAAAATTGAAAATAAATCTTTTTTTTTCTTTTCTTGTTAACTTCTTGTTACCATAAAGGTTTCAAAGAGAGCGTTCCCGAAAAATATGTTACCACTGGCAGCTAGTTGCTTTACTGGGGAGTTGATTAGTTTTGTGGTTGGGACTCTAACTGGGACAGTTTTGAACCACCTGGAAATAGTTTTTTTAAAGTGTAAATCTAGGTCTTAGGTCTTTATTTAAACCACTTTGAAATTGGTTGAGCTAATGTTTGACTCAATAAAAATAAATCTTAAACCTCTTATAGTAATATTTTGGACCACCTGCAAGCCAAAAAGTTTGTTTTACTACATAGAAGTAAGAACAAGTTTTGAAAATTGCACCACTTAAAATTAACAATCAGACGCTTAGGAAACTTTTGTTTTCAAAAATCCGAAGGTTAACAAATAAAATTAATTTATGTAGGTAGTTCAGTTGAGCTGAGAAGGTCAGCCTCTGGGGCAGGGAGGTCATCTTCAGTAAGAGAGGATTCTGATAGGTCATCCTTAAAAAGAGAGGATGTAGGGAGGTCATCTTCAACTAGAGAGGATTCTGGGAGGTCATCTTTAACAAGAGAGGATGTAGTTAGGTCATCTTCAACAAGAGAGGATGCAGGTCGGTCATTTTCAACAAGAGATGATTCTGGAAGGTCATCTTCTACAAAAGAAGAGATAAGTAAGTCATCCTCTTCTAAAGAGGTTTCAGGGAGGTCATCTTCAACAAGGGAAGGAAGATCAACTAGGGATGATACAGGACATCAAACCAGGTAGAGAAATCATTTTCATTTAAGAAACCCAATTCCAACAGTTTTATTCATTCAAAAAATTTAGAGATTCTTATTTTAATACGCTATGAAAGATGTAATAATAACTAGAATGAATAATTAGAAAACCCCATGAGAAAGTATTTTTAAGAGAGACTTACGTAGACATTACGTGGACATTGAAGACACAAAAACTGTGGTGTGGAAACAAATTCACAGTTTCCCAAGAGTAAAAAAAAACATTGTGTGGAATGGTGAAATCTATAGATATGTACATGATCCCTGACATTTAAACAATATCCAATATTTAGTATCTTTTTTAATATAAGATTTACATGAAACATCAAAATTTTTGTTTAACTCTACATAAGCAATTTAAGCAAGGAATTGCATGATTAAAACCTTCAGAGAGAATCTTTTAATATCTTTATATTTTTAATTAGGAAAATTTAACTCAAACAATTTCTATTTTTAAAACAGTATTTTATTAACTTTACAGGCATTTAACAAATTTTTTCAAAATTGAATTTGAATTTATTTTTTGAACAAAATGTGATTTGTTCTATAAAACAAGCATAAAATAAAATCAATTTACTGATTGTTTTTTCATTGTGAATCCCTTACTTCAATTCAGAACTGTAATTGTATTGCAGTTTTTTTCTATTATCATTAGGGTTTCCAATGCAATTGCAGCCATGTTATTTACGCGCAATTCCACACAATTCCACACAATACGAGAACGGTTGCTCGCAATTCCGCACAGTTGCCTGCAACGGAATTCCCATTGGAAACCATAATTATCATCATAAATGACTGTATTCGGGAAGACAGATTGATAGGTGATATGTAAAACTTTTAAATGTGTTCCTTTTGCATTCAACATTGATAGCTTGAATTTTCATTTTTTATACTCCTTAGCCTTTATGTTGAAATATTTGATGTAAAGGTTTTTCAAAATATCAATAAATATTTAATAAAGTTTTGGATTTTACATCGGTTAAAAGAGAAGAGGAGGGGGAATGTCTCGAGTTAAAAGGGTAAAAGGAAGTAAAAGTAGAACTACACAAGGTTCCATTTTAACAGAACATTTAGGATATTAACAGAAAATCCTTTGACAAACTGAAAGAATCGTTATCCCATCCCAGAGGGGGAAGGGGGTTGGACCAGATTACACCCCCCCCCCCTATGTGGGATTTTAACCATAACTTAAAAACTGATAAACTCGAGAACTTTAGCTTCATAATTGGAAACAAATTTAGCAATAACAAAAATTTAGGGAACGTTTAAAAATCCGGTCAGTTATTAGCCCTTGAAAATAGATATAAAAGGTCTAATATCTGTAAAAATAAAGAAAATTATATATTTTTCCTTTTCCATTGTACCATTTAAAAAAAAATCTCCCTTGCACTCTAATTATTAAAGTGAGAGGCCTTGAAAAGACTGACATTTATCATTTTCATTTTCGTATCTCAAATATAATTAGAGTTTCCACGAAATGGCTAAATCTTTTGTGCAAAATTTTTCGTGCCAATTTTTTTTTGTGAACTTTTGAGCTATTTTTGTGCATGAAACGCAATGAGTTTTGCGCTATTTTTTTGCACAATTTGCTCAAAACCGGAAATATTTTTTGCGAAAGTTGCGCATAAAACAAAATTTTAGTTTTGCGGAATTTTTGGCGCAATTTGCGCAAAACCGCAAGTTTTACGCAAAATGTAACTTTTTAGGCAAATTGTCAAAAATTGATATTCTAAGCTTAGAATTAAACAACTGAAGATTTATTCCATACATAAAAAAATATTAACATACGAGTATGATAACGATTATATTACACTCAATTGGTTACTTCCAGTTACAAAAAGTTTAAATTAAGGGACCAAAATTAATAAAATAGAAATTAGAGAGTGTGCAATATTTTAATCCTATTAAATAATTTTAAGTGACCCTTAAAAGCTTTGCCTTATCAAGTATGAACTATATTCTTAAATTTGTTTAATCAAATTTCTGAAATTTTTTTAATCTCATATAAAATAATGCAAGAAAGTAACCAATGCCTGAAGAATTCACTTTTAGGAAATATGCATGTCCAAAACTAAAATTGTCGAGAAAATTGTGAGATCTGAAGTCTTCATAACTGTCATTGGTCAATTATGTAAAAGTGCCCAATACGAAGACATTCCAAAACAAGATTTTTCCAGAATTGAATTCTAAGAAACACACACCGTCACCAACCCTTTGATTTTTACGAAATTGTGGAATTGCGCAAAACTCTAGTTGCGGAATTGCGCAAAACTTGAGTTTCGCATTATATTTAGGGTATCTATTCGTAAAACTTTTACACAATTTTTGCGGAACGAAAAGCAAAATTTTTCTTTCTTTGCGCATCAGTTTTGCACGAAAAAACAACAATTTGCGCAATCATTCGCAAAAGTCATTTCGTGCAAAATTACCCTATAATTTATCTATCTAAGGGAAGAGGAGGTACAGGAAGTGGCAGATTTTTTAACAAATCTCAGGAACTTGCTCATTTCTTGTTTTCATTGTAAAATCATTATGTTCATTTATGAATTTTTCATCAATTATAATAGATTTATTATTTCATTAATTTATTTGCCATTGAGTTTTAAATTCGTTTATTACAAATATTAGAAAAAATGAATTTGAATTTGAATTAGAGTTGATGAGAACGGTATAAGCTGTAGAACAGGTAGCATAAAATACACCAGCAGCAACAGCAAGAGCAGCATTAAGAGAAGCAGTAGCAGCAAACAAAGCAGTGTAACATCTGAAGATGCTGCTCACAAACAAAGAGCACAAATAAGGCAACTTTTAAAAGAAGATTATTAATTGGAAGCAATTCTGAATTTCAGTAGTTCTATTTACATCTGTCAGACAGACCCTTCCTACACAAGACTGCACCGTAAGAAGGAACCCAACATTTGTTTGTACTATTAAACATGCAAAAAGCATTTTGAAATTAGAAACATTTTGTTTAAAATGACAAACAGAATGTTAAAAAGCATATGTAAAATATTCCCAACACTCTGTTCGTAATTTTAGCAAAATCGTACTCATTTCAAAATGGCTTAATTTGTTGATGTTATTTCTAAAAAAAAAAATTTCCATAGTTATTTCTAAAAATTTCGAAAAAAACATATGCCTTATCTCTCAATATAATTTAAACTTTTCTTCTCAAAATTCATCTGGAATTTTGTCTTAAAAAGTTGAAGAGTACTATATATACAGGGCTATAAAATAGGAATGATACCCCCCCACCCCTTCTTAATAAGGTGTTGTCTTGATGGCAACTTTCTTCTTTTCATGAATTTTAGATTTCTTATACATTGGCCCGATTATCTGATTAATTAAAATTTATTTTAAATGTTTTTGCCAGAAAGTTCCCAAGTGATGAGTCTGAGCGGTCAATAAGGAAATTGGAAAATTTGGATTTATTCTAATTTTCTAAATTTTAAGAATTCAGTATAATTTTTTGTGGCAGATATTTTGAATTAAGTTTTAACAAACATACAATATTGTAACAGACATTTCTCAAAAGACTTAAAAATATTTTTAAATTTAGGATGTCTTCAATTCAATTTTTTAAAAATATTTCCAACTAGACAAAAGACAGAAAGACAAATGAGTTTGGATGTTTCGATTTTAGGTGGGCTATTAAAAAAATTACAGTTTTTTTCTAATTAGCAGTAGCTTAGAAAAATTACTTTAAAATTAAATTATGATTTCCGAAAAAACATAAACATAAATTTCAACTTTTCAATTTGTTGAAAACCTTAAAATTCTTTAATATTTATTATTTTTTTTTTATTTTACGAAGGTGGAGCCAGAGTGAAAGACCCCCAGGTAGTTAACTAAATTCAAAACTTTTTAAAAAATGTTTCATCTTTGAATTTAAAAGTTTTTTATCTTTGAAATGAATAATATGTACCTACCTTGTTTTTTCCTCCAGAAGTGAATTTGTTCCAACAAAATATATTTTAAAAATTATATTACTTTGATGTCCTGTAGTTTAAAAGTTTTATAAAATTTGAAATTTAGTTATTCAAAATTTCTTTCAATCCTGAAACGGTGCTAAAGGGAGTGTTCGCGAAAAATGAAAGGGGGTATAGGCTTAATGCGATAAAAAAGCGCTTTTGATCGCTACTAATCTTACTTCTATCTGTTGCGTCTATAAGGAGAAAATTGTTAAAAAGGTCTCATACCGAATAACTTAGCGCCCATACAAATTCAGAAAATTGCAACATACGACTTAGACCGTAAAAAATCAATTTAATTTCAAACAAATCATTCAGATATTACAACCTGTAGTCATTGATTATCTTTCGCCACATTTATATATAGTTTATATTTTAAAATATTTTTTAACTATTTTGTTTTGAATTTGATTTGTTTGAAATTAAATTGATTTTTGGAAAGCCTATGACAAAAGGAAACGGATTGCACAAGTTTTGCGAAAAAAATTGCAAATTTTTGCAAACAACCTGTCAAAGGAAATTTGCACATTTTTAGTTTTTCTTGATTAAAAATCAGGTTTTTTTTAAATTTTGCAAATATTTTTGCATATTTGAAATGGCATGGTCAAGGGCTTTTCAAAAATGTATAATTTTTCATTTTTTGGACAAATTTTTTTTTGCAAACATTTTTACTATAAAACTGGATTTTGCGATAAAAAATTCAATTTTCGCAAATTTGCATTTTTTTTTGCAGATTCTAAAAGTAGAGCACAAGAGCTTTCTAATGACGTATCATTTGTCATATTTGGTCATAAAACATGGGATTTAGAGGGGGGGGTCAAATTGACCCCCCCCAGCGTATCCTGGTTTTCAAGTACCCCAGCAGGGATAGGGTTAACTACCATACACCACGGGTCACCCCCTTTAAGTAAACTTGTAGGTTGTCATGTATGTATAATTAATTTCCACACAATTAAATACTGAAAAATTGTAAATTGTATTTTAACCAGAGACTCTGAAAGGAATTTAAATCATCAAACTTCAAGAACACCTTGAATCTGCCTGACCAATTTTGTTGCAGAAAACGTGTCGGGTCAACTGCATACTATGTATACTAGACACGCTGACTATTATCCTTGTATTGGTTTGGATCATGCAATTTGAAATGAATTATCATTTGACCCCGTGAAATATCAATTTGTTCTCACCTGGTCAAGCATATTTCTTAAAAATATTTGCAATAACCCGTTTTTTATTTGTTTTGGATTCTTGCAAACCAACGCGACGAAACTTCGTCTTTAAATAAAACTAAAAGGACGCTGAGAAAGGTGTCTGCACACATAGGGAGGGAAAACCAAGCGGCCCTGAACCCCGTGCTCAATTAGCTAGCCTCCTTCTTAACTACAGTACCAAAGGCCGGGGTACTAAGTCAAAAAAATAGGAATAACAAAGAGCTAATATTTCTGATACTAATCCGGTTTTGTATCCACTCCATTTAGCGATCGGAGCCCTTTCTGTTCCCCCTGAGCAGAATTGAGTTGAATAGCAACCATCCTTGTACAGGAAAGTAAAAATATGTGGTTTATAGCAGGGAAGCTATTGCTTCCCCGCGCCTGCAAAAAGAAACTAACTTGAAGTGCAGAAGTGGTGACTAAGCACATGCAAGTAGACAGAATGTTCAGGGCTGATGCAGCAATTACAATTAAGCAAAACAAAACAAAAACAGAAAGAGGGGGGCATCCTCACAATAAAAAGGGGGATCGTGCACTGTCTTATAATGGCGCAAAGACAGCGACTCATAAATATTCTTTCAACTGTATGTTATTAAAGAAACTTGTTTCAATCAGTGTTTGAAAAAAAACTTGAAATTCCTGTAATGAATGAAGAATGTCAATAAATGATGATCAACAAGTAGAAAGTTTTAATGAGATGAAAGTTCAAAGTTTGTAAAGTTAGTTGGAAAAATATCCTTGTTTTTCAGTACTCCGGTTCTAGGTGGAAAAGTATAACTTTAAAACAACTGTAGACTTGATTTACGATGTTTTCGTGAGTGGAATATCAAGGTTCATGAAGGTACCCTTCAAATTAACCAGTATCTGATCCTTTACTTTTCTCGCAGACTATACCATGAAACTGGAGTGTAAACTGTTTGTGTACAGTCAATGGTTTGTACAAGGCGACTACGCCTTGACTTAAAATCAAAGAAATACGTGTAAAATCTTTCAAAATCAACGAACAAAAATAGAAAAATCCACTATTTAAATGGATTGAACTTTTAGCCACTTAGGTTTTAAAGTTCTTACACATAATGGAAGTGAGCAAAAACATTATACGTATCATGTAACCCAATATCTAAAGATAAATTAGCGACAACTTCACCAGTTTAGCCCAATTTTAGAATACTGTTCTAAAGTGTATATTGCAGTGAATTTGTATTGACAGGGTGAGAGAAGTGAAGAAAGAAAGAGTCGGTGGCAGATTGTCAGAGAACGAAGACGATCTGATGGTTCATCTCTCAAAAGCATGTTCAGACTGGGGTAAGAATAAAAGACGACAATTATCGATATATTAAAATAATTTTTCAGAGTTTCAAGAAATTTTACATCTAAAAAGTCGTAATGGTATTCTTAAAAAATGTACTGAGCAAAATATAAAAAAGTATCCTTAATTGTTTTTCTCTCATAAATTTCACAGGTTTCCACACTTTTTAACTTGTAAGAAAAAACTACAGCTTTATCTTTCCATAGTTTCTCAGAAATTTTATAAATTTTAAAGGACCGGATGATTTGAAATTATATTTACAGTGCATTTTATTCTAGACGGGGTAGAAGAATATCAGAACCTGCTGCAGACACAGTTTCAACGCAAAGGGAAATTTCAAATGAAAATTCTCAAAGAAATTTTTTTGCCTATGGAGCTTGCAAAAAATAAGTCAGCAATTTTTAGCGATTAATTAAATTAAAAGTGTCCACTCTGGATTTTATCATTTCGTTGTTGAGCTATTTTATTGTTTCTTACAATTCCCCTTTTTCTTTGATGCTAAATAACGCATATAGATCCTATTTTATCATTGAACTCTTGTTAGTCCACGAAAAATTCAAATGAAAACAATCTCATCCCTGCTTAATTCCTCAACATCTACAATTCTTAATGTGAGCAGCCATCTTGAATCGTCAGCTGATTCTGACGTATTTACCACTGAGAGCTCGCCAAACATGATGAATGCGCCAAACAATTCTACTGTCCAGTGTTTTTGTGGTGATATTAGGTAAGATTTTATATAAATACAAAAAAAGTGTTATTATTATTACTGCAAAACTGATATTTTTCATTTTAGCTGTCCATTCTGCAATCTTCTTCTAAACCTGGAGCTTACTGACCCAACTCTATTGCAATAGAAATAAAATTAATTTTAAAACATTCTAAAACTCTGTTGATAGATGTGAACGTTGGTTGAAATGTATTTTGAGCCTGAAACTTAAGACTGTTGTTATCATTACATCATTGATAAAACTGGGTTTTAATTAAAGTTAAGACGGACATACGGTAGATGTCATAATTATTAATGTTGGGTTCCTTTGGCATTCTCGGTTTCAAAACAGGGTTTTGTTTATCTCTAAAGTTGTTGTCCCTGATATTCTGTTGACTGGGCTAACTGCATTTTTTATGTTTCTATTCTAATAAAAACCAGATATCTAATCCTGGTTGCAATTGTAATTCTTTTACCGGCCAAAGTTGATGTAATGTGAACGAGTTAAATGGTAAAATTTATATTTGATGTTATATAATCATGTAGCTGTCTAACATAAATTTATTGATGTATACTCAATGTATTTTCTTGTAAAATCAGTATTAAGAAATGTGAGGACACATTTTGAAAGAACAAATTCTAGAGGGACAAATACAGTAAAAAAAGATTGACAGAATTTTAATCTTTGATCTTTAGCTTGTCCTAACTACAACAATTTCCTCCTAAGCTTGTATTAGCTACGACACTTGGTCCAAAGCAACATATTCAGCGTGCACCTGTCCTACACACAACGCATTTTAGTCTGTCCTAAAGATTAACACTTTAGCCTGTCCTACAGATGAACTTTGCCCTTCAGTCTGTCCTAGATGCACCACTTTGCCCTTCAGCCTGTCCTAGATGCACCACTTTGCCCTTCAGTCGGTCCTAGATGCACCACTTTGCCCCTTAACCTGACTTTTAACCGCAACAAAAACGATCAAACAAAATTATCAAACATTATATTTTCAATTGGCTCAGAATAAATTTTCTTTTGTGTTTTATTTTAAGCTGAACCATCATACATTAATATTTTGTATTTTGTGTTTGAAAATAAGTACTAAAAAAAAAATCACCCCCTCAACCGATCAGCTTCCCCAGATATGAGGCTTTCGATCATCAGTGGTTCTCCTCAGTTTGTTCTTTCTGAATTGTGTTCTATATATTGCCCTTCAATAGCAATTGACTTTAACAACATGAATAAGACCCGTCCAAAATCAAACTTAAATATCCTTAATAATTAATTTGACTTTATTGGACCATTTGTTACAAAAGAGCAATATTTTTAGTGAATTTAAAAGTAAAAAGTAAAATGTTTTGTGTAATTTAGTGAAAAAAAAACAAATTTTTTGTATTATTTTACAAGGGTTATATTGCCAAGATTAAAAAAGCATCACAAAATTCATGTATTTTTCTATATAAGATTACTTTTGATATTTCTTTATTAAAGATCTATTCCTTCTAAATCAAAAGAATGTTGGAAAAAATCCGAAAACCAAGTTGATAAGCATTTCTATTGTAATTGGTTTCATCTTGCGACTGACAAATGAAATCTTTTTTCAGAAAAAAAATAATAAAAATTAGAAAAGAAGTAATAAGGACTATATGCACTATTTCAAGTGATCATCATAATTATGTACTGACATTTCCGATTCACAACGGTACCCTTTACATCTTTACATGATCAACAATGAGGAAAAAATGTCGTTTTCATAGCTAAGAAAGTTTAAAGTATCTGTTGTCGTAGTGACTCTTGTAGTGAAGAGAATATCGAATTTCTCAAGGATACCGTTTTAAATTGGACATGTAGCTCATGGAGGGACACTTGAAATTATGTTTAAGTACCTTTAAAGATATCTTAAACGTATTTGTACAAAGTACATTAATGTCATTAAATAAATGTTTTATGTACAATTTGGAACTGTTTAAAGCATTGATATTCTTCTAATAGAATTGTTAAATTCGGAAATAAATGTTAGACCACAAACTATCGATTAAAAATTATATTTTTTGTTTAAAATTCTTTTAAAATCTCTGAAAGCTGCATATGAATATCCAAGTGAACACGAAGATTCAAATGTTGCAAGGTTTCATTCAAAAAAGAGTTTTGCCGGTTACTTCTTTACGAATAAAGCTAAACACAAGTTCGTTAAAGTTCTATATATGTCTCTGCAATACAACAAATAAAGTATAATTGACTCTTTAAATACTTTTCCAAGATAAGTGTTGGCCATGTCGTGACTCGGGTGTATAAAGGCGCCATCTGAAGGGTGTGGAAAAAAACACTTCAGACTTAATTATTACCCAACCATAATTAAATTACTATTGCAGTGTCTATAGAATGGTTAAAAAAAATCGGATTTGGTCGATTCTTCTGTAAATAAATTATCTTTATAACTTGGGGATGGAACTGAAAAAATGAACTGATCGGGTCCAAAATTGTATATACCGGAAGGTAAATTCGAGTGGTTAAAGGGAGTGTTCGCGAAAAATGAAAGGGGGTATAGGCTTAATGCGATAAAAAAGCGCTTTTGATCGCCACTAATCTTACTTCTATCTGTTGCGTCTATAAGGAGAAAATTGTTAAAGACGTCTCATACCGAATAACATGGCGTCCATACAAATCGAGAAAATTGCAACATACGACTTAGACCGTAAAAAAATCAATTTAATTTCAAACAAATCATTCAGATATTACAACCTATAGTCATTGATTATCTTTCACCATATTTATATATAGTTGATTTTTCATAATATGTTTTAATTGTTATGATCTGAGAGTTACTTATAAAAACGTTTATTCCTGTTTCGAGGATTTTTGGTAATGAAGACGACATTTTCATATTTTCCAGGAATGTTCGGAAACAAGTTGTAAGCTAAATATTATTTTAAAAAACAAGTATGAAATATTAAATATATACAAATGTGGCGAAAGATAATCGATGACTATACGTTGTAATATCTGAATGATTTGTTTGATATTAATTTGATTTTTTTACGGTCTAAGTCGTATGTTCCAACTTCCTCAATTTGTATGGGCGCTACGCTCTTCGGTATAAGACGTCTTTATCAATTTTCTCCTTATAGACGCAACAGATAGAAGTAAGATCAGTAGCGATCAAAAGCGCTTTTTTATCGCATTAAGCCTATACCCCCTTTCATTTTTCGCGAACACTCCCTTTAAAGATGAACAAAAAATGTCAAACAAGTTTAAGTGCCCTTAAAGCGTTTAAATTATTATTTGTCTAACCTACCATAAATAATATATTTTGTTTAATTTCTAGATTTTTCTCTTATATTACTTTTTAGAGGTCAAAATCTATCACATCATTAGAAACTGATCTTGCAAAATTAAAAGTAATCTCCCAAACATTCTAAATCGACTGTACAAAAAATCAAGTTGGAACTTTTTTAAGACTTTCAGAAAAAAAGTTCCAAAATGTAGTAAACACAAAACAAAAAATTATTTAAAACTATTGTTCCAAAAAACATGGGTGTTAAAGGTTAAATCGTCTTTGGGGATCTAATACTATATGATTTTATAGAATACACGAGGTCGTTTGTGCCAAATGTTCACTTTGCACATTTTGAACTATAGGGTAACTTTGGAGAACAAAAATATCGCTGAGATCAAATTCATCAAAATCGATCAGTCTCAATGTTTATTGAGGCACCCTGCATTTCAACCAATTTAAAGAAAAGAGTTCAGGAAAACAATAGAATAAAATAATTAAAGATTAAAATTGTGTAAATTTATAAATATTTTTATTTTGAACACCATGTAACTTGAAATCTTAGTTTTGTCCCGAATTTTTGTTAATTTTGATATTTTAGAAAACGGGGTTCAAACTTCGAACTGAATTCAGCATTGAGTCTTTGACACAAACTCAAATTTTCTGATGTCTAAATTAGCAACATATTAGTGTACTGTAAACTGTTGATATTTTAATCTTTTGATTATTTGATCTGTGAAAACTAATAATTTGATATATCTAAGGTCTACGAGATTTGGTATGAGGTATATTAATTTTTATGTAGTAATTTTTCGATAAATCGCCCAACCAGGATTGATTTTTAATATTCGATTTTGTTAGCCTATGTCACTTACGGGCTACCTATATGTCTCCACAAAAATGTCAGTCTATTCGGTCCAGCCATTTGGCCAGCTATGGGGAACATATATACGATACGAATGTCAGATTTTTTCCTAATCTCAACATTTGAAGGAAATCTTAACATTATTTTGTTATAAAAAGCATTTAATAATATTGTTTAAAAATATCAAATTATAATGCAAAAGACATCTCTCAGTTTTTATAATGCTAATATTCTGTTTGTAATTTCTAACAAAATATCCGCTTTTTGGAAGACAAGCGGTGTTTATTTTTTTCATCAACAAAGACAATAATTATGACTAGAGATCCAATCTATTTAAAGGGACTGTAAAGGAAAAATGAAAGGGGGTATAGGCTGAAAGCTAATCACTTCAGCTCTTGATCGCGACCCATGAAAGTTTTATCTGATGTTCCTGTCTCGAGAAATTGATATAAAACTGTGTTAAAATTATACGAAAGTTCATATATGTAAAATTTAGAAAATCTTCAACTTAAATCACGTGACCAGAACTATCATCAATGGCAGAGCAGTATACTGGTCACATGTCTCCGCCTGTATCACGTGACCACTTTACTGCACTGCCATTGGTGGAATTTCTGGTCAAGCAATACGGACGTATAAATAATATTATGAATTAAATTTATAAAAAATAGAAATAACAAATATAAAATTAGAATTGGAGTAAACCTAAGTTACAATTAGCTTTCTCTGGGATATCATCGTTTTCAGATTGGTTGCATATTTGCTGAATTTGATCTTTTTAAACCCTCTACTTTTATACAAAATTGTATATATATTAATTTTCGTATAAATTTGACACAGTTGTAAATCAGTTTCTCGAGTAAGGAACATCAGATATTACTTTCATGGGTCGCGATCGAGAGCTAAAGTGATTAGCTTTCAGCCTTATACCCCCTTTTATTTTTCCTTTACAGTCCCTTTAAAGGGTCAATTATAGTAACATATAGAGATTTAAAAACCTAAAAAAGTGAAACTTTGCAACTTTTGATGAGTTGTTTGTAAAACTTTTCTAAAAGAATGAAGGATATAAAAAGTTGTAAATGGTTTAAAACTTTTATCAATAAGAGACAAATATATATGTCAAGCTCAGGGGTCATCAAAGCATCAGATAAAATTTTACATTTTCTTTAAATTTAATTTTAAATAATCATGGCAGTTTTTTTAAAACTTTTTCGTTTAAACTAAATCTTTACAATAAAAGCAAAATGTATTCACGTCATATAAAAGTAAATTGCGCATCAGATAAAAACCTTTTATGTTCACAACTTTTCTTTTTGAAGACATGTTGAGAGGAAAAAAAAAGTTTTGCAATTCTAATATGTAATTGGATAAATCTTAGCTAGAGTATCTACAAGGTCACAAAGTTGTGCCGTATTGTCTTATAAATACATGTTGGTGGCATAGTTTTCATAGATTTTGCCCTTGGAGGTGAGATAGGGGAGAGTGTGATAATTTTATTTTTACTAAACCACAGTTTTTAGTTCTAGGAGAATACTAATCGAGACTGTATGAGGAATATTCTTCGCTTTCAAATTAATTAGGATTCTTTTCATAGAAGATTAAAACCAGATTACTGAGTTCAATCTAGAGTTTCCAGAGATCTAGTATAATGTCAAAAAAATGCTAATGATTTAATTAAAATAAAACTGGCAACTTTAATTTCGGTAAAAAAAGTAAAAATAAATTAATATATTTAAAACATTTTTGGGATAGACATCCTAATTTTAATTTTCTAGTATATCTAAATGTTTATTTTTTTGTAAATTAAAACTAAAATGATGATTAGTTATAAAAACGACAGCAAAAAAGGAGCATGTCTGATGCGATATGAGTTCTTCGAAACCGTTATCTGAACAATACTGATTCTCTGGCTTACAAACAAGATGGTTTCCACAATTTTTCATTGCTCCTTAAGCAAGAAATGCACAATATAATCTTGTGAGGAAACCACAAATGAAAAAAAAATCATTTTTTAAAAACAAAAATGGATATTTACGGACTACTTGATCAGACAAAGCAAGGATAAAGTTGTGAATCTGGCATAGCATTTTTTCAATGAAAGGTTACTTTAAACTATGATTATATAGTGTCTTTAAAAAAACTACATTTTAATTTTTCAATTTAACTTTTCTTTATTTGAATTGCACTTTAAATACAATTGTATCATTTTTGAATTATCAAATTAATATATAATTACTGATTTAACATGAAAAACATTGAAATGAAAGATGGGAAGGGGACGGACGAGAAAGGTTCAGTTTTTCTTTCCGCCTGAAAAGAAATTCTTCAAAGATTGTCCCACTCCGCTAATAGTACCAGTTGTACTATCAACAGTTTTAACTGTTGTAGTTCCAGCACTGGTCGATCTGGTAGTAGTGGTGCTAGGAGTACCAGCAGTAGCAGCTGGTTGATTGGCGCTAAACGAGAAGCCAGAGCAAACACAGTCTACGGAGCTGATCTAAAATCAAGATGCATAAAACGGATTCGAAACATTAGAGATCAATCAATCATTCAGACAGAAAAAAATCTGTCATAAAAAGAAGTCCAAAAAGTATTTTAATTTAGAGTACATGCCCAGCAAACAAGGGTTTCCGATATTTCCCGATTTTATTTGGATCCGTATCCGGAACCTTTCCTGAAGCTGTCAAAAATCATACAGTGAAATCCTTAATAACGAATACATCGGAAGAATTTATCAAATGTCGTCTTGACAATTTTTCATTGAGTTTTATACTATATTACGTAAATTTCAGTATTTGCGAAAATAGATAAATAGCCATGAATATGCGAGAACAGTTTTAAAGATTTCCATATAATCATTTAATTAAAAAACTAAATATCTGCAACATTCCATTATCAGAAAGTAAAGAATACGACATTTGATGAATTCATTCGATGTATTCGTTATTAAGGGTTTCACTGTAAACCATGTTTAAGAAATTAAGGGTGGTGTTTCTTAACCTTTTTTTAATAAATCTACCTCATAGCTGCTGGGTGTGACATGTTTATGGGATGATAATTCACATGGAATTTATCTGGACTAATTATTCCACAAAGGAATTGACTTTTTGTCACAAACTCAAACTTTCTAATGCTTATATGTTGCCAACCTAATGGTGTAAACCTTTTATATTTCAAACTTAGATCACTTGAACTAACAAAATTCATAGTTTGAAATATCTAAGGTCTATGACATTGGGTTCTAAAGATATGGGGATTAGAAAATCAGAGTTTGTGGCAAAGACTCAATTCCTTTGTTCTGCATGTCACACAACACACTCATACAAAGCTCTAGGTGTAGTATCTAGGAGGTAGATTTAGTTTTTAGATTAAGTTCTGTTCCTAATTTCTGAAAGTTTTTATTGGTTTATCATTCTTAGCAGCAACAACGTAATGAATTTTTGTTGCTTGGTAATGAAATAATATCTACCTTTTCATCTATGTCTTTATATCCGTCTTCATCAAAGTTCTAAAAAAAGATTAGTTTAACAAGAAAATTAATAATATTTTTAGGACAAAAATGGCTACCTGGTATTTGTGAGCTCCAACAGCTGCTACAACTGCTGCTTTACCCAGTCCAGTAAATATTGAATCTTAAATTAAAATATTTTAAGTGTTATAAATACTTTTTTTGAATTTGTACATAATTCGGAAAATTGTCAGGCTAAATATTCCTTTTAAAGTTTATTTAACATTTTTTGGTCCAACATTTGAATTGTGAATTTTTTAAATCTTGTATTTCACCATCAACTCCAAGAAAAAACTAATTTAATATAAACGTATGTGAATTCTGAATTGAGAGATTCTTATTAACTTGGTCAAATATGACCTTGATATGAAATCAAACCTTGAAATTTTATGTAGAAATGAAAAGTAGCTGATTGTTTGCAAAATTGTATGCTTACAACATCTTATTCACATCATAAATTTTTAATTCTGTGCATTTCATTTATTTTTAGACAAAATCTTGCAAAAAATGTTCCTTCAGAAGAAAGTTATTTTTAAACATGAATGCAGTTGTCCTCACTATTTCTTGGATGTGAATTAGTATACTGTATGTAATCGGGAATTCTCAAAGATATGCTACAATATTTTTTATTAAAATTTTCTTTTTCAGCATTTCAGAAAAGTTGGCGTTATTTTCTAAAAATTATGGTTTAAAAAAATTTCAGTTGTTTTGATTTTATAAAACTCGAATTCTGTAGCATAATTTGTTCGTTGACCTAGATATGCTTAAGTGCAAATATGACAATTTAGAAAAGCTTTAATTTAGAATCTGTAAAAACTCTAATTCATAAATTTGCCTTTTTCAAATTCTTCATAAAATTTGTGTAAATGTTAAGAATTATAATTTCCAAAAGTGGGGCAAAACGAAAATTTGTTTGGATAAAAGGTATGTAAAAGCCTGAAATGAGGGTCAACAGTTGTTAGGTAAAGTGAAAAAAAATCACCTGCAGTCTCAGCAAATAAAGATTCTTTGAAAAAAATGCAAAAGATTTACTTGACAATATTAGGTTTTTATTGTAGGTACATTATACGATTCTAAATTGAATAACTGGACTACAAGAATAAAGCTGAGAAAAACAAATGGAATAGAACTTGAAAGAAATACTTTAGTGGCCGAGGACAATCATATTAACCCTATCTCTGCTGGGGTACTTGAAAACCAGGATATGCTGGGGGGCCCCCCTCTAAATCCCATGTTTGATGTCTAAATATGACAAATGATATATCATTGGAAAGCTCTTGTGCTCTACTTTTAGAATCTGCAAAAAAATTGCAAATTTGCAAAAATTGAATTTTTTATCGCAAAATCCAGTTATATAGTAAAAATGTTTGCAAAAAATTTTTCGTTCTTTTTGGATATCCCTACTAAATTCTGGTTCTCTCATTATATGGTGCGCAAAATTTTAAATCCTGCATACACCACTCTGACTTGTTGAATTTTAGAAACTTTCCTGGATACAAACTAAAGATAAAAAGTCTTAAGATTAACAACATTAATCGCGATATCCTGATTTCTAAAGTTTTCTCTTCAGTGCAATTTATAATTACAAAATATTGGTTGGAAAGATGTCAAATGTAAACAACCCCTATTTTCACCCCAGGCCTCATTATATGTGTTTCCAAAGCATAATAACATCGAGACTGGGACACACGGCAGTAAGTAACATTTGTTAAATTGAATTGGGTACCGATGTTAACGTTTTCATTTTTTTGAAAAACGATCGTTTCGTTATGCAAACGACGACGAACAAATTAAAACGAAACGATCGTTTTAAAAACGATCGTTTTCAAAAAGTTCGTTTTTTTAAAAATGGTTGTTTTTAAAACGATCGTTTTGAACATCGAAAGTTTTTAAGTGCGATAGTTTTTCAAAACGATTGTTTTTATAAAAATCGTCGTTTCGTTAACGATCGTTAACGACGATAATTCGTTAACGATCGTTAACGACGACCCTTCGTTAACGATAGTTAACGACGACCCTTCGTTAACGATCGTTAACGACGTCCCTTCATTAACGATAGTTAACGAAGAGAGGAAACCGACCTGAAGGGCATCTGTACTTATCATTGAACAGTTTTTAAGAAAATATCAAGAATTTTTAGCTTCCCCACAACTTTTTAACTTCATGTAAGACGACATTCAATAAAGTTACATATAATTTTTTTACAAAAACGATCGTTTTTTCAAAAACGTTTTATAAAGTTCGTCGTTTCGTTAACGATCGTTCACAACAACCCTTCGTTAACGATCGTTAACGACGACCCTTCGTTAACGATCGTTAACATAATTTTCAATAAAATTTTTTTTTCGAAAACGATCGTTTGTTCAAAAGCGATCGTTTTTTTTAAAAAAAAAAAACAATTATATACAACGGTCACAAATGGTTTTTTAAAAAATGATCGTTTTCTAAAACGATCGTTATTCGTTTTCTAAAAGTTCAAAACGAGTGGGTCGTTTTTAAAAACAATCGTTTTTTCCAAAAAGGAAACGATCGTTTTTGAGTTTCGTTTGAAAAACGAAACAAAAAATGTTCGTTTAACGATCGTTTTCAAAAACGATTAACAACCGTACTGACAAACTCCTTAAAGACGAACTATGGAAACAAGAATATCCTCTGGAAAGGCAAACTTTTAAAGAAGAATTAATCCTGAAAAAGTCAATCTGAAAGTTTTTTGAAAAAAAATAGAATGTTTCAGGGTTGAAAACTTGAAATAGGCTATGAATGAGCGCTGTGGCTAGGATATGAATCATGGGAACTTTGTAGGGGGCCCAGGGGGTCAGGAGTTTGAATTTTTGCCAAAGTACTGCACCTCATACTTTATAGTGTATGTGCTTGTTTACCAGTACCAGATGGTCTAGTGTACCCAGTATGAAGTGGACACAGAATGTTTAATGCGCAACATACAGGCTGGATCTATGTAACCTTTTACCTCTATCATGATCGTATCCGACCAGAATACAACCTTTTCTTACAAGAACAGCTTCAGCATCATTTTTCTAAAGTTATCAAAAATAATAATTTAAAATCTAAATCCCCACCCCCTTCCCCGCCAACATAATTATAATTGTAATTATGAAAATGACATTACTAATTATAATTATTTTTTTTGATTCCTTAGGATTGTCAATTAACGGTCCTCCAAGTCTGCAGAAATAGAAAATATGATAGATAAAGGGGTTCACAAATCAATGTGGATGTAAAATTTTGATTAAAAGTTTGTCCTTAAATTTCATTTCAAAGTAAATTTAAAAAAGAAGTTTGATGTTGATTTTCTTTCCAGGTAAATGTTTTCCTACCGCCAGCTTTTTTTCTCAATCGGCTTATTAAATACTGTCATCATCATCTATTTTTTTGAATATCCCATTTAAAATTGATTTGAAATGTGCACGTTTACCAACATTAATTATCTTAATTGAAAAACGGGGTCAAAATTAAAAGATTTTTAAAAATTAACAAAAATTCAAAATTGATCTTTGATAAAGTTTTTCTACAAGCTTAAAGTTTCCCCCCTTCCCCCCCCCCCGCTGGGTTACAATAAACTTTTTCTATATGTTCTTATATATTTTCTATATATTTTCCATAGTATCCTTTACTTGTCGCCAAGGGTTTGTTTGGGTAGTTCGGTGTATCCTTCATTTACATGCAGCTGCCATCCAGAGCAGCTAAATAAAAAGCAGTTCCGTTTATCTTTCATTTACATATGTATCAACTGCTATTAAGTGCAGCCAAATTTAAAGCAGCTAAGGTTATACTTCATTTAAATGCAGCTGCCATCCATAGCAGCTAAATTAAAAGCAGCTCAGTGTATCCTCAATTTAAGAAAATGTTATGACTGCTATAACGTTTTTTGTAGCCCTAGATCTGTTGATTTTTGTTGTTAAGAAGTAATAAGTAATTATCAACGATTTTTGTACAAGAGCTTATATAGGCTGGGATATTTTATAATATATAGGCTGGGATATTTTATGATATATAGGCTGGAATATTTTATAATATATAGGCTGGGATATTTTATAATATATAGGCTGGTATATTTTATAATATATAGCCATAGGCTGGGATATTTTATAATATATAGGCTGGGATATTTTATAATTGTGTTTGCACAAGAGCTTATATAGGCTGGGATATTTTATAATTGTGTTTGTTTTAACTTGTTACGTCGATTTCAAAACCGCGTCAAACCTCTTTAAAAGTGAATAAAATGTTTTGAACCCTATATTAAATTAACTGACAACTAAGTTTGATGTGGTGAGGATTGGTTAGAACTTCTCTCAGAACAAATATAGGTCTATATCAAAGTGAGGACTACTTTAAGGAACTAAACATCCCATATATGGTCGGCCACATTTCTCCAAAAGATAAAAAGAAGAATTTTGAGATTTAAATCGATTATACAATAAAAATTCAATTAAAATTGAGAACGAAAATCATTAAAATTTGTTAAACAAAATAAATTGGTTCGTAGATTTAAGATGTCCACAAACAAAGTTTAACTATTGTACTGATATGGTAAACATTATTTGTTCTTAATTTTTTTCAACACCCGAAAAAGAGTATTTAAAAAAAATAATATTTTCGAACATAATCCATAATTGAATGAAACTTACTCATCCTCATCAAAAAGAATAGCACAAGTTCCATTGGTCGGCATTTCAGCACACTGAAGCCTGGATTTTACACTCTCATACTTCTCCTAGTGTCAAAAGTATTAGATACTAGCTTGGAAACCCAGACTTGACTGGAAACTAAAATTTCGCTGTAAAATTCCAACCAATCAACAAACCAAGCTAAAAACAATTTTTGTAAATTTAGCGAGTTCCCAAATCCAAATTTGAGGCACACCGGTCCAGGGGTTTATGAGTTATGATCGGGCGCATTAAAATACAAGCTGACAAACATAGAGTATTACTTTATATACATGGTTAGTTAGTTTGACTGCTGAGGATCTTCGTAAGATGTTGTTAAGAATGATTATGTTTTAAATAAAATGTGAAGTTTAAAAACTGAAACATTTAGGTGCATAGTTGCAGATATTTGGAGAAGATGCATGCTAGAAAATCTAATTTTGTATTTTAACATTTCATAAGTCTGATTTTAATATGTTTTGTGCAATGTAAGTTTAATGTTCATATTTTCCAATTTTTCTGAGAAATCTGAATCTAATTTTTTAAGATTAACTTTAATTGTGCAGGTGCAATAAATATTGAAAATATACTTTATATGGTTATCGGGTCGACGGAACAAAAAAATCAAGGATTTGTGATAATGTGCTTGCAAAATACATAATTTTACACGATGGGCGTTTTCTATTTTACCCATGGACATGGTTTCATGATAACAATATTACTTTATTTAACATGTTAACTAATCCCAGAACCATAACCCGTATTTCCGGTCTACGATTTGAAATACATAAAGGGACTGTAAGCGTAATTTCAAGTTACCCTTCCTGCAAATTTGCCTAAGTCCGGTTCACAATGGTACCCTTGAAACCTTTATCTGATCTATAATGTTGATATTGTTGTATTTCTAGGTTTTAAAGTGATTATTTCTGATAATTTTTATACGTTTTCTTGCAGTAGAGATGCGCAGGTCACTTTTGTATTAAAAATAATCAGTTTTCTTTAATTAGAAATACTGATATCTAATCCCCACTTCATAAGACAAGTTGGGAAGCATTGTGAATCGGACATTGCCATCTTTTCATGGAGGGTCACTTAAACATTATGCATACAGTACAGTCCCATCAAGAGAGCAACAAATATCAGAATTATAACAGTTCTAAAATTAGTTGTACAAATTGTCAAAGCCTAAAAAAGATAACCTATCAAATAAACGTCAAAACGGCTAAACTGAAAATGCCAAAACTTGTTGTGGCAACTCATTTGACCCCAGAGTAGGTTCATGGAAGGAGCGAGGTTTAAAAATTGCTCGTAGAAAAATGGAGCTTGTAGAGCATCGGTCAGCAGCTCTAACAATTGTTGCTAGAAAATTAACGCGAAGCGTGCTGAAAGCTTTTTTGGAAATTTATTAAACATTTTATTTTTGAAAATCTTAGAAATATTGAAACAGAATTATCTTATTATTTTGTCTGTATTGATGTTAATCTCAGATTTTCAAACTGAATATTGTTTCGGCATTGAATTAAACCAATAATCCTGTTTGTCCTGTTTATGCATAGCTTAAGGCAAAACCATTAACTGGCTTATTCCGGAAAGGAAGGGGGGGCCTTGGAGAGGGGGGGGGAAAAATAATCCATGAAACCAAATTAATTTACTATAATGTGGGAATAAATTAATTTTTGAATGATTTGTATCAACATTTTTCTAAATTATAATTTATTTCTGCACCTGCACACACTGTTCTTAAAAAAATGTATACATATCATGGTTTTACAGAAACTTAGAAATCGAAAATATTTCTAAATGCTACTTATAATTGAATTTTATCTGTATTTTTTTGCTTGGCCATGACTTAAAATTTGATCGTTAAAGGAACTGAAGGCGTTAAAGAGACCCTCTGTTTAAAAAAATAGTGGCATGTCCAATTCACAACGGTATAAAATACGAGTTACAATTCTGAACAAATTGTTGTTTTTCTACCATAAAACGGTTAAATTATGTTAGTTTCAGAAAAATCGGAAAATCATTTTTAAAGAGGAACAACAATTGGAAATAAACAAATTTTACTTATAAAAGGATATTATACATCATTCATCCTTGAACAGGTACAGATATAAAGTGTACCGTTGTAAATCATCCAGACCCTCTTTCAATGGAGAATCACTTAAAATGGCGGCTACAATTTGCATACAGTCCCTTTAATAAACTAAATGCTCCCAGGAGCTGAGCAGAGGTTGAAGAAGCAGCAAGAATCAGAAATAAAATCTTCATCCTAAAAAACTAGACTTTAAGTTGTAAAACGATTAAAAATATATTCAGCTTAAATAATTTATCCGACGAAAATGAATAATAATTTGACAATTTTAAGATTGCTGATGACGTAAAAGTACAAAGGGAATAAAAAAATCAGTGTCATTACAAACTTTGTGATCCAGCAGAATTTTTACTCCAAGATTTTACTTTATTTATCTAAGATTTTACTTTATTTATCTAAGATTTTACTCCAAATGACAAATGCAAATCTAAATTATTCCTGTTCAAAAAGCAAATTTTGACCAAAGTGAAAAACTAGCGATGAAAAGAAAAAATGCGTAAATTCCCTCCCCCCTGCAATGGGACAAAACTGGGTTCGTTTTTTTAATCCGCGAAAACGATTGAAAATGGCGGCTTTCAGAGCAACAATGACGACTTTGTGGGTTAAAATTTGGTATAGGTAAAGAGAAGTAAATATTTAGAATAAACGATTTTTAAAATTTGTTTAACTTAATTCTTGTGGAATCTATTAAAAGTTTTTAAATCCCATAAAAGGAACCAAGTTATTTTCCATCACTAAATGATATAACATCATGCGTGTATAATATACCTGTATCCTGTCTGAGGGTCTGAATTCAACTGATCCTGTCAAATCTGCAATTTCAAGATTTTAAGTTTTTAGACAATTCCGGGGCACAGTTGTTCAGTATAAAAAGAAAGATAAATCCATCTAAAATTGATCTTTTTATTTTGTTGATCTTGCAGTTTCGAGTGGAAAAAATGCGTAAATCAAAAACTACCCCATTACTTCTCTATTGCATACAGTCACTAACAAAAAGTATTTTTGTTACGCATTCAACTCTTTTTAGGTTTCACATTTCATTGGATTGTTCTTGTTCTACCTTGATCTTACAATGCTTTTCTGTAAAACATCAATTTATCAACACTTCAAATAGGCATAGTACAATAATAACAAAAAAAGAATATTTACTTGAAAGATTAATTTTATCAACACTGTAAGAATGTCCTATATTGAGTGATGGGCATTTCTTTTGTTAAGGAACAAAAGTTTTGAGAGAGAACAAAATTTTTAGAAAGAAATGATGAACGATATTTTTTTTTACTGAAGAAACGATTTTTTCGAAAAATAATTTACTTAAAAGAACTATTTTATTGGGCAAACGATTTTACTGAATGATTGTTCATTGATAAAACGAACGAAATAGATGTTAAAATATGAAATAATAACTACTAAATACTACTACTAAATAAATTTTCTAATCCTTGTATAGCAATTCAATATTTGATATTTAATATTTCAAAATTATAGATCATTTGTTCTAAATAATGCTTAGTTAGAAATAGGTAAGGTATAAGACGTTTGAAATAGAAAGACTCCGTTGTTTAAACAATTCAGTTTTTAACAGAATATTTGGTGAGATTGATAAACTGTGAATAAGATTATACTACATAGGCAAAGTTTTTTAAATGTGGAAAAACAAGGGTGTAAACTCCCCTCTACCCCCCTCCCCATTTTGAAATCTGTAGCATCTGTGGGGAAAGGGTGGAGGGGATGTTATAAGGAGAAGAGGAAATGCATTCTAGAGTCCAGCAATTGAGTTTTTCGACCCAAAATTAGTGTCTTTTAAAACCCCACATGGACCTAATACACAAAATATTTGAAAAATGTCAGAGAAATGCGAGGGAAATATCCCCCCCTTATTTTGGTTTTTGATTAAAACAATAGATCCAAATTCTGGCATGCATGCTAAAAATCAGAAATAAACCTTCCCTGTGGTCACGTGATGTCCCACAAAAAATTTGTGCCCGATCGGTTCAGCCGTTTTGACGTTTATTGGATACAAACAGACAGACAAGCCAAATTTATAGATAGATATACGCGCCTGAGTCACAATCCATTCACACAAGCCGACAGAAAATTCCTATCAATTTTATTATGGTTGTCACCGCACCCCTTTCAACTAGCGAACACACCCTTTTCTAAATAAGTTTAATATGGAAAAGAGGTCTGGACAAGGAACAGAAAAGACATGAAAACTGGTATCTTTGCGATTCAGTGATAAGGTTTCTTAGAATTTATTATATTTGTATCTGAAAACAGGTTAATTTATATCTCTGCAAATGATAAGAATAGATATACATGTGGGCCACCCTTTGTATGGAAATGTGAAAATTCTCCTTTAGAAAGAGAGTTTTTTTTTAAAGGGAGTGTTCGAAAAAAGTGTCGAAAAATATTTAGATTTGCCCAAAGAACTTAATATTTCAGATATATTCGGGGTGGGGGAAACATCGGTCACAGAGAGGGCATTGACCGCATGAAAATCCAAAACTCACTTAATGTTGACATTCTTTTTCATGACCGGGACCAACGGAGAAGACTATGGAGAATAAGTTTTAAACAAAATATTAAATAAAAATATTATCAAAAAATCATTACATACACATATAACCCGAACAGAATTCGACATATATAAAATATTATATCTGAATAGTTAGTTTTAAATTTAATTAAATTATTTACTTTATAGGTGAAATAATGGAACCTGGTGAGCTTATATAAATACTGAGCTCTTGAGTATAAAACGTTTTTAACCTTTTTCTCCCTATAGACAAAACAGATAGAAGTAAATTTAGTAGCGATCGATATCGAATTCAATTCGGGATTAGCCTATACCCCCTTTCATTTTCGCGACCACACCCTTTAAGCAAGAAATAGCAAGACTTAGCTAAGGCACTTCTTGAAAAAAGAGGCAAAACTTTATTTTTCTCCATTATAGAAACTAAAAGAGGTCTGTTTACAGTTTCGTATCCAACATGAGTGCATTGCACAATATCCACAGTGATCCAAATATTGAAAGCTATCACTTTACAAATGTATGAGAAATTTGCCAATTCCTTCTTAAATACCAAAGCTAAACCAATGTGCTTTAAAGTTCTTTAGTTAACATGTTTAGGGCCCAAAAAAGTGTAAAGGAGTTAGTAAGGTGAAATTAAAGGTCACTAGGCGTTACGACAACTTAAAGTCGATCCAGTCTTGAAATGGATGCAACTTTTCATTGCAGTCTGGATCTGATGTATCATCAGGAAGAAAAACACATGCTTGAGTCTAATTTATTATTTTCATATATTCAAAATTTAAAATAAAAGCAAAAAGTCTCGATCTTCTGCATGGGGCCTCTGTTATCTCCGTCACTCTAAAAATCATAAACAATTTCTTTATCTTATATGAATAGCAAATGCTTACAAATGTTATTATTAGGTAAAAAGTTAATAATAAATCATTTATATATAATTTTTGGATGACGCACTTGGTCAATTCTCTTAAGAGAATAATATACTCAGTGTGTTTAATAAGTTTTGCAAAGGAAATTAAAGAGGAACTTCTAGATGTCTCAGCCATGTCATTTTTTTAAAGTTCACTACATCTGTTATGAATTATTTTTCAGATAACATGATGTCAATCATATCTTTGTTCTAATGTAAGGAGCGTTCTTACGAAAGTATATCAGCTCCGTTCGTTACAGAAAGAAAACTTTCAGAATATAGTCTCAAACTTAATCCATCAGAGATCGAACAAAAGAAATGAGAGATTATGTATTTAATGTATATAAAGGACTTATGAGGATTTTTCTGGTTTTTATTTACGTTTGAGATCCATAATCGATGTAACCCTTCATGGTCCTATGTCAGAGACTTTGAAACAACTTTGTTTGCAATGTAAAAGCATCCATCAAGCTATATATGACAAATGTACCCGGTAAAGATATAGTTTTTAGAAAAAAATTACAGGGCTAAAGCATCTTGAAGTTATTCATTGGTTTCTATCAAATATCTTGACAGAAGAATTACATAGAAATGAAAATAAATGTTTCATATTCTCTTATTTGTATTTAGTGAAAAGTCCCTTTAAATTCATGTTTCCAAATAACAGAGAATTTAATAATGAATCATATTTTCATATTTAAAGGTTTAATTCAACTACTTGGAAAAATGGTTCCTGAGAATTTTGAAATACATTTGAAATTTATTTTGCTCTCTATCTTGTTCAAAAAATTAATAACCGATAATTTTAGATAGGAACAGATGACTCCCATAAAAAATGTTCCATCTATTATTTCTTTTCAACCTGAGTCAAATTTTAAAATAACACAGGATTATAACATCAAATTGCAAAGATATAGAGACTAAACAATAGTTTTGGGGATTTAGACCAGTGAAGTTGGTGATTTTATTTATTAACCTCAGTTCTTATTAGGTCCTGTTGACCCAGACTCACTAAAGGCGAACCCAGAGCAAACACAGTCGACAGCGCTGATCTATAGATTAAAAATTGAACATTAATTTATCCAGTAAAACAAAAAAAATGTTTTTTTTTTAATGAGATACCTCTTCGTCAAGATCATCGAATCCATCGTCAGATAAGTCCTGGTATTTGTGAGCATCTACAGCAGCAATAACAACAGCATCTCCCAGACCTTTGCTGTGACCTGATGGAAGAGAATTTCGTTTTTTGACATTTTTGGCATTCCTACCAGGGTTTTCACGCATGTGTTACGTGAACCAAATCGCAAGAAGCAAGAAGAATATTGCACATTATTATCATTATTCACAGGAACAATACTTTTCCACTGTTTTTCTTTACATTTTTATAATCGGAGAAAAGTGTTGCGCCAGTGAAAATATCTAAGAATATGGTTTACCTTTCTTATGATCATATCCTACAAGAACACATCCTTTTCTCACAAGAACAGCCTCAGCATCATCTTCCTAAATAATCATAGAAAAGTTCATTTTTGTTGTCTGTTTAGATTCAATTCACGTCAAAAAAGGTGTGCGACTTCACAAGAACAGGGTTTGTTTGTGGTTTATGACTCAGCCTAAACTACCACTTTTGATTTTTTAAATAATTTAAAAAAGAAAGAGAAACTTTGCCAATTTTTTTATTGTTAAATGATTCACGAAGCATAATGTTTGTCAGCAAAAGAATCCAAGATAAAAGGAATAAACGTCCTAAAATATTTTTATTCCTTGAAATCTTCGAAATATTATAATGTTTATAGCTTGGGAACCAGCCTGTCCCTGGAAATTAAGTAAACATTTAAACCTGGCTAAGAAAATTCCGGTGGTTCTATTTAGTTTCCTGCTCAAAATCTGAGGCAATTTGGTCAAAGCATTCACGACTTTTGATTTATGATCAGGCATACAAACAAACAAACAAAAAATCGCCCAAACTGAGATTACTACTTTATTTAAATAGATTTTACCTTGGCGTCGTCAATGAAAAGTTTTTTCAAACCGCCGGCCTCAGGTAATTCAGTGTATCCCTCTTTTACTTTTAACTGCCAACCAGTACAACTAGATACAAATTTTTAAATGAAGGAAAATATAAGAATACGAAAATATCATTGAATAACGAGATAATGATCAGAACAAAACAAGATAACGATCAGTATGCAATTCCCTGTTTGTAATTCTATCGCAATACCGTGCAATGGCAATTGAATTCTGGAATTCTGGGCTACAATGCAATGTGAACACAATGTTAGCAAAAAAAAAAATATCTTCACATCTTTTTAATACTAAAAACCATTTAAACATTTGATTTATTATCTGTAGGCAAGTATGAGATCTTTCAATAATAGCGAAATAATAAAAAAATCTATATTTTGAAACAAAAAAATATTTGGAAAATAAACAAATAATTTAAACAGCAGATTAAACAAAATTGAAAACTAAACGAAAGTTATAACCTATTCATTTTTATAGTTAGAGAATACACAATAAAGCACATTCATGGTTCATATTTACAGAGTACACAATACACAATACAACACATTAAAGAACAGAATATAAAGCACTAACAAATATAGATACGAGAATTAAATCATTTTCCTAGATACATTAGATATATTATCTAAGATTATTATGTTTTCAAATATTCAATTTATCTGATTAATTCCTTAAAATTAAAACGTACTCATCATCGTCGAAGAGAATGGCACAAGTTCCATCATTTGGCATTTCAGCACATTGAAGCCTTGCCTTTACACTCTCATACGTCTCCTAAGGATAGATGGACAGATAGATAGATAGAATTTAGGTCAAAAGGAGCACCATTCTTGTTTTCAGTTTCTACAAAGGAAATGAGAATTTAGACATGTCAGCACCCCCAGATATAATAAGATGTTGGCCTTATAGGGGGTCTATTTTGTTCGTTAATTACTGGTAGATTTTAAAAATATATTTTACCTTGGCTCCTTTCAGGAACTGAGGGTTTGCTGAGGCCGATGCAAGAAGAAAAACAACGAAGATTTTCATTCTTTAAACAAATAATTTTTTCAGTTTAAAGGGACTGTAAGCGTAATTTCAAAGTGACCCTCCATGTAAAGACTGTAATGCCTGATTCACAACGTTACCCTTAAGTTTTGTCTGATCAAGAATAAAATATATATCCAGCATGATAATTTGGAAAACTGATTATTTTCAGCTGGGATTTTTCTTAAAACTTACTAGGGCATTTCTACTGCAGGAAAACAAGTTAAAATTATTAGAATGAAATAATTTTAAATCTTGCAACACGAAAATATCTATTACATTATTGATCAGAAACAAGTTTCAAATGTACCGTTGTGAAACGAGCAAAGCCATCTTTAGCACGGAGGTTAAATTGAAATTACGCTTAACAGTTCTTTTCATTTAGATATTTTCAAAATTATGATTAATGAAGTCATTAAATTTTGACTTTTTCCCAATAAAGTTAACTTCAACAATAAATTTCACATACTTTATTTAGACACTTTTTATAACTTTAATTTTTTTATTTTTCCTTTGATTATGAAGAATAAGGTGTATTACGCTTTTTTTGATGGATTTTGATGAAAACATAGTTTGTGGGCTGATTTTATAAGAATTGAAACGGAAATTATGTTTGAATTCGAGAGAGAAAACATGAAAACAAAATGTTAAATTGGATCATTTTAAAATCATTTGCTAAATTCTCATAAAAACTCAATAAAATGTCCCCCTTAAAAAAAGTACGATAAAATGTTTTTTATCAAGGAAACTGAATTTTCATAAATATCCTACATATTTGCAATTTGAGAGTGTATATCAGATTTTGTGGCAAAAACTCAGTTCCATAAATAGAACGACGACAGTAAGGCTCTTTAAATAGATATACATGTGGGACCCATAAAACTGTGTAATAGAACGACGATAGTAAGGCTCTTTAAATACGATTTAAAATAGTCTTACGAACATGAAGCAAAATAATTTTGTAAATCTCAAATTTTAACATTCTTGAATTCTAATATATTATTAAATATATCTTCTTAAAATAAGTCTAGAACATGTTCTATTGTTTATTAAGTTAGGTTATTGCTGGACACAGTATTTTATTTAGGACATTCTTCAGCAGCATATTGAATATAAATATTTCAGTTTTTAATCCGACACTTTATTTAGAAATGATTTTACTAAACAATATCTTTCGACACGTCTCACGACAATCCACAGTAAAAAAAAATCTCTGAAAACTAAAAAACATTTCCTAGCAACAATTTTCTTTTCTTTAAAAATATTGCACTTATTAAAATTTATATTTAACTTTTATTGAAACGTAAAAAAACTAAATTTAAATTCAAAAATGTCAATTTATTTATATTTTAGTAAGTTTTGAATTTCGTTTTTGTTTAATTTCCAATAAAGAGACTGTACACGAGTTTTTAAGTGATCGTCCATTCTTAGAGTACCATGATCGATTTACAATTTGGTGATAAAAGCTTTATCTTCTCAACTACTGTGAGATATCCATTATAATCATCTAGAAAAACTACCATATCTTTCAGATCACTGATCAGATAATGGTTAAAGGGTTGAAGGGCATTATTATTCTTTTTTAATAGCTTGGGTCAACGCCAGTCTCTTTAAGCTTGTAGAATTGAAAAAATGTAAGATTGTAGAAAAATTTATTTTGAAGATGTTGCCTTTTATATAGGCTATTAAGTTTATTTCCTTGGCAACATAACCCCCACCTACATGGATAAAAATTTTAAATCCTGCATACACCNTTTTAAAGGATACTTTTCTCAGAACAGTTCTCAATTAACCCAAGAATACTGTAACTATGAGAAGAAATTATGGTACTTTAGCTGTTTTTATTAAATTGGTGAACATTCAACCCCATTATTATAGTTAACCCTATCCCTGCTGGGGTACTTGAAAACCAGGATATCCCATGTTTGATGTCCAAATATGACAAATGATACATCATTGGAAAGCTCTTGTGCTCTACTTTTAGAATCGGCAATAAATTTGCAAATTTGGATAAATTGAATTTTTTATCGCAAAATCCAGTTATATAGTAAAAATGTTTGCAAACAAAATTTGTCCAAAAAATGAAAAATTATACATTTTTAAAAAGCCCTTGACCATGCCATTTCAAAAATGCAAAATTTTAAATAACCTGATTTTTAATCAAGAAAAACTAAAAATGTGAAAATTTCCTTTTACAGGTTGTTTGCAAAAAATTTGCAATTTTTTTCGCAAAACTTGTGCAATTCGTTTCCTTATGTCAAAGGCTTTCCAAAAAGCTAAATTTTATCAAAATCTGACAAGTGGAAGTGGGTCAAAACAAAGATTTAGTTTGTTACAGGAAAAAGCAGTTAGTATTAAAGCCCGGTTTTAGGCCTAACGGGAGGGCTTTGGGTATGCAGGAAAAGTCAGAAAATTTTAACAGCCTCAGTTATGTAAAAAAAACTACAGGGAATAGGGTTAACAGTGATCTCCAAAAATCCATAGATCGAAATTACAATAAATGAAACTGAATATTTTTTATGAAAAAAAACGTAACATTTTGAATCTATTAGATTTTGTCTATTTGAAACTCTCAATGTGTGAATCGGAAAGGTTTTCTGGTTCCTAATAAAACTCATCAACTCTGATCTAAAAATGTCCGAAAAATGAGAATTGAGGTGGAAGAGAGGAATTACATGGTGACATTTGATCTTCATTTTTATCCACTTTAAAGCAGTAATATTTACACAAGATGAAGGGTTCGGCGTTGCCAGTGAAAAAAAAATTCGAATTTTGTTTAGCCTCTGGCCACCCATGAGTGTACACAAAAAAATTCAGCCCAATTGGTCCAGCCGTTTGGCCGGCTATTCGCAACATATATACGAATGTCTTGTTTTTTATATAGATTTATTCGGATAGGTACCTGGTGTTTCCCCCCCCCCCCGTCTTTACTTTGCGTGGTTGTCCAACGCCCATTTTAACAAGAATATATTCATTTTGAATAAATTATGTACTTTCTAATCAGGATGTTTCTATATCTCTATAATTTTAATAATCAAATTAAATAAAAAGACTAGTTTACGAGAAACAAGTTTTTCATGACAAAAAACCAGATTTTAATCAAAGAAATTATACTTAAGTATACACAGGGCTGGGCACGTGAAGTATAATATAGGGCCGGTTACGGTAAGGGCACAATAGGGTTTCCACCGGAATTCCGGGTTACGGTTTACGTACGGAAATGATCCGGAAATTTTTTCCATTTCCATTATGGAAAAGGTTCCGGAAAACCGGAATTCCGGAACGATTTTTTTCCGTAAAACGGAAATTTCCGGAACGTCCCGGAATATCATTCCGGAAATTTTCCGGAAAATCGTTCCGGAAATTTCCGGTTTCCAGAACATTTGGTACCAGAATTACATTAAAGTCTTACATATGTAAATACAACACCAGTTAGTAACACTAACAATATATGGATGGATGCCGGACGGTAGAAAAAGTTATACTCAATAATCAATATTCAAAGTTACTATAGTGTGAAATGTAACTGATAAACCGAGGAATAAAAATAAAAACAATATTTAGAAAGGAATTGAGTCTTTGTCACAAACTCTGATTTTCTCTTCCCTATATCTTTGCAATCAAAAGTCGTAAACCTTAGATATATCAAACCATGAATGTTTTCGACAAAACAATCTAAGTTTGAAGTATCAAAGACATTGAATTTGTGACAAAGACTCAATTTCTTTGTAAAAATTTTAAAACATTGAATTATTAGTTTCATATATAAATACTAATTAGTTCTTCTGGGGCCGAACTTAAAGAATTTGAGCGGCAATTTAAATTTAAGCCGAGGTTTAAATATGGTTGGTTCCACTTACAATTGTATCAAATGTTTCAAGATTTAAGCCGGCGCCTAATTTAAACCGGGTTTTGGTGGATTTAAACCGCGGCTAAAATTCTTTAAATTCCATCTCAGGTCACAGATCTGAAACTACCATTTTTAAAAATACCCGTGAAAAATAATATACAACATGAGTACACTTTTTTATCTTTAATATCTTTTTCTATCTTTTTGCCGTTTTTTTATCCTTTGCAAAGAGGGCTTGGTGGCGTCCGCCCCCCCCCCCCCCCCCGTGGCCTGTCCACGATTTAAAGAGTATCATTGGGAATCAGAGATGCCCCTCTACAACTCATAACTGTTTGTTTAAAAGACATCAATGTTTGTTCATCAAACAAACATTGTTTGAAGATTGTACCCGTACTCTAAGAAATGCAAATAAAGCGCGTTAAAACTTAAAGATACATGATATTTCAAAGATAATTTCCAGACGCCATTCTCAAAGAACTGTCTTATCATTTTATATAAATAGAGCTTAGAAACAATAGTTTAGAATCAGTGCTATAAATAATGGCAACTGAAAAGACCCTCCAACATAAGTTCTTTACCAGCATTGAGACTAAAACCTCCAATGTAAGAATTCCAATGGGCGAAGAAGGTTTTAACAAGGTGGCAATCATTGGTAGGGGAAGCTTTGGTCTAGCTTTGTCTAAAGAATTTGCTCGAGCAGGTATTCCTGTTTGCATAGGTTCAAGGACACCAACAGTAAGTAGTGATGGAATTCCAACGATGTCAATCCGGGATGCTATTCATGACAACAACATCATTATTTTGGCCATACCCTATCTGCATCAGGACAGCATTCCTCTTGCCGAAATATCTCTTAATCAAATTGTAATTGACTGCTCTAACAGAGTTAAGATTTGCAAGAGTTCTGAACACTCGCAAGCAGAATTACTCCAGGCCAAACTACCAGCTGGCTGTGCAGTTGTAAAAGCATTAAATACCCTGTCAGCTTATGAGATTGAAAATAGGACAAGAACAATCAAGGAAGTCCCCATTGCATCGGATAGTAAGTTGGCCAAGGATAAGGTAACAAGCTTGCTTCATGTTCTAAGCTATCACGCATATGATCATGGAAACTTGAAAGCGGCAAGGCTTATAGAAAACATTCCACTGCAATTGTTTCCTGTATGGCAAACACCTCTCGCCATCGCCTTTCTGATGTGGATATTTATGTACTTTCTTCAGTTTGGACGTTCTTATTTATGCCGTGATAATACAATTGGATGGCACCCAACTGAGGAAATAGATTGTGAAACATACAGTCTTTTGACAGATATGTTTTTTAAGGATATCATTAAGGCCTGTGATGGACAAGCCCTGAACTTGCTTGCTGCTTGCTATCTACCTGGAGTTCTGGCAGCTTACATACAGTTGATGAGAGGTTCAAAATATGCTGCATTTCCTCGCTGGCTAAACAGCTGGATGCTGATGAGAAAGTACTTAGGACTGTTGATGCTTTTATCAGCCAGTGTTCATGCTTGTATGTACTGCCTGACATTAAAGCCTGATCTGGGTGAACTACCTTGGAACAAAAAGGCTTACTACACAACAGGAGTGCTTGGCTTTGCCATGGCAGTCATTCTTGGCATTTCGTCTCTACCTTCAGTCTCATCTTCCTTCTCCTGGAGAGAGTTCAGAGCCATTCAGTCAGTTTTGGGTTGGAGTTGTCTTGTCTTATGCTCTCTTCACGCTACTTTCAATGCACTTTCACCTCCAAAAGCTGGGCAGAACTACAAGCTATTTACCTGGAAAGACTGTTATTTTGGCTCCACCGAGCAGGTTGCTCTGATTCTACCAGTGATAACGTTTATCCTTAAACTGCCCCTTCTTCTACCCTGGGTGGATTATCGCTTAACTAAAATCAGGCAAGGGATTGTTTTCAACTTTTACTCTGGTTGGAATGGTCTTAGAGTCTTTGGCATAGATTTCAAAATATGAAAATTGTAATGTTTATAATGGAAAATCTCCTAATTTATTTGATCTGGCATCTCAAGAAGGGATTCAGAATCTCACCGCATATTTATTTCTACTTCAATTCTTTAAAATTGATGCTTTTTGTGATTAATCTAATTCTTCTTTATTCTTTACTAAGAGTATTCTCAGGGTGCCTGACATTCCAAGAAGGTTTTCAGAATCTCATTGTAGGATCAATCAATGTAAAATATCTAAAATGAAAATATATGTTATTAATAAATTGTAAAAATAATCAAAGATATGATTACTAAAAACACAATAGAAAACAGCTAGGTTTGGAGATATAAACTAAGGGGGGTTGTGAAGTGGATGAAAATTGTTTGAGGTAATTTAACATGATGCATTTTTTTAAATTCAATCATGTCTATCATGGTTAACATAGATTAATAAAAAATCGTTAATTATGATGGCGATATCACACAGAGTCTAAGATATATTTGAAACAGCATTTGGTACTGAAATGCTAAATAACAAAAAGTAGTTGGTGTTAATACTTAATTTGTATAATATCATCATGTAAAAAACCTAAACTGTATTTATATATATGCTGACCACTGTCTAAGAAAGTTTGTTATTAAAATCCTCTTAGAGTTTTGTTTAACATTAAACAAAAGGAATTGAGCTTTTGCCACAAACTCTGATTTTCTAATTTCAATATCGCTGCAATCCAATTTTGTAGACCTTTGAAATTTTAAACTATAAATGCTGTTGGATCAAATAATATGAGTTTAAAATATCAATGGTTTATATCATCAGGTTGCAAAGATATAGGGATTACAAAAATTGAATTTGTGGCAAAGACTCAAATCCTTTGGTGACTAATGTGCTATTAAAATGAATTGTGAAATGAAACTTTTGAATTTATCAAAGTGCAGCTCAAAATAAATCTCCTTTTTATCTATTGTTTGATTAAACATGTTCTTCAAGATTTGTTTAAAATTAATTTGTCTATAATGAATTATATGAACAAAATCAGGGGGTTGCAACAAAGAAAAAAAATGCAATTTCATGAAAAAGTTATTAAAAAAAATTTTAAAAATATATTTTATTTCTCATAAATAATATTAATATCAATCATATGCTGACTAGATTACACTGGAGACGGTATTATTCAAAGCTTTTAACGATACCTAAATATTTTTTTGTGGCGCTTTGTGAGAGAAAACATTGTCCCAAAACATTGTTGATAAAAAATGTTCTTAAATTTCTAATATAAATATTCCCTAACCAATAAATAGGTCCGGTGGGTGATGTTTGCATCTACATTATACATATTTATGATGAAGATTGTTAAATAATAAAGATAAAAGTAATTATGGTAAAAAGTTATGGAAATAGCAGCTGTTTTCAACCATTAAAAACGGGTTAAAAATAGCATCCATTAAAATGATAAGGCCTTAGAATTAACAAAGAATAATTAAAAGCTTTAATATTATTGCCTCAAAATTCAAGAACTCTTGGTTTATTTGCAACAAATATTTTTTTTAATATTTCCTCATTCGAAACCTGGTCCAGGATGCTGAGGTGCATGTGCATCCTGGTCAGGTTGCACAGCCTCCTGCTCTCCTCTGAGAGACTGAAATGGATTGTAAATGGAACCCCGCGAAAAAAAATATTATAAATTATGGGGGGGCCTAGGGGGTACAAAGGGTACCGCCCCCCACTACGCCCCTGAGTAGCCGTAAAACCTTTGTATTTTCAGGAGGGAATTAGACATCCATTCGATAAATTTTGAAAATTGATTGTTTTCAATGGGAGTGATTAGAGGATTTCTACAACAGAAGCAAAGGTGGAAATCTTTAGATTAAAGCACTTTATCCTATAGAAAAATGAAGATCAATTTTTCATGATTAAAACAAGAATATTTTGTTCATTATTGACAAGAAGATGCTTTAAGGTTACTGTAGTGATTCGACAATTATAGAAATCTAAATTTTTTACTGAACTTGCCGATACCATTTCAAAGTTACAAACATCTGGACAGCAATCACGGACATCATGGTAATAATATAACATTTTGTAGTATATTTCTAACATTCTGTTTATAATTTCGAGTACACTTTTGGTTCGGAATTAGGAAAAAGATGCTTTTGTTTTTTGCAGCAAAGAAAAAATATGTTTTTTTTGCAGCAAAGAAAAAAAATTTTATGAGTGATAACCTCATCATTGAGTATCTACAAGTTTGTTATAAATTTATTTAGACAACTATATGAAAATCCGATAATTCCAACCCAGCTACTCCTCTTTCCTTCCTCGTCCTCCCTCCCACCCTCCCCACTCCAGTCCCATTTCCACATGTCCCAACCCTTCCTTTTCTCTAGTAACATTCTATACCAATAATACATACCTTATACTTTATCAACTGTTTTAATGATAAGATTTTAATGAAAACTCTTCAGAATAGTACTGTGGAGTGTGGAGTGTGGAGTGTGGAGTGTGGAGTGTATGTTGTAATATTAAGTGACTCTCTCACAGTAATTGTCTGATAAAGGAATTGAGTCTCTGCAACAAACCCTGATTTTCTAATCACAATATCTTTGGAACCAAATGTTGTAGACCTTAGATAATTCAAACTATGAATTCTGTTAAATCAAAACATCAGAGTTTGAAATATCAAAGGTTTACAACAACGGGTTCTAAAGATATTGTGGTTTAAATATTTGATTTTGTTACAAAGACTCAATTCCTTTGACAAAAGATATATCTTTATTTTTCAAACTAAAAATTAATTAATTTCAATTTTTGTTTCTCTGTTTACAGTCTCTTTAAGGAAAAATGAAAGAGGTACTTCTCCGAATTTAGGAATATTTTGTTCCATAATTTTATTCCTTAGACTGTATTTGTACTTAATTTACAGGTTTTGTACAGAAATATTTTCAAGAGGCACAATAATAACTTGATATTTTGTCAAAGAATCTGGCCATTAAATTTATCTTAATATTCTACTTCCAGTATGTTTACTTCAAATACAAAAGTAGTTAAACAGTATGCAGCACACGGAGATAGCGGGAGACATGGATTATACTTAAACAAAGAACATTTGGATGTCTAGAGAATATAAAGATGAATTGATAGAAGAAAAAATTATGTTGAACGTTTTTTGAATGGTAGAAATGCATTTTAAAAGTCAAAAAATACTTGCAATTATCTTTCTGAGAGTTTATCAATGATTTGATCTTCCCATTATCATACATACAAAAATATGTTAAAAATATTTAAGTTTTGAGTTTTGGTACCTGCTTTTAAACCATGATCTATAAAGTGCAACTGGGAATTTGGATTTTACAACTACATGAAAAAAAACTATTATACTCTAAAATAGACATTTTATTGAATCAAAACTGAAAAAATAATCATGCTAAGTTTAAATTAAACGCATTTTTTAAATTTAAATTTAAATTAATGTAATTTATGTAATATAGGAAGGAATTGATGATTTTTTAAAGTTTTAAAAGAAAGTATTCAAACGGTTAAACATTTTGAAATGCATGTTCATAGCCCAATTTGTCATGGCCAGCTCAAAGAAAAAAATTAGACCGATAACTTTAATATTTTGGGTGCTAGGGAGGGTGGAAAAAAATGTTTAAAAAAGGGAAAAAAATGAAAAAAATATCAAAGTGTGACACATGTTTCTAAATGCATTTTCAAATTCTTTTCAAAAATATCTGTAGTCACAAAAAAGTTATGGGCTATGAACTGAAATTTTTAACCGTTTTTCAGTCAGTAATAAAATTTGTTCTTTTGCAAAAGAATACTAACGTAATAAACAAATCAATCAATCAAAGCATTGTTGTCGCTAAGGAACAAGATTCTGACGATGAACAGTTAGACAAGGTATAACCCACGAATCAAAATCGATAATGCAGAAAACTCTTTATTTCAGTTGACAAGCATACATATTTGTTTTGTTCGAAAATGAGTTAAACGAAAATGTTGTAATTGAAAAATTTTAGAAGGAAGATTTGTATTTATCCCTAAATAAAGACTTTTATTCAAACTACAAATATACTGATATGCAATATATTTTCATAGTCTAATTTTTAAGATAGCACAGTATTGCCAGGGTCAGGGAGGTTTAAAAAAAATTGCATAGGTATGTCGAAAAAATGTATCTAATAATTATTAAATAAAGGCACAGACTGGACTGCTATGCAAATTTGTATCAATTTTTGTATTGCAACGCCCGCTTAAAGCTTTGATTTCACATCACTAAGTAATTCATACTTTTTTGTAGCCCTAGACGTATACATTTAAGAACTATACAGAACAAGTTTATGGCTTTATTTTAAGTAGCGATTGGCAAAATCCTCATTGATTTTTGCATGAGATTTTGCAATTTTGGAGTCCCTGTGGTCATAGTAGTAATCCCACAGTCCACTAACGCTTCTAAATCTTTGGTCAGTGTACTGCAAAGTGTACTGCAAACTACTACAGAACACACCATAGCTTAGTTGAGGGTGATTCTTTTTGGCAAGTGTTTTTCGTTGTTCGTGTTAGATAATGTAAACAAAAATTTAGAACATTTGTTCTGTCTTTTTTATAGTATAAAAAGAAAAAGAAAAGAAAAACATTTTTCCCCTAACGCCCACTTTTTTGTAAATTGTTAAGAATTGTTAAGGAATTAAGTCTTTGTCAAAACTAAAATACAATTCATTTATAAATGTATATTCATATTATATATCTATATATTATATATATATCAGAAACCTGATGGTGTAAAGCTTTAAAAATTCAAACTTTGATAATTTGATCATAGTTTCATATTTCAAAATATTTGAGGTCTAAGACATTGGGTTGTAAATATATAGAAATAAGAAAATCAGAGTTTATTCATTTGACAAAGATGATGTAAATATCTTTTAAAACATTATACAAAGGTCCTTTTGCAATCTTTAAAAACAAAGTTAGCACCTTCGCAAATTAAAGTAAAATTTTAAAGGTCCATCTCGAGTCCAAGTTTTAGGGATTAGAGAAAATTAATAGTAACTATTTTAACAATTTTAGCTTTTGCCTGAATTGCTCTAAAAGTCGCAATTTTAAATAATTTTAAAGATTTCACGAAGTTTTTTGCCTAAACTTTCAAAAATGATAATTGTGAACATATTTTTCGGGGAAACTTTTTCATCTTCTACTTTCCATAAACCTTCCCTATGGGGTCATATTTGTGCCACACAATATCTGGGACCAACCGGTTCAGCCGTTTCGACGTCTGTTGGATAAAGACACAAATCTTTATTTTCTAATCCCGTCATCATTGCAACCCGATGGCAGAGACAATTTAATATTTCAAACTATAAATTCTGTTAAATCAAATAATCTAAGTTGGAAAATTCTAAGGTTACACTATCGGGTTGCAATTTTGTGGCAAAACTAAATTCTTTTATTTTAAAATGGTTGGGACGCATGTAATGTGATTTTCTCTCCATTTTCCTTAAACAATTCTTAGTTATTTCTTAGATATTTATGTTTTTGGCATACATATAATCCACTGATGTTTTTATGCACAAATGAGAGAAAATCAAGATCATTTAAAATGTACATTGTCTAAGGCTCCAAGAAGCGTAGATAAGGCATAGTAAAGTAAAATCGGAAGTCAATGCGTTGTGACACTTCAAGTCTATTCTGAAAATTGATGCAACTTTTCATATTAGCTATACCACTGTTTGATGTATTACAATAAACACCAAAACAGCTTAACTTACACGACCCCAAAGTCTGAAAAATTTGCCAAAAATCAATGTCAACTTTAATTGCTTTTGAAAATGGGGTTATTTAAACAGAAAAATCCGCAAAAATTTGAGAATGATAAAAATAACCACTTTTAGAGTAAACATAAAGTAATGTTAATATAAAAGGCGTTGGAAACTAAAAAAGCTAAAAAGTTAGTTAAATCTGTATTATTTGGAAAGAAATTGAATTAATGAAGTCAAGAACTAATGGACCCCTCAACATCAATACACACCTCTTCCTAAATCAGAAATGGATTAAGACATAAAAGATATCAGTAGGATGGGGATTGTGCCTGTAGATTGAGAAATATAGAATTCAGAATACAAATTAGATTTAAATCAAATGAAAATATAGGATTATTCGCAGATGATGAAACTTTAGAGAAGAATTAATATTATTATAATTTTAAACATAATTATAATTTTCTTATTCTTCATCCTTATATTGAGAATTCCCTGTAGTTATGACTAAATTTTCCTTGTAAAATTAATTAGCCCTGTTCATCGCAAAATTCCTACAACTTACAAGTTACATGGTTGTGACAAAAAAATCATTGATTTTGCGTCATTAACGAGTTTTATAAAAATTAATGACTTTCAGGATGCATCAAATGCAACAACATTTTTTTTGGGGGGGGGGGGAATATGGTAAATATTGTATATTGGTTTTGACGTTTCTTGAAACAAGTTAAACTGTTTTTTAAAACGATAATATTTGTTCTCATAGATTAAATATTTGAAAAGAAAAACTTTTTTCTTTTTTCAATGTCGCTTTTATATAAATACTCTTTTTGAGAAGCTATCCTTCCTTTACTTTTAACGAAATTACCGAACATTATTTAAACTAGCTTTTTGTCTTGATTTCCGTATTCTAGTTCTTTACTCTCTAGTTTCTAAATTAAAAAGCATTCTTTTAAGCCTAATGAGGAAAGGACACCAGACCGCCATGAGCCTAAAGCAAGATTTTTTACTGATCAACTTAAATTCCTTTGCTATTTTTATCTCTAAAATTTTCCTTTCATTGTAAGAAATGTAAGTTTTAGTAAAAAAGTCAGTATTATAAGACAAATCTGGGAAGCTTGTTTCGGCCGGGTATCCTTCCATCGGTTCGTGCCAGCCTGGTCTCTAACCCTCGATCCACGGAGCCCCTGATGGAGGTCCTGGACCTTCTGCAACTTATGGAGGTCCTGGTCTCCCTCCCTCGGAGTCGGCTCATTGAGACCCTGGTCTCACTACCTTTGGCTTATGGAAATCCTGGTACCCCCCCCCCCCCTTGGCTCATGGAGGCCCTGGTCTCCCCTTCAGCTAATGGAGGTCCTCGTCTTTCTGCTCATAGCGGTGCTGATATCCCTCCCTCCTTTAATCTTATTCCAGATAAATGCATTTCCGCTATTCTAACAACTACATGAGAGAATCTTAAAGATTTTAAAGGAAAGAGAAAAGGTTGGAATGAGAGGAAATTATTCATTCATGGATTGAGTCTATGGTTTTTCTGACAATTTTAAATTCTTAATTTTAATTTGTTCTAATTCGAAAATTAGGTTATCATGTCTAAATTTAAATAGATGAAAAATTCTATAGTTTTTTTTTATATTAAAGAAACCCACAGCTGGAAAAAACCTGATTTAGAATAACTATTTATTCACTGTTAGCAAGGATTTACCAGAGAGAACTGCCAACTTTGCCGGGAATTTACTTTTCTAAGTGTTTTCGAGACTTTTTTGATGAAATTTCATCATGAGCCTTTGTCGAGAAATCACAAGGTAAAGTCAATTTCCGGTTGAGTGCAGTTCTCCCAAAGGAAATTCTCGCTATAAGTAAATGTGTAGTTTAATCCCATTCTGAGCAGCATTATTAACCGATTAAACTTTTCAATAATAATTAATATATATATATGTTTAATTGTGTTATTGATAAAATATTTATAAGTTATATTTTTGTTGTAAAACTTTAAACTTAAAAGCTTTATCCATCTTGTAAATACTTGAATTTCTCTCATGAAAATATGCTAAGCATCACTTTCTCTCTCTTGGGCCATCACAAATATATTTACACTGTTCTTTGGGAGAAAACTTTAAAGGGAAGGGATGAACATGATCAATAATGTTGCTCAGAATGGGATAAAACTGGGTAAAATAGATATAAGGGGCGAACATCCATGCTCTTTCACAATATGGCAGTATGACAATAAAGAGGTAACAATAATTCTGTTATAAACTCTAAATGTCAAGTTCAAAAACAGGTTGAAAATTAAAAATTATTTTATTTCATCCAAAAAAGTTATTTCCTTGAATTTTAAAGAATGAATTCAAGACCATAGTTATTAAATGATAATCGATACCATCGATGGTTTCATTTATAATTTTTTTAATAAAATATGTTTCTAAACAGCTAATTAATTTATAGTTAAAAGTTTTTGTTACTTCGTTTGTCCTGATTATAATTCTAAGACGTCAGTTCTTTTAACCCTATTCCTGTTGGGGGGGGGGGTCAATTTGACCCCCCCCTGTAGTTTTTTTTACATAACTCAAAAAGTATTGGTCTGAGGCTGTTGAAATTTTCTGACTTTTCTTACATACCCAAAGCCCTCCCTTTAGGCCTAAAACCGGGCTTTAATACTAACTGCCTGAGTCCTCAGGCACACTGCATGAATGACTGCTTTTTCCTGTAACAAACTAAATCTTTGTTTTGACCCACTTCCACTTGTCAGATTTTGATAAAATTTAGCTTTTTGGAAAGCCTTTGACATAAGGAAACGAATTGCACAAGTTTTGCGAAAAAAATTGCAAATTTTTTGCAAACAACCTGTAAAAGGAAATTTGCACATTTTTAGTTTTTCTTGATTAAAAATCAGGTTATTTAAAATTTTGCATTTTTGAAATGGCATGGTCAAGGGCTTTTTAAAAATGTATAATTTTTCATTTTTTGAACAAATTTTGTATGCAAACATTTTTACTATAAAACTGGATTTTGCGATAAAAAATTCAATTTTCGCAAATTTGCAAATTTGTTTGCAGATTCTAAAAGTAGAGCACAAGAGCTTTCTAATGATGTATCATTTGTGATATTTGGACATACAACATGGGATTTAGAGGGGGGGGGTCAAATTGACCCCCCCCAGCGTATCCTGGTTTTCAAGTACCCCAGCAGGGATAGGGTTAAGCAAACTTCTAGATAATCCAGTCTTGTGATTTAATATTTAAAATAAAAGATAATGATTCCTGGCTGAAAAGATCCACAGGCTGGTCAAGCGAGAAACAAAGCTATAATTGAGAATTAATTAAGTATTTGAGCAACTGAAACAATAAAGTTTATCACATCTAAAGTCTAAATATTTATCAAGCAAGAATTTTTTAACGCTAAGTTTAAACCCAAGCTTGCTCTCAATTTGTTTAATATTAGGATCAAAATCATTCCATAACAAAGGAAAGCTGAAAAAAGGAAACTTTTTTTTAAAATCATTTCTGACCCTTGGTAGAAAAAATCATCAGCATTTCTAAGAGGATTTAACTTAATCCTTCATACCAATTATTAAATTTTTTCTCAATAAAATTTGCATTATTCATAACACACATTTTTACAATGAAAAGTGTTATCATCTAAGAAGAAGTTCTTTCAATATTTTATTTTAAATTTAAAAATTATCACTTTTCTTGTAGACAACAAACATTGTTTATTACAAAAATTGCATTTACATAAAAGACAAGTATAATTTTAAAGAGGAAAAAAATTGCAGGAATTGTAAATTTAACATATAGATAAGTCCATTAAAAAAATTTGATCTCCTTTCTAAGAAGATGTGGCGTGGCACACATGAAAACAAAGTTTTCTCAGTTTAGAAAAATAAAATAGCTATTAGTTGTGAAAAAATATATGTATTTCTGAATGATTGTCACATAAATGGATTCAGAAAATATGTTTTTACAATAAATTTATTAAAATAAAATGTTGAAACGAAAAATTAAAATGTTATTATAAAATATCAGACAAAATATCTATTTTCTTAAATTTTGATTTAAAGAAATTATACCACCTATATTATACTTAATATAGGATTTTTTTTGTAGTAATTAAATTTATAATATTTGTAAAATTTTAAGGAAGCTTTAATAAAAACTGAGTAATTTATTTTGCTTGTAGATTTTTTTCGATTGCATTCAGCAATTTTCTGACGCATATATTATGAAGTTTTTTTCTTTAAGAGGTCAGGGGATTAGTAACCCTTTCATGAGTTAATTCCGAGTTACAAAAAGTGTATACAATTGATTATAGAAAAAATGAATATCAAGTAAAAGGATGGTTTCACAAATCACAAGCTTTAAATGTAAATGATCTGTTAGGGTTATTTCAAGTGGCCCTCAATGCAAAGATGACTATGCCCAAGTCACAAAGGTAACATTGAAACCTGTATCCGATCAGTAATGTGGAAGATATTGTCAATTTCCTAGTAGTAAAAGAGTATAATTCTGTTAATACCTATATGTTTTTCTGCGGTAGAAATTTGCAAGTCACTTTTATAGAGAAATCACAATTGAATATTGTCCGTTTTCAAACTTAAAAACATCCAATTCATACTTGTTAAGGCAATAAATACGGGTACCGTTGTTAATCGTATATTGCGATCTTTGGATGGGTTAAAATCACACTGACGATGTAAAAAGATTTGTAAAATTAGGTAAACTTTCGTTTACACCTTAATCTAAGTAACAGATTATAGAGTATATAGAAAAACCACGATTGAAAAAATAAAGGATCAGGATATCTCATTTTTTCATGATTGGACAAAGGCCTAAATGCAAATCTATGACTAGACAGTTACTTAAAATTACTTTACAGCGCAGAAAAAAACGATTTTTAAGATTTATCCTCTGTGGCCGTGAGCATCCTTACAGCTACAGGGTGTCTTAATAAATATGACATTTGAGAGACTGTTTTTGGATCGTATTATGTATAAAACTAAATCCAAATTTCTTTATATCTTCAGTAATTTTTAAAGCAAATAAAAGACAGGGCACAAATTTTAAAGAAAAAAAATAAATAACTAGATTGACGACTAAATGCTGCAAATTATTTCAAAGATCAAGACGATCTTCAATTCGTGTAACTAGGGCACTCTGCATTGTGATTTGAAAATATGTTTTAAATAGCTTGATACTGATGTCGTCTTTTATGAAGTAGGAGAACAACACAACCATGTATAAGACCAGAAGCAATCAGCTCGACTAAAAATAAAAAATAAAATTGCTTTCTGTCCAAGGAATTTAGTGCTAAACAACAACGTTTTGCACTTAGATACTTTGAAAAAATTCTTTTTTATAATAATTGCAATAGATTTTACTTCCGAATAAAGAATTAAGATTCTTGAAATGTTGTTATATTTTAAATTCTATTTATCAAAAAAGAATGTCGTGCCAGTACGGCCTGTCTAGCTCGGCGTGCTAGATTCAATAAGCAGTTTTCATTTTTTAGTCTATAATCCTGACAAGGATTCAGAATAGGCAAAATGTATAAAATAGGAAACAACCTCTTTAAAGAATATCTACCTGAAGCTAGATAAAAGGAAGCTGAATAGGAGTTTGTTGTATCATGTATCAAACCAGATATTGGGGGGCCTGCCAAGGCCGCTATTCCACGGACAAAGGTTAGCATACCTAAAAAGGTTTAACATTGTACAACTTGATTCTCCAGAAGTTTTGTGTCCCTTTGTTAAATGTTAATTTTATTACTGCTTTGCCTGTGGCTGTGAACATTTAGTTTTTATATATTATAAAAAATAAGAAAAGACAATTAAAAAAAATATCGAAAAATATTCAAGCATCATTGCTTATTACTGCCCACTTTTGATCAGAGTAACAACGTCAGAGTGAGTTGTTTCCCAGGTCTGATTTTTCTTTTTTATCAGCTAGATTTATGTTACAGTTAAAGGGACAGACCGGCTATGTAAGGTAGTTGAACTGAGTATGCAGTTTTGTGGAAAGCTTCTTTGGGATTCATTTGAGACATAAAAAACTTTTTGAAGATTTGTAAATCCTGAGTTTGAGCGCAAATTCGACGTTCAAAACTCCTATTTGGGGGTGGGTACGTTTCCAGAATTAGTTTTTTTTAATTATCAAATAACGACTACATAAAATGTAAAAAAATTCTACAGTAAACTAATTAGTTGTTAAGGAACAGGCTGAGAAAATAAAAATTAATCTTATCATCAAAAATAAGTAATCTTGTTATTAGTTTCTATTTTCTCATTATTATGGTTTTTCATTATTCACAAAGATTTTCTGCAGATTTTGAAGAATTTGAAGAAATCTGCGAATAAATTCGAAGAAAATAAGAAATTCAAGATAATGATGAAAACGAAATAATTGATTCTAGCATTAATTTATTGACAAATTTCTTCTGAGAAATATGTTCCTAACCATCTAATCAAATTACTGTATAATTTTTACTTTATTTAATAATTTTAAAAAAACCGAGTAGGAGTTTTGAACGTCGAATTTGCGCTCAAACTCAGGATTTACAAATCTTTAAAAAGTTTCATATGTCTCAAATGAATCCTAAAGAAGCTTTCCACAACACTGCATACTCAGTTCAACTTCCTTACATAGCCGGTCTGTCCCTTTAAACCCTAAATAAAAATTTATCAAATTTCGTATTCTTCACTTTCTGATAATGGAATGTTGTAAATATTTAGTTTTTTAATTTAATGATTATATGGAGCTCTTTAAAACTGTTCCCGCAGAATTTCTGGGTGGTCGAAACTTGAGATAAGATTACAATAATATATTTATAATCTATATAATAGAAAAAGACATTCCTTAGGTTCTAACGAGTTACCCCCCAAAAAATTAAGGAAAATCGGTGCAGGGGTTCATGAGTTATGCTCGGACATACTTTATGTACATAGATGATATAAAAAACATCATAAATATTATTATTATTGTAGAACATCAACATCGATAACAATTAAATAATTGTTATGAAAGAATGTAGATATTGGACTTTTGCAAGCTAATTTTAGCAAAACACAATTTCGAATTTAACCCTTCAAGGAAATTATGGTCAAATCATATACAATACAAACATCAAATATGCAGTACGCGTTTGTAGTACAATAGTGTGAGGAGTTTTTTATCTTAAATTTCAATCAGTTTAAAAACAATAAAATTTAGCTCTGTTCTCTCAGATATTTTCGGCTTTCTTTAAACATGTAATTGAAAATAAAGAAAAAAGCTAATCTATTCTTTAGTTGTATACTACCGAGATCCACGCAGTAGGAACAAACATGTTTAAGGTATTACCAGTTTCATAAAAACAGGAAATAATAACAGGAAATGCAAGTCTCAAACAACTGAAATATTTATGCACCATGATTTCAAATAATTTTAAACCCTCGTTGTAAGTGACCCTCTATTATATGGTATTTAGTTCTGATCATTTCCTCCATTCTTTCTAAAGCATAAATCCACATGTCACTTTCCAGAGAAACCACGGTAAAAATAGTTATTTTCAATGAGAACATTATGGATATCATACTTGCCTTTCTATAAACGTAAAAGATATTTTTAAATTATGTATCCAGTTCCTTTACGGTTTTTTATCGTGAACCTATTGCTGTTTAATTGGAAACAAACATTTTCGGACATCCCCAAGTGCTGTAACTATTGTAACTATATCTAACTAATCAAAAAGAAAAATCAGACGTGGGGAACAACTCACCTTGGAGGTTACTCTGGTCAATAGTGATTCCAAGCCTATGATTGATATGGAAGAAAATTACAGATAAATATTTGAGATGTTGTGTTCACGTACGTAAATAAAATGTAATTTATAGGGAGGTTCGTGAAAAATAAAGGAGGTTTAGACTAATGCCGAATTTAATTTGACCTTGATCACTGCCAATTTTACTTCTATTTTTGTTGCGTCTATACGGAGAAAATGCTTTAAAATGTCTAATACTTAAAAGCGTAGCATCCTTACAAACTCAAGTAGTTTACTCAGATCGTAAATAATTAAATTAAATTTAAAACTGCGCAGTTAGATAACATAACATAAAATTGTCGAATTCAATTCGATGTTCTCTTATAAAGATGATATTTCATAATCATATAATAAAACAAGACTTTCATATATATATGTGTTGCGTATAACCGACCGGCTGGACCGATTTGGCTGAATTTTTTTTGTGAACACTCATGGGTGGCCGGGGAAATTTTTTTTCAAATATTTTTTCCACGGGCAAAGCAAGGCCTTTCAGCTAGCATTTTTGATATTTTTTTTTAATAATGAAGATGAAATTTTAATATTTTTCAGGAATGTTCGAAAATCCAGTGCTAGCCGTGAAAACAAGTTGCATGCAAAATATTAATTGAAAAGCAAAATAAAAAAATATTATAAATGATCAAATAAGGAGAAATGCATCGAATTGCATTCGACAATTGTAATTTGTAATGTATAAATGAGTAGTTTTAAATTTAATAAAATTATTAACGATATGAGCGGAAAAATCCAACTATGTAAATATGAACGGACGATACGCTCTTGTGTGTTAGAGGTTTATGTTTATGAATGGCACGCGCCTTGGGTGTTAGAGGTTTTTCTTATAAGTAGAAGTAAAATTGGTAGCGATCAAGATCGAATTAATTTCAATTTCAGCCTAAACACTCTTTCGTTTTTCGCGAACACGCCCTTTAAACACCATTTAGGTTTAGGCTGTCAATAATCAACCAAAGCTTTAAAGGAACCGTTGGCAATCCCCTCTTTGCATGGAAGGTTACTTGAAATTACGCTTACGGTTCACCAAAAAGTAACAAAAAGAAAATATGAAAAATATATCAAAAATACATCGAACAAAAAATAATATAAAAATTTATTAAACATGCATCAAAAATATGTAAAAAAAACTTACCGAATCCTGAGCTAAGATCTTGTTTTCCTAAGATTTCGACAATCAAAGCTGAGGTTACAGAAGGAATTACACTTGAAAATAAATCAATCCAAATTTTGTAGTTTCATGCAAACTTCTTTTCAAGTGACATTTTATGCTAAGATGACAATTCCTGGTTCACAAACGGTAGCCTCGAAACTTTTATCTGATCAATCAATAATGTGGAACCACAATTATAGATAATCAGTTTTCCAAATTATAAACATTAATATCTTTATACTTGATCAGACAAAGCTTTAAATGGTACCGTTGTGAATCGGGCATTGCAGTCTTTGCATGTTTGTCACTGGGAATTACACTTACATATACCCTTTAAGGTGAAAACCATCCTCACTTTATGAAATATTATTGTTAATGATCTGGGTAAGACGAAGACATTTAGGATTCATTGTATATTTTAATTTGCTTGGATCAATAATTCAAATTTTGACAAATCAAGTTTTTTAGAACCACAGATTGCAAAATATTGGATGAAAAAATCGGAGGCTAAGACAAAAGTTCAATTCCTTTGACAAGTTTGATGTTTCTCATTGTATACTTTTGTCTATTATTGTATATTATTGTATTTCATTGTATATTGTTGTATATTGTATTACCATGCCATTAAGGTACAGTTTGAAGTTTAAAATTTTTTTTTAAAAAAGCAAATGTTAAAGTTTATCTTACCTTATTATTAATCCAAACAGACTGGAGAGGATAAGGAAGGTTGCGTGAGATGAGCACAACAGAAAAATAGATGGAAGAATGCCGGCTAAAAGCGGAAGTATAAAATATGATTATTTTATCATTTCAGTAGAAAAATGGTTATTCTTAAAATAGCAAACTAGTTACGGTGTTCTTGTGTAAATTGAAAGAAATCACATTATTAAACATTTAGATGACCAGTTATAAGGAATAGATTTAAGGACGTATACAGGTATATAACAAGAGGTAGCTGTTGTGTTGAGTATCATTAATCTAGTACACTGGATCTTCAAATCTAAGGACCTACTCTTGTATTTTGGGACAACTAATTGATTCCTTTAATAACATTTTCCATGCGAGGTTTGACAACAACGGGATATGAAAGAGGAATTTTATTAATCCATAAGATGGATAATATTTCTTAATCAAGGATTTACAACACTGTAGTTCTGACTTCTGGGGTGGCCTATTTATACTTTTTTTAAGACAGAGGGTGGCTGGTTTTGTACCCATTGCCTAAGATACTAATTAATCCACCGCGGCCGGAGGGAATAGGAATGCGATACTTTTTTTTTAAAACCAAAATATTTATATTTCCGATAGATTATGAAATCCTTAATCGTGAAAACCCCTTTTTCAGAAAGTGATACTAATAACTAACTAGGACACTAATTATGCCGGCGGAGGTATAGTAGTTACCAACTATGATACTAATTACTAGTTAAGAATTTACCTATAATTGATGCTAGCGTAGTCATCCTTAGCGCACTTATATGCGGGAGATCAGCAATCCAACCAGCCAGTATTCTTCCAAGTGTATTTGTAATCCCTAAACAGTATTATCTTAAATAATTTCCTCTTTTTTCCCATCAAATGAACTGGTTGGAACAAACTAAAATTTTCTTTCTGCTAATCACCCTTTCTTCTTTTTTCTTTTTATTTATAGTTTTTGTATTTATTTTCAAACACAAAATACAAAATAATAATGTATGATGGTTCAGCTTAAAATTAAACACGAAATAAATTTATTATAAGCAAATTGAAAATATAATGTTTGATAATTTTGTTCTGATCGGTATTTGTTAAAACAGACTACTCATATTGAAATCTCAACTGAATATACATTCATTGTCGAGTTAGAAGTAAATACTTAGTCAGCACTCAAATTAACATTTTCAGGAATCCATTCATTGAACTTAGCAATGTATATTTTCTTGCTGACTTTAGTACACTTTTACATCCACCATTGGCAAAGGGTGTGAATCCATTCTTGTTGTCTGTAGTAAACTTTGACATTCACCATTAGCAAAGTGTGTGAACCCATACTCGTTGACTGTAGTAGACTTTGACATCTACCATTAGCAAAGTGTGTGAACCCATTCTTGTTGTCTGTAGTAGCCTTAGACATCCACCATTAGCATAGGGTGTGAACCCATTCTTGTTGTCTGTAGTAGCCTTCGACATCCACCATTAGCAAAGGGTGTGAACCCATTCTTGTTGACAGTATAAAGGTTATATAAGGGTTGCGGTCCTAGTCCTTAATATATTCTGAAAGCATTTTGCACGCTCAGAGAGATGAGGTTTTGACACCTCAAGTTCTTTCTAATAATTTTATTAAATTACTGTGTGTTTTCTGTAATGCATTAATTATTTGTTAATTTAAAAAAAATATATCTATAAAACTTTGGAGGGCCAGCCAATTAAAACAACCAGAAATAGTTAGGCTGTAGCCCAGTCTATAGTGACTGTTTAGTGTTAAGTTAAAATTAACAATGTATTTATTCTGATGTTAACCAAAATATGTATCTATCTCTAATCCTAAAGCTGATATGAAATAAGATGACCTACCTACAGCTTATATGAAATAAGACAACTTACCTACAGCTGATCCTTCTTACAGCAGATATCAAATAAGAGGACATACCTTCAGCTTATATTAAATAAGACGACCTACCTACACCTGATATAAAAAGACAACCTACTTACAGCTGATATCAAATGAAACGACCAAATGAAAAGAATACCTACCTGCAGCTGTTATGAAACAAGACCTACCTACAGCTGATATCAAATAGGAGCACCTACCTACAGCTGATATCAAATAGGAGGACCTACATACAGCTAATATCAAATAAGACGACCTACCTACAGCTGATGTCAAATAGGAGGACCTACCTACAGCTGATATCAAATAAGACGACCTACTTACAGCTGATATCAAATAGGAGGACCTACCTACAGCTGATATCAAATAAGACGACCTACTTACAGCTGATATCAAATAGGAGGACCTACCTACAGCTAATATCAAATAAGACGACCTACCTACAGCTGATATCAAATAGGAGGATTCCAGTTTTGCCAATCCTGTACTTTCAGCAAGCTAAATATATTTCAGTGTTATATGAGTAACGTGTGGAATAAACATATTTTAATATAGCTTTACCCTATCTCAATTGGTCTATTTTTCTTTAATATCGTTTGATGCGGGTTGTCCCCCCCCCCATGATTTTCCCCTAAGAGTTAAGATAGGGGTGTGTGATACATGTTCTTAGTTCCAACTTTTCAAGGCTACCTCATTAAAAAAAATAGACCTCTTATCTCTAAAGGTTAGGGTGCTAGATAGGTTTTTTTTAAAGTTCAAAAAGTTCGTCGGGAAAGATGTTGAAAACTAGATAATTTTTACTTTTGAAAAATATTAACATGTGACACATGATGTTACTTACGTTTTTTAAGGGCTTTTCAAATATATACATTTTAGGGCTGTAGTTTAATTAATAGTTATTGACTATTTTTAATTTTAACCAGCCGTTTGACCTTCCTCCACCTTTTGCATACAAAATATTTTTTTACATGGATGGAAAACACCCCTACCCCAAATCGGGGATGGGGTAAAAAAAAAAAAAAAAAAATGGGACAAAAAAATTTTACTTTTGGCGTTTTAAATTCAATTTCATTAGTTTATTTTTTCAATTTTAAGAGACTTCATGTAGGGGAGGAAGTGTCTTTATCGCCCTACAGCTAAGAAAAAATATATTTATCGCCCTGCTTCACATCTAATAATTCCTGATGTAGGGTGATAAAGTTACTTAATCACCAATTAACAGGGTGATAAAGTTACTTGATCACCAATCAACAGGGTGATAAATTTACTTAATCACCAATCAACAGGATGATAAAGTTACTTGATCACCAATCAACAGGGTGATAAAGTTACTTTACCACCAATCAACAGGGTGATAAAGTTACTTAATCACCAATCAACAGGATGATAAAGTTACTTGATCACCAATCAACTATGGTGATAAATTAACTTTATAGGTTGCTATTAAATAAGATGAGTAAAATTTAATAAAACCATACATGTATGTTATTGTCGTTGGTGTCATGCGTACGAAAAGGTTTTTGTTGGGATTTTTACTTTTTCTAGTTTGTTTTCGACTCGCACTTATCAATACCCATTACAAAAACAAAAATTAATTTAAACTTTTTTTCAGGAAATTAACACGGGGTTCCTTAAAAAAATCCCTCTCTAGTCACTAAGCTCTAAATGTTTTGTATGCAAAATTGATCTTGGGAATTCTTGGTAAAGTAAAATTCCCTGTAAAATAGTTGTAAATAATTAAAATCAACTTTAGTCGTTATTATTCATATTTATTCTAATTGACACGTCTTAAGGTCCTCTTCAGTCGACTTTGGTCAAAAATTTATTCCTCTTTTGTAGAAGTTCCCTTACCATTGGAAGGTATGAGTAAAGAGCATAGACTGCCATCACAGTTGGAACATTGCCTTTAACGTTGTGTTCAAGAAGGCATGGCCATCTTTAATATTTGTTATTAGATACAGAGTGTGTCCCATGCACGAAACATAACAGTAAAAAGACGAACTTGAAGGTCGTCTTGATCTTACGACCCTCTTACACCTAATTAATAATTAAACTTATTGTTCCATTTAGCCATGTAATTGCAATTTAATTTTTCTATAAAAATTATAATCATTTCGGTGAAAATATTGTAAACCAGCATCATTTAATTATTAATATGTTTTGCGTAAGTATAATGTTTCGTGCATTTCGTGTTATTAATCAGAACAGACATAGAACAATTCAATATTATTGAATTTTTAAACTTTATGTTTGCAGAAATTTGTTTAACCGGAAAGAATCGAAAACACACAAGATTTGTTCGACTTCATGCGCTCTTTTTAGTTGTGAACTTTTGTAATCCCACATTGAACACAATGCCTATGAGAACTAAGAGAAAACTTGATTTTCTCAAAATATTAATGTTGAACATCTTCTGTTCACCATTGTGTTGACCGCGTACTTTTGGAACCAAAGCCAGGCCAATCAACATACAGATAACACAAAGGCAGGCCAAGGCTCTAAAAAAAAGTAAAAAAAGGAAAACGCACTAAAATTTTATTTCTGAATAATTAGGCTTCTATCTATTTATTGATCAACGGTTAAAACTGGTGAAGACAATTGTTTCGGGTAAATGTACAGTACATGTACGGCATGGTTTGTCACAACCTTTCCCTAATCTGCCTTCTCTTCAATGCATAGCTTAAGATATTTCTCATCTGATGGGGTTTCTCTACTACTCTGCTCTTCTCACCTTTCTTTTTTATTGTTTTACCATGGTAGCTTAAAACTCAACTATTAAGTGAAATGGATCAAGTGCACATTTTGTGTTTTAAGTTCAGTGGACTATAAAAAATCAGATGTATGCGGTGACGCAAGAAATTGAACTATCCAATCCACTGATTCTATCCAAGAGTGAGGTCACGCTGTACGGTTAAATCTGTACATACAGTAAGCGGAGTATGTTTAATCAGACCACAAATAAAACATATCTTTTTCTCCTGACTAATCAATTTTCACATAATTCAAAAAGAATAGACCTTATAAGTACTGAATAATTGGAAAAATTAGTTCAAATATGAAATTAAGAGCATATAAGGAGGAAATTAACACTTTTTTAGAAACTTATCCAACAATTCCTATTCTCTAACTTGTCACACTCCCAGCATACTCTAGGAGAAGATTTTGATAAAGTGCAGCAAAATATACAAGAAAGAGTTCATCATGGATTACAGAATGATATAAATAAAGTTAACACCCAGTCAGTCAAAGATGCACTAAATAAAATGAAAGCAATGAAAAGTGACGCATTATTTGACTTCAGCTCTGACTGC